GAGGCGCATTCGTATCCCTGGCCAAACAGCTTCCCAAACGACACATCAGCCTACTCTTATGGCTCCGGACCAGACATATCTCTTTGAATCAGCATCTGCATCGAATTGGCAAGCACCCCACCCCTTACTGCCCACACTGCGAAGACGAAGAAGAAACAGTTTTACACTTCCTTTTATCATGCCCCCAGTATGCCCGCGCACGTCACATCCTCACCACAACTCTCCGCCGTCAAGCATCCTCCCTACCATACCTACTCTCCAACCCGAAAGCCTGCGCCCCGCTAATACGCTTCGTGAACAGCACAAACCGCTTAAGTGCGACATTTGGTAACGTACCCCCTCCAGTTGATAAAGATAAACGATAGTCAGTTCCTCCGCAGACCACACATGAACAAAAATTGTATACTACATGTACAACAACGAAACGAAGAGCGCAGGACGCTCTCCCACACCCTCACTCGTCGACGAAGGGAGAATGGGCCGCCTAAACGTCCCAAGTGGCAGGAGCAGCGGAAAGTTCGCTGCAGAGGAGAAGGCCAGAACACAGAGCATCAATCAACGAGTTCATCGCAGCAAGACTACCCTACAAAACAACTATTACTTATCTACTCCCATCCTCCATCATTCCTTTTGTACCCGGTTACTACGGTGACCCGAGTACTTGAATCATCCTCATCATTACGCCGGAGACCAACCCTCACGAAACGCACAGCAACGGTCCCGCAGATTGGAAGACTTGCGCACCTAAAACGGCCGGCGGGAACGGCGGACTGGTGGAGGTCAACCCTCCATCAGGGCATTTGCGAAGTCGGAGACGCGGAGGGGGACACAGGTGTCCCCCGAACCCCTAGATAGTATTGTCTTACATAGGGTACTCTACCCCAAATAGACATAAATTGGATTTAAAAAAAAAAAAAAAAAAAAAGGACATTCTACTTCAGGCGCCAGCGCTTCAACCCCAGTAAGTACTTTGGCCCGCCAGTATGGTAGACAGGATAGCCATGCTCGGTGGAAAATAGCAAGATTAAGCTGACACTTAGCTGGCACTACTTGATGCTGCGGACTCACATTACTTGCAAGGTAAGTTATTGACCAATGCCAACAATGAGAATTGAAGGAGATTGAATTCAAGTTGAACGAAGTTGCTCACGTGATCCCAAACTTTGCGAAACGTTCCCGCTCTCACCGTCAACGAGACATTGATCAATGATCATCATCGCAGTTTGTCTCAAGCGCTAGCGCTCATGCATCATCGCAAGTAGCCCTGCCTTCAAAACTCCCACTTTAAAGCATTCTACTATTTCTACCTCAAGGGCTGCGCAAAGTCTTTGTTCTGACGACATGGGGTTCTGGCGAACTCGTTTCTACCATGACATGGGTGCACCACTACCCCTACTCGCGAATACTGTGACTGACGTTGGGACTAAAGGGAGTGTCTTACTTCCCCTGGCTTATGTCAAGCGTTTTTTTGTGCCCTAGAATGTCAGGAACTAGATCTAGATGAGAATTTTTTATGTTATCTTTTGTTCACTGAGAGAAGTTGAATAGGCTCAAGGAACGAGGCCAGGCCGGTATGCTTCCCACACACCAATGATGACATGATAGACGGTTCCAAGTCACGGTATCGCTTGGCTGTCTCGATCTATGGCAGCGACTCCCGTAAACGTATATATCCGACTTCGCAAGACACGAGAACTCTATGGTAGTAAGTGCTGTCTTCGTACTGTCACAAGAATCTTGTTATGGCGCTACTTTAATACTAAAAGGCGCTATCAGGCTACCCGGGTCAAACCCTGTTAAACGCGGCCCCCGGCTATGGGTTATCCGAATGAATGAAGCGGAGCTCTTGTCGGTTGCTTCCGCGCAAATTCCGCGCATGGGTTGCTTGAGCGTCGAGTCGGACGCATCGACATGCATGTTGATCGCTGATCGCACTCACACCGTTTGCTTCATTGCATAGTCAGGATCATTGCTAGAGGGACATTCCAACTAGCACTCCGGAGATGGCACATGCATGCCAAAAACTCCATTTTGTATAGTGTGCACGTACATGATCACGATTCACCGCCTACAGCACTCACAACACTAGAGCGCAAACTTCCAAATACAAATCTCAAACTCTCCGATGCCATCTCCGGACTCCTTTACGCCAGTGATCACAACCCTGAGCATATCGTTTCAGCGCCACAGTGCATACACGTTCATATTAATTCATAAGAAACTGGGTCTTAAGATGGCAATCGGAATCCCGATTCCTATGGCGGACATGTCTTTCGGAATTTTGTTGTGGGTAGCTGCGAGACCTATTCTCCGACTGTGATTCATTTCCTTCCTTTCTGTATTGTTCTGACTGTTTGCTTAGTTTCATATGCGTTGCTTGTGGGTATGGCATCACAAGGGCTGGTTGGTTTGATGCGAAAGCGACTCGTTGTGCTGTGCAAGTAGTTTTGGTCAGTATGTCCCATTTTCCAGAAGACTGGAACTGATAGACAGGATTCAGAACATTACTTTGCCTAGCCTGATGTTCTCGAGGACTGCATCCGTATTGAACGCAGGGAATGACGCAGCATTTGGTTCGTTGTAATCCTGAAACTCGCTATCGCTCAATTTTGACGTATATGCATATGTGCACGATCTCTCTAGGACCGCTGTTAGCGATTGCGGTCATCTATATGGCGATGGGTTTCGCACTATCTCTGGTTATCAAGCAATTTTTCAGTGTTCCATCTCAGTTTCGGTACGGCATAATTGTCGCTGGATCTTGGGCGAGCAGCTGTGATATAAGTAGGTTACACATGTTTCTTACATTGTACCATTCGCTGACTGTGGCACACCGGGATAGCAATTTCGGTCATGACAGACATAATGGCCTCTCTCCCTTTCGACGGGACCCACGATCAAAACCTCGCGGTAGCATACATCGGCGCCTTTTGTGTCATCTTCTACGTGAGTTTTTCATGAATTTGTTGTATGATGCTGAATTGCGCTATAAGATGACACTGTTTACGCTCGGACGTAACTTAATCGAGAGAGACTTTATCGGGACTGACGGGGAAGTGCAGGGTCCATGTCGGGCCAAACGTTGGGAGTTGTTGATGGTTTTTGTGCGTCGGGCGAAAGGTGTTTCCTCTTCCGAAGGCGATGAGGAAGCCGGGGAAACATATGACCCAGCGGCAAGCACGATGGACGCCTATGCGATGACCATCAAAGATCTTCCCCCGGAACTGTTATCGTTGGAACATTCGCAGACAGTTTCTGCAACGTCTTCCACTATTGTGCAGCATAGTATGCCGCCAGGTCGATGTGACGAAACACTGTCGTCGAAAGATGCAGAATCACAGACCCAGCATAACATGCCGTCGGGTCAACGCGACGAAACACTGTCGTCCAGAGATGCGGAACCACAGACCATACTGGCGTCGACAGAGAATTCCTCTGCAAGTAAACCCCACCCTGTCATGCGATATGTGAAATTCCTTAGCTGCCTTATATCCCCCGTCTTGATGTCCGTGGTCGTCTCCATCATCGTCTCTAGAATATCGGCTCTGCAGGCGTTATTTATTCCTGTATCGGGAACAAACATTCCACCAGCTCCTGATGGACAACCGCCTCTAGCATTCATAATGGATTCAGCGACCTTCTTGGGAGCAGCCAATTCTCCGATTGGACTGATTATTCTCGGATCTGTACTCGCAAGAATGAGTGTCCCTTGCGGACGCTGGACTGCGCTACCCCTTGGAGCCATCGGAGCCCTTGCTGTCGGCAAGCAGCTCATCATGCCAGTCTTTGGAGTTTTCATCTGCGAAGGATTTACGCGGATAGGATTCATTGACGCTGATGATAAAGTGCTCAGATTTGTATGCATGTTCGTCTGATTTGCTATGCACTGCATCTGCTTTTAGCTGACCGAGCCCTTCTGTATATACCAGTTTCGTATCGTGTTTACCCATAACAGCGACTCAGGTGAGATATTTACCTTGCAAATTGCATCTTGTGCGCTGACGAATTGTTTGCAGCTGATCCTGACGCAAGCACGTTCCGACAGTGACACGGGTACAACAGCTCATTGTTCAAACAGTGGCATAAGTACAACAGAGCATCTTGTTGCATTTCTGCTGCCCCAGTACATCCTAATGTTTGGGGTGATGCCCGTGTTGATGACCTTCACATTCAAAATTCTCTTCGATTAAATAACCACTTCCGAGTGCTACACAAGAAACACCCAGATAAATTCGACTCACCGTTGTTAACACATGTATAACTATATCGTTAGCGAAGACTCAATCTTATGGATCTATATGACCGTAAAGTACCCTGTCGGGCTCGTTTCAGCCAGGAGTTGAAGATGTAGTCGCCAGTATCACATGAGCGCTTCTGATACTCAAATGTGACTCACCATGAGCTTGTCCACGTACGTAAATTGCGCCACCTTAGACTACCTGGTTGAAAAATTCAAATCCAAAAGCCACCGGGCCTTCCAATGGTCGGGAAACTCAACACTACCGTAGCCGCCTCAGGGATGCGTCGTTGAGCGCTGACTCCTGAGCGTTAGCACGGGCCACGGTAAAGCCTGCCAGCCGCATCGGCGATCTTGATAGGAGCTACAATGAGGCGCTGTAATATGTAAAATGGTGAGGGCAATGTGTTAATTGCTCAGGATCTCCTGTCAAGCAAGATAACGGCCCTTTCTCAGGGCTTCCCTTTGTGCAGCTTATTGCAGTCTAGCATGACGGACCAGTGGTCCGCTTCTCAGGGTGTGAACATCAGAGGTCAGGCCATATCTTTACCGAGCCTTACAGGATCCTTCTTTGAGTCGTCAAAGGGCTACAACGATTCACGACTCGTCCACGATCACAGAGGATCGAGTAGCATCGCCATTGGAAGTCTGGTTTGAATTTCTGTGCAACGGAACCTTTCTCCGAGCAACTGACCCAATGAAAGAGGTCGGTGTAGCAGGGTGGTCTTCCGTTGGAGTACCAGGGTCTTGACGCAGTGGTTGTCGTGGGAATTGAAGTAGATCCTCGATAGATTCGCCTCACGCCATCGAAGTTCGGCCTTTTGACTTCCCTTGCAGCTCGTGCCCGGTTCCTCTGCGTAACTATTTCCTTAGCGCTAGTGTGAATCACCATACTCATGTTATTATGGACAAATCATGCCTCTCGACCCCAGTCGCCCAAGATGAATTGTGGGAGATCTTGAAATAAAGTTGATGCTTGAGCATAATGATTCTTGATCTATTATCTTGATCTACCAAGCTAATGGACCCAGAATCACATAATCTAGGCACATCAAGTACTTTGTACAAATTCGACACGGTGTCATCAGGAGCGGGAGAGAATGCGAGATCGATATATGTGAACTGGGACGAGTCAGATCAACAATAGAGACAAGATATAAATCCTAACCAGTGGATCTCCAGTTTTCCATGCCAGCTCCTTCCTCAAAAACTGTATGACTGCCTGGAAATGGTTGGAGGCACATAGAAGTCCTGCCTCATGATCGGTGCGTTACCGACTGCCTTGAAGCGAACCACGACTGCATATTGGACCTGTTACAGATATAGCCGAGTTGATCTAACACCAGTACTGACCTTTGGATGAATCTTTCTTCTTGTAAGTGTCCAATGCCTGGAGGGCTTCGGTTGCATTCTCAGACACGTCACCCGGTGTCCAGGGAAGGGCAGCTAGCCGACCGGAATGCATCTGGACTTCTTGAAGCCATTGCGATGTACGCGTGAGGAGAGCTGAATGTTACGGATGATGGTAAAGTTCCAACTTGAACTTGAAGCGTGAATGGTCCCGTGACTTTCCAAGGTGTCCGCAAAAGGCAACTCTACAGCAACCACTACGTTTCAATGTTTCAACCATCAGATGAAGTTCCGAGTCACAGCAAAGATGCAGCGACACTTACTTGGACGATTGAGCTCCTGAGCTCTGAGCTCAGCCGAATTCGAGATACATCCTCAAAGATCTCACTCGGCTTTGAGATCCTGCGAGTCTTATCGCCTTCCCTCCCATTAGAGGATGCTGTTGCAACAGGTACGTCTACCATCCGTAATGGCGAAATCGACATCGTTGAAGAGTGCTGAAAGCACAAATTGAGAGTCTTTGCTGCTCCTTGCTACTGGCTATAGTCGTGTTCGTTCATGCCATGCCTATATGTGGCCGTCTTATTTACTCCTCGCGTTCCCTTTTGGCATTCGTGGTCGTGAACACGAGCTCCGGTATGGTTCTTCTTACCTGGTTCGCAGACATGACTGCCACCTCGAAGCTGCGTTTGAAGTGTGAGTCGCAACTCATCGAACAAGCCGTAGCTCAAATAGCGTTTCATTGACGCTGTCAGACAGTTGGTAGCAAGTAACTTTAAGCTCATGCTACACCGAGTACCCTCGCGTACGTTAAGCCACTCATCGATGTATTCAATAGTGGCACAAATAAATTTTTAAATGATTGTATTTGTGAGGATAAATTCTGTTTGCCAAGCACCATGAACAGTCGAGAGACCATGCAGTAGTTACAGAGCAAAGAGAAATCATATCCCGAAAAAGAAATCCCCCGACGACGCAAGCCGATAGTGCAGCAGCAAGGTCATCATGTCCTCCGAGTTGCAAGCAGAGCTCGAAGAAACAAGGGCGGCAAAAATTTGATAACCAAAGAATGAGGGCGGTGCCCTCATAATAGTGGTTAAACTATTAAGAACAGATACTACACTTGATCTAAGCCAAAAGGCCAGAGTGGTAAGGATCCATAATATTCACAACGTCCTTTTATACAAACAACAAGTGCACGGGCCACTCTTTCAATTTGGTAATCAACCATGCAACCGAAAATGGTCACAAGCTTTGGAATTCAACAAGCCAAAACAAATACATCATGATATCTTCGCTCCGAGCCAGGTCCAAGTCCTTCAATGTCGCCACAGTTGGTCGTGTGATCGGTTCCATAGCCCAACAAAGCAAAAATGCAGACCATGCACCTTCCGGAACGTGAGGGTAATGCGCCTTCTCGGGTTTTTTTTCAGCCAACAACGCATCGATGACTAGCCATGGGCCAATGTTCAAGTTTTCGTATTCCACATCCGAGATATTTTCAGAGAGAATCTAAGGATGCAATCACGATCCAGCGTTTGCTTAAAATGTTCCGCGAACGCACCTGTAGACCCACCATCCCTGTTGCCCAGACGTCTGATGAAAATGTTGGCGTTGGCGTTGGCGTTGGCGTTATTGACAGCAACTCGGGCGCCAAGTAGCAGTCCGAATCCCACTTGCTGTGTCTTTCCCTCAGAGTCCAGGGCATCGGAGTGAGCCCGAATTCCACTAACACTGCATTGCCTTGATAGTCAATGAGAATATTTGTCTACAAACAGAGTTGCATGAGCTCCGGTACTGCAAAACATATAAAAAACTATGTCATACGGGTTTGAGGTTGCCATGAACGATACCCTGGTCATGCAGTTCATTTAATCCATTTAAAACATCGTAAAGCTGTATGGTCACTCTTAAGTTAAAAGTGGCCTCAACAATCAGCGAAATGATGAAAAATATATACCAATTTCATCCGCACAGCATCCTGAGGCTTGATATCTTTTTTTCTGATGTACTCCATGATAGACCCGTTCTCATAGAACGGAGTTATCAGACAGGGGACGCGCGCCAAACCTAGCATGCCCTCGTAACAAAAACCAATAAATGGGGCCAAGTTGGGATGCCAATACATGCCAGTGGTCGTAAGTGATCCAACTTCGGTTATGAGACGCTGGAAAGATTCAACTGAAAACAAAATTGATTTGTGAGGTGAGTTAATTTACCCAAGTTACTTGGTCTGCCTCAACATCATCACAATTCATTATTGGTATCATCGCTTTCACGGCTACCTGCGGAGAGCGTGCGTGAGTAAAGATTAATTGAATACCATCCTTACTGTTTATTGCATACAATTTGTGGGCTTCCTGTTGACTCGGTTTTGTACTCACCCTTCCATACCCGAGGGCTGTATTGGGAGTCTGTGTTGGCGATTGGCCCAGTCCTCACAACACTTCCTGTTAGGTCATGCGGATTGTAGTCGGTGAGATAGCAGGAGTCCATTGGATGGGGTAGACTAGGGTGAATGAGAAAGTAGTGGAGAACACAGGAAGCGCAAAGCTTTGAGGCTTTATAGTAGTCTACAGTGTTGTACGTGGCGGGCGCTGGATGACACTTGATTTTTGTCCAGTGGGGCGAGGCCCTACAGTAGACAATATATGCTCGATATTTACTTTATTTACTGGTTTCGTCTTGTTGTGATTGAGGGCGTCTTTATTGTTCCGAGCGTTATCGAGGACTTGTATGCCAACTGTAGGCGTAGGGAGTGGCGCTGTGAGCGTACTTATTGGCGATCTTCGCTTCATGTTTCATCTGCTGGGGGGAGGGGGGGTGACGTCCTCAAACACTTGTTCCAACCTTCTCGTACGCGCTGCATATCGTAAGAAATTAGGTGTTGATGGAGGTGATAGTGAAGCAAGTGGTCCGGAGTGCAAATTAGCATCGTGAAATCGAGAGAAAGAGTCGGAGACGGCACAGTAAGCGCTGTGTCTACCAACTGGTCCGACTCCGACACAATAAATGGTACAGAGCGCGGTTTCAAGTTAGTCAACGAGCCACGATCGCGAATCACACACCTTGATAACAGCAGTACAACAGGAACCTACACGAAATGACAATCTGAGCAAGCTAAGGCCTGCCATGCAACTGTTCCAATTGTACATACGAAACGAATCTTCGGAATTTGAAATTTGAAATTTGAGCGGCAGTGCCAAAGGCTTGAGAGGAATTGCACCCGACATACAGGCCCCTCGGGGTTTTCCGGGTCCTCGAACTTTCCCAGCTGAGAACCCTCGTGGTCTAAGTTATGAAGGAAGATCCCTAGTCGTTGTACTGGTAGACTACGGATCTGTAGACTGATGCACCCAGTTCTATGTGTCTCCAAATTTCTCCTGGAGATATTCTCTCATGTGTATTCCAGCCAACCAGGGCCTTGGAGCATGGAACCCTCGGTGCGGACTCGGATGTCCATTGCAGCACGTGTGTCGCGGAAATCCCTTGCAGCACTTGCCAGGACATGCAAGGCCTTCCATGAGCCCGCAACATATTATCTTTGGGCTGATTTAAACGGCATAACACCATTACTAGGGTGTGTACCGAGGCTGCGTCCAATCCGAGTCATAGGCGGCTGGCAGGTCAGCACAAACTTCTCACACAAGCTCATTATTCTTTTCCTTTCATTTCTCTGTTCATTCGCTCACCAAACATCTCAACGCAGGGCTCCTGTCCTCAAGGTATTGAACCATTATCCGAGCCCGAGACCCGTCAATTTCTGCGTCATGCTCCCGATGTGCGCGTATTGGGTTTACACAACAACACACATTTTCCGCTCCTCGCAGTCCTCCAGCCCGAGGCTGCCGAGACATGTCTGTTCCCAGGATTGTGGTCGTTATCCTGGATGGTTTCAGATACCAGATACCTCCAGTGCCTCGTTTCCCCTGCGCTGCGCCGTTTGTCGATATCAAAGCTTTCTTCGGATATAGAATCTATCATAGGCCGTTGTCCTGCCTTGGAGGACTTGGCTATCAACAGGGCCTTTGGAAAAACAGCAGATGAGCTTTCCCTAGTGTCTAACACTGTCCGTTCGTGCAAGCGGCTTGTAAATCTGTCGTGTGCACCACTCGACTGGGCAGCATGGATGCACCTCTCCAACATCCCTACCCTTCTCACAGTAACCATCGATGGACAATTTCCTTCCCCGCTGACATGGGATCATCTCAAATTCTCCCCTTTCCTCAAGCTCACGGCTCTTTCTTTCTTCTCAGACGATGTCACAGATATTACCCCAGTGATACGACGCGCAGAATTCCCTTCGCTACAAAAATTCGCAATGCATATCCCCGGTTTTACAACGGCAAAGGCCGAGCGGTTTTTTCACGCACTGTCACAGTGTAAAGCATCCCAGACCCTCGAACACATTATAATAGATTCCTCCTACCTGGTGCTCAAGGATGACGAGGAGTGGGGCACACCTTTGACAGCAATCAGACAGTTTCTGTGTTTCACACAGCTGCAAACCCTGAAGCTCAGTGTTTGTCACACTATTGACATCGACAATGACCTTCTTGTGGAAGCCATGTCAAGTTGGCCGCACCTCCGCTCTCTGGAACTTGATGGTTACAGCGGTCTTCCTCAGCCTGCTGTGACATTCCGCGCATTGTTCACAGCGCTTCGTTTCTGCCCCCACTTGCATACCTTGCAAGTGATGATCGACGCTGTGAATATCGATATCGATCCTACAACCGAGTCATTTCGACACGCCTCCCTGAAAACATTACGGGTGGGCAACTCTAGTTTAGGAGATGCTGGAGTTGTCGCTCGCATCATTTTCACTATGCTCCCGTCTGTTGACCGAGTTGGCGACCTCAGGAGGTCGTGGCACCAGGTCAACCTGCGTCTCGAATCTTTTAGACCTTCTGCGGCTCGTGTCGCCACTGTCGCGGGAGCAGCGCCGATTTGGCGCCAAATGACCTGAGTTTGGGATGGTACACTCACACTCATGTACGGGGGATTGTCCTGGGGCTGCTATTAAATGCTAACAAGGGATGGGCAAGGTAGATCATACGCTGTCTTTTCATTATACCCTGTACTTCATAACTGTATATTTTGGTTGGCCCGTGATACAGCATTTATGCCTTCGTGGCTTAGTGGGGTCCGAATCATGAACTTGGTTCGAAGGGCAAGCTGTGATGGGTACTGGGGCCAAGGTTGGCTTTTCGCCAATATCCTTCAAGTCGGTGCGGACTATGGATTGAACGTTGGTGGATCACATTGTGACTGCGTGCCACGTTCCCTCTTCGTCCTATACGCTGATCAAGTGACAACATTTTAAAAATCTCAGTTCACGGCTAGTGCTGGTTCGTCGAAATTTCGTGAGTATCCGATTCGAATGGGTTTACTCACTGCACCCCTCATCTCCTTCATCCCCTCGACTTCCATGGGTTTCCACACACGGGATGCAAGACACCTACTAGGCACTACTATCTCCCAATGAAAAGGAGCTGGAACTTGGAAGTTCTAGTAATAATTTCTTGGTTTGTGGAGACAGGTGTTTTTCCAGGACAACGGTTTCATCGCCTCCCTCAAATCAGTCTGCCAGAGCGACAGAATTTGATGGACGAGCAAAGTTCTTGATTGACCAAGCAAATGCGAACTGTCACCCACGGTTAACGATGATACAAATCCAGAACACAAATATGGTAAGCGCCCCTCCCGCTGTGAGCAGCAATACTGAATGTTATCAATCGCACTCGCGAACTCCTCGAAAGCCAGACTCCTTCTGCCTCCCGAAAATACAGCTTGTTTCTTCCATTACGCGTGGAGCAGCGCTTAGCTCTATCATCTGCATTCGAAACTCGAGATATCTAAGCTCCCGGGAGACCTCAAGACCTTCGTTTCGGAGATCGCAGACCGCCCCACGCCCAGTCCTTGGGCTGCCAATGGTGGTCATAATGCCTGACATGGACCCCTGTGAGGATCACTTCAAGCAGGCTCAGCCGACGCACAGTCTCGACGTTATAGTACACATGTGAGGCAGGCATAATAAGAGATGACTATGGGACTCGGTCAGTTGCAGTTCGCTGGTTTTTTCATTCGGAGTACTCACAGAAATCACAGAGACGGACGGGCGAGGTTGAAGTTCGAGTCTTTCGATAACCAGTATCTATACCCAAGCCCCGGTGGATTTGTGAAGCGAGCAGCCCCGAAATGTGGCTACGAACATAACATACCCATTGTGCTCGAAGAGAGTATGGTGTGCGCTTAGGCCCTTTGGATGGTTCATCGATCGTCTTTCCGAGCCACACCCGACACATAGCCTGGTCTTCCTTTGTCAGACCATATGAGAAAAGAGACAGTCGTTCCTTCTATATTATGCGCCCCCATCAGCAATTACGCAAGTATCCAGCTCCATCATCAATCCATTCAGAGGTTCTGCGCATATCTTTGACGTAAGAATACCCTTACAAGCAGTCTTGCGAGAACTAACCAGAGGCCTGGTACGTCACCGCATTATCAGATCGCATTCAGATGATGTCTGGGAAAGATCATCAATGGCTACGCCGAAGTAGACATTGATTCAGGCATTCCTGGCACCAGTTTGTCTCTTGATCGTTTAATGTTCCAAATGTCATTCTGACCCTTGCACAGCCTGTCCCCATCACGATGGTCCGTTCTCTGACATTACACGGTGTACCAAGGTGGTCCTCCGTGGGAGTGCCAGGGGTCCAGACTCGTAGTTGGTCCTCGATAGAGCCGCCTCCTGCCTGAGAGGTTTGGTCTTCGGGTTTCCATTGCAGCCCTCGCCCGGTCCAACGGCTAAGATATAGTGAAGTCCTGCAGTTTGTCCGTGTTTATCGATAACTTCACGATCATCAATGGAACGTTTCATCACGACCAAATTGTTTTGGTGTTCAAACATTCCGTGGATTGTATGTTATTTCAGATCTAAAAATGTAAGTTACTTTGCGTCGAACAAGGGCTTCTCACACTAATATCCCATTTCCACTTGCTGTGCGTCGTGATTAGAGAAACGGTCGCTGCCCAGCCTAATCACTATAAAAGCGCTGGATGGTGGTATGTTTCCATGAACTCCATACGCCCCATTCCGATATGACCTACTACGTCTCAAATGATCCCGCTTTTTTACCTCTCATCATTAGTGCTCGTGTTTCTAACTATTTTATAGGTTCGTAGAGAGCGAGTAGGATGACAATGTCGATGTCTCACTATCATTGACTGTGGTTTCACAGTTGCATCCTTCGCTGCGGTGGTATATGATTGGGGTGAGCGAAATAATACTTTACGATGGGATCATTGATATATATTGGTATTCAAGCATTGTCTATTGCACAAGAGGTGAGTTGATGTCATGACCTGCGCAGCCATCTCACTAAGAATGTTGTAACAGTTCGAACTGATCTGGGTGAGCAAAGTCCTCTATCAGAAACAAACAGGATAATGTGGTTGATTCGGGGCAGAGGCAACGCTGGTCCTTCATGACCGTTCTTTATGTTTGTGTACGTTACTATGTTGTCGCAGTTGACATGTTATGCTGACTTCAACATATGCTAGGTGCGCTACATTGGAATACTATATTCTTTGTATGTTTGCGATGCTAACAAGTTGACGCTGCGTTGTACTAATAAACTATATCTCACAATCAGCAACTACATACTATGTACGTATTCCCGAATACACCGTGTTCATTGATTCTGACTGGCAGCATGTTGCATGCAGGGTCTCTCCCAGCCCCGATGACAGACATAGTGAGTATTCCGCACCCGTGCTTGTCATTTCCATTCCCAACTACTAACTGCGCTCCTAAACAGGGGTGAGTGACAATCTCGGACCGCTTGATGGTTCTACATGACTGCAACAGCTGTGAGTTCATTTGAAGCACCGAGTCCATCAATGCACATCTGTAACTGGGCTTTTCAGGCAATATAATTTATTTCATACGGAAATTTACGCCTGTCATCATCGATGCCATGTTAGGCGGTGAGCTCACCTGCGGTATCGTACTGATACTGGTTTGACTGAAATATCATGCAAGTCATCTTGATGACCCGGATACATGCCATGTATGGGAGATCCAACAAGATGCTCATTTTTCTTGCTGTACTATTGCTGGTTTCCACGATCGCCACCGGAGTTGTGGGGGTAATCGGAAACCTGGGGTTTTCAGGCGGTAAGCTTGAATTATCAATGAAGGTCTTGAGCACACGTGATTCATGGACAAATACCAGGGGAGGCCATCCTTTCCGGTTACTCTACCTGTGTTTTCGAACTGGACACAGACGCGTTGGATCTAAATGTAGACATGGCGATACCCACCGCTATATGGGAGATCATTGTCTTTTTTCTTGCAGTCTGGATTGTCATCAAACACCTCCGTGAACTGCGGCAGTCGCAAATAGGATCGACCATTGGGGACTGTTTCATGGTGTTGATAAAAAGTCACGCGTTGTACTTTCTAGCGTGAGCTCGGTGATTTGGATGTTGTTATCTTGTTTCGCTGAAGTTCTGCATGTGCTAGCTTCGTTGTCGTGGCTTATTTCATTCTAGGTGGACTGTCTCCAAAGATCATGGTGCGCTGACCTGCAACTGGCATCTGTATCTTGCCAGTCCTCATCATGTTTACAGTACTCAAATACTTCGGGAGTTGGTGTGTATAACGGCATTTTCGACATTGCCATGGGATTGCAGATGTGTGTGCTAGGACCACGTCTGATCCTCGGCGTTCGTGAATATAACGCTAAGCTCGTGGCCAGGTCCGACGGGGGAACATATGTGGCGTCCCTTGCTTTCCGGCCTGGTGGAGAAACGTCGACTGGCGGAGATGTGTAGCACCGGAAACCATCCGTGTGATCAACCCCGGGTACTGGGCGGGGAGTACTACTGTATACATATATTTGATTTTGAGTTCCGTTGTGGTATTCAAGTGTAGGTGATTTGAAGGATATAAGAACTTCGTCCCGGTATTTATTTGGCGTTCCGGAGGATAGAATCACATCTGCCAGGCAATGTTATGTTAGCATCAGTGCTCCTGGAACTAGCTGTCAACCTATGCATGCACGGAGCCTACCAATCTATGCAGCCAGTCGGTGAAAATCAATTTAGAACTTCTTTTAAAAGATGACAAGTATTGGGATGATATGACGACGTTTCGTTTACGATGTGTCTATGAGTGAGCATGGATGCTTGTCATCAGCTTCAGAATGCAGAGGAAGACGACGCCCAGCGGAGGGATGAAGCTGATGCACGCAGGCGCTTTAATCATGGATTCGTCAGATTTGAAGTCCTCTGGCATCTCAGAGTCCCGGAAGTCGCGGGCATAGCGCCATACTTCCTTGTTGTTGTCGTGGCGATTAAAGATGATGTAGCTGTGATCATATTCGCAGTGACCGTAATCGTCTACATGAGCCTGTTGATCGGAACGATTCAGGATGGGGTGAACGGGTATATGGGTCAACTTACGGTCGCCCAAAGTATGCAATCAGGGTTATAATCGGTCATGGAGAGGCTTCCAGTGATCCAGCTCTCTTGGGACGGACGGAGCCTTGCCCCTCTCGATCAGATGGCTGCGTTGCAGTACACTGCTTGGACGTTGTCGGTGATCAGACCATGTGAATCCATGGACACGAGCCAGTCATTGCGGAGAGATTGCAATGAGAGATGGATGATATGTGGAGAGCAATCTCTGTAGGCAGCTCGTGTATGTAGCACGAGTCGTTGACTACTAATATTGTTGATTACATAAGTAGAAGCTCGCGGAGTTGTAATATCGATATGCTTATCACGGCCAATCGAAAAAATCATAGAATCTATGTCTAAAAATAGGGTTATAGCCCTTATGTCAGTCTGATCTCCATGCATCAACTTTCGTCGCGTGTATTATACATAAATATTTAATACAATTTTGATAGATTCACAGGCTGACATAATGTCAGTGATGTCAGAGTGTGATAGCGATACTGGTAGGGTATAAATCTGGCAGCTGTTTTCGGGTGCACATTATGTACGGAGACCTAGTACCGGAATTATGTTGGTTGACAACATAGATCATATACTGAGACTTAGACATTGGTAGTATACTGGTTGACAACATAAATCATATACTGAGACCTAGACATTGATAATATACTGGTCCTAGACATTGGTAATATACTGGTGGACCGATGTACAAGCTATATACTTCCGACATATGTATGACACTTGAGCATATGTAGAGTGTATACTTGTTAACATCCTGTATTGGTACCGCCTGAATACTTTTCATGCCGATTTTCCACCGTCGAGACATCATGGAAAGCATGACAAATGTATTATTTTTGTATCAAAAATTACAGGTATGATTAGGACGAGGGATGCAGTGCAGGGGTGGCAAAAATGACAGGTATGATTAAAATGAAGGATGCAGGAGCAGCGAAAATGACGGGTATGATTAAAATGAGGTATGGAGTGCAGGAGTGGCGAAAATGAATGGAAATATGTAAAATCTTAGGTGTTCCAAATGAGTTCGGTTTGAATAGCAGTCTGCCAACGAGGATTCGTCTTCGAAATCAACTTCGAGAGCTTCTTGCCACCAGGAAACTCGGCGAGATCAGCTTGGAAGATTTCAATGAACAACCTAACCGAAAATCAGTTTCTATAATTGCGTGAGCCAACAAATACGTACTTCTGCAACTCCTTATCTTGCTGGGCGGGGATTGAGGAGGATTCCTTGGACATTTGGCGCATGGTTAAGAGCGAGTGGTCAACAAAGTTCCAGAATCTGATGGTATTGTTGTACCGCGCCGGAATACCTTCAACCAATCTGAATCCGGAGTCCAGTGGGTCATCTCATAAGACTGCAGCATTGTCAACATTGTTCCCAGACCCATTCAACTCCTCATCCTCTCCGTTAGCATCCCCATCACCACTTTGATCCTCAAACTCTTCATTATCCATGTCGGCACCATTCTCATTCCTCCTAGCACTGGGCGCATGATCGTCGTTTGCTGAGGTTCCTGGGGAGGCCTGATTGTTGGACCCAGGCATGTGATTATTGTCAAATAAGTCATTCTCAAGCTGTTCGATGTTGACACCAAGTTCGCATTCAACTTTTCGCCGCATATCCTGCTTGAGCGACGGAATAAGGTAAGGGGAAAATAATTCTTTGATGGAAGCACTTTTGTAGTCGCTGATGCTGATGATAAAAATTCGCAGAAGACACCGCTGTCCCCGTACAAATGAGTGTTAATGTTGATAGAGAGATACATGTGGTATCACTTACAAGTAGCGCGATTCTGTTCCAATGTGTAGAATCAACTTCCATGCCAGACCTGCTGCATGCAAGCGCCCTGGTCACATCGGCGACACTTGTATGCTTGACAACTGACGTGGTGAGCTACATAGCAATAATCATGATTGAGGTTGCGTCAAAAAAAGTAGCGAGACTCACGGCGGTCTTGATGACGCTACAAATACCGGTAAGTAGCTTTGTGACTGATTTGCCCAGCTGAGCTCTGACTTCGACATCCTCGAGCATTCCAGGGGGGATTTTGAAGACATCACAATGACTGGTAATGAAATCCTGAAATCATTTAGCAGTGTTGACTCAGAACAGCGGACATCAGAGCCAGACCATTATATGAAGCTGGGTGTCAGTGACATATGCTGTGATGTTTGGCGACAGCATGCATGCAAACAAACGGTTGTATAGCCCATTCTTCCGGTCCAAGTTAGTCTAGAATAACACAGAATGCAAAGTACCATCGTTACCTCAAAGTCCTTTGATTCCAAGGCATCCTTCAATTCCTGCAATCTCTTTGCCTTGTTTACCTCGTAAAGTTTGATGAGGGTAATCTTCAGGTCTATGAGCATATAAAACATGTCGCCAGACTGCATCAAGTCCGAGTCAGCAAACACAGCAACCCAACAGCTCGATGAAAACTTATTACATCAATGAAACGCATGACTTCTCCGGTTGGAACCTCGTTGTCTTCACACAGCTTCTTGGCATAGATCTTGAAGTGTTTCGTCCGCTGGGGTGTGAGCTTGGTAGGATCCCCATGGTGGGAAGTTCTGCTGTTCCTGCGTTGACGAACTGCTGTGCTGATTGGCTCATCCAACGATGACGTTGGACTAGTGGGGGGCACGACTTCAAATTCAGGTATCACTGGGCCGTCACCACAGTGAGAACTTTGGGGACAGGAAGCACCTGTGAAGTACATCGTCAAGTCAAATTAGAGCTTATATGTGAGGACCTACTTCCATATCCTCCAACAGACAGATGGTTGGATGAGCTGCCGCTGCTCCGGTCAGGCGTAGTGCTTCTGTTCAGACTTCCCGTGGATCTTTCCGGTGAAACTCCTGTGTTTGACCATGGCCTCAGCGATTGGCTTGCTTGTGAAGGTGATCTTGAATGTTGGCTACCACCAGAAGGCTGGCGCAGACGATAACCACGTTGGAACATTGTCGCAAATGCCAGAGGTCGCGGTGGCTGCGGCCCTCAGGCTTGCATGAGGTTGGATATTAATAGTATCCGTGATACTCCGAAGTTGACTGAACCGAACAAAAAATTCAGGCCTCCTGAATGTCCTCTGGGCAGGAGCAGAACATCATACAGTAGTATTGGTATGTTGGTATGTAAGGTGCCCATAGTTGTAATGAAGTACATATTAATTGTGCTGTCCAACAACGCTGCCACAACTTCCAGCAACGAGGATGCTGTTGACATTGGAGGAAGAACCTCAAAGATAAGCACACGAACCTTGTCGAAGGAGAGCCTGGAACACTGGAGGAAGAATTTCAAGGATAAGCATGCGATTTTGTCGAAGGAGAACCTTGAATGCTGGAGGAAGACAAGCATGCGAACCTTGTTGAAGAAGAATGCTCTCCAGCGTCTTGCAAGAACGGGGAGTTAGGGTGATTCTGTCTAGTACTGTCTGCTGGGCTGCTCATGATGTGGAGCCTGAGAGTGTCAGATGTGTGAGGTCATCACTGGCGCGGAAGGTTGCAAGGGAAGCTGCTGTGCATATGACAATTGTCCTGAATGATGTGGGTGAAGAGGGGGAGCGTGCAAGGGATTTGGAAGAGCCAACCCCAAAGAGTGCCGATATGGTGGGGCAACATATTGCCCAGCATACATTGGCGGTACCATGGAAGGTGGGTTCAATGGCCAGGGATGAGAAGGGAGAGGTCTGGGTGGACCGGGCGTGGGAGATGATTGCCACATCATGACCATTGGGGGTGGCTGCAATGGGTGATGCGAAGGGGGAGCTCTATATGGAGGCATGGGGGATTGCTGCAACTGTGAAGGTACAGTAGCAGGTGGATGTAGCGATGGGAGACGAGAAGGCATGGGTGCTGGGAGATGGGAACTTGAAGATGCAGCTGCCTGCATGATTGTGGGTTGTCGTGGATTGGCGGGCGGTCGAGGTGCCTTCTCTTTTGCTTTCTGTGTTTTATTCGATTTTCTTGCTGCTGGGCAGTCGAACACCGCAGGAATCCCAGCTATGTCATTGTGCAATGCACTCAAAGACTCGGTATGTGGTGTTTTGCCTGATTTCTTGCTTGCTTTCTTCTCCCGGATTTGACGAGCTGCCGCTAAATGAATGTCTGCTGTATTATCGACCCTCAATGGTGTCTCGCGAAGTGACTGAGGAATGACAGATTGAATCTGGGCGTAATTGTGAATCAAATAAGCATTGAGCAAGTAAAATGGCGAGGATTTGTGCTGAATGATGGACTTCATACGTGCAGTCTCGGTTCGCTCTTGACGAATGTGACATTGACTAATGCCTGTGCACTGTGATTTAACACAGTCGTGTTGGACGTTTACTATACAAACAATTTCCTAGATTCACCGCATGAGCATGTCAATAAACTCGATTGAAGGTTCATGTTCAAACTTACTTGTGGACCAATAACAACCTCATGGTCCGTGAGCTCGAGTGTGGGGATGTGAAGGAGGGGATGTAATGCAGGTCCGAAAGCAAATTTTTGAATGGTGACATGCCACACGACTTTGTGAGAGTCAGTGAAACTTCGGCTTCAAGATGAGAATACTTGGTGCGCATTTTGCTGTTACATTGAGAAAATCATCGATTGTCCGGGTAAGCTTCGCCTGTAATTCAATCAGCATTGGTGCAGCAGTGTCAGTGTGCGATCATACCAAGTATAGATCAGTATCATCTATCTCCGTGTGCCAAACATATACGACGAGCTCACCGATACTCGTTCACCCATCAAGTACTGTTCTTGGTATAAGAATAACACAAGGGTATTCACGTGGATCTGTGTGATACAGATACTCTCAGTCGTTGCGCGTGGAATGCAAATGTCTTTGGTATATTTACCTGTGTGATACAGATACTCTATGTAGCATTAGTTAGGGTAAATATACGAGTCGAATAAAGTCCCTTACCTCAGTCGTTGCACGTGGAATGCAAATGTCTGAGGTACGAGCACGAAAATCGCATGAACTAAATAAATGCGAGTGCTCTTGTACGAGCGCATAAGTAAGTGAGACAAAACACAATAGAACATGTCAGAACAAGAGCGTGAATCAGGTACACATATGTCATTGGACAATAAGAAAGAAAACGACTAAGACAGATAACATTACACTTCGGCTGCGAGCGTGCTTGCGTATTCCAACACTTGGTAGTAAATCTTGAATGAGAAATGGCATGACTTGCGCCAGACTTTTAAAGTGCTTCCCTATCAGCCCGCCCTTGTAATGGCAGATATACTCAGTGTCGAGACAAGGAGCATTAAGCCCATCCTTCTTGATGGAGTCGAGATGCATTTGAAAAACGTCCAAGAGCTTTGCCTTTTCGAGGAGGTACACCGATTGACCCCAAAAGTATTTCACGACCCCCAGTAGCACCGTATGTAAAATCTCTGTTGGCCTGTCCTGGTGAACGTCAAATCCTAATGAAAGGTCAATGTGCGACTGAAAATGCGGGCATGAACCTTACCTTCAACGCCCAATAATGGGTTTATTGCGCCCTCGATCGTGCTCCCTTGCAGGAGGTCTCCCAGTTGCTTCTCTAGAATAGCCTTGACTTCGCACTCTGGTTTTGCCTGAACACCAGCGCCTCGTTTGTGTAGCTTTTTCCCGAGCTCAACAACTGTGTCAAGAATGTAAGCAGTTCTCGTGTCCTTCACACCTGATGAAGCGACAGATTTCTTAATATTCTCTGATGCACCTGAACAGAGTGCAGAAGCAAATTGTGCGTGGATCTCTTCCACTGTTCCTGTGGGAGTGCGAGGCTTTCCTGGCTGCTCAGAAAGTCAGTCAATATGGTGATGGATAGTGCAAGAATATGCTACATACCACGAAGATGCTCTTGTAGCCCTCATCTGACTCTTTATACTCCTTGGTTCCGCCGACTTCGCATGTCCTACAGAAGAAGTTGCAATGCAGCCCTGCGTGGCTGCATTCTTCGGCATGCATTGGGTTGTCGCCACCAAGAAACAGACCGTATAGCTCCAGCATAACCTCTTCTTCGTGCTTGCAGTCCCAACTGAAGACCCCCGATTCCGTAGCTTTTCTAGGATCACTAGCATCACGTTTCACCGTAGTAGCAAATTATAAGTATCACGTACCTGATTGAATCTTGCATGGCGCTCATCATTTCCATTCGGGCTGTGTGAGGAGAAGACGTGACAAACCGAATACAAAACTCTTTCTCGAGCATTTCACGAGGCAGATTCGCATTAGACATATATATTGCATGATGCTTGTTCCACTGCTTGGATATGTTTCCGGATATGTCGTCCATGAATATTATGAGAGGGACTGAGTACACCATACGTCCTTGAGATTTTGTGCGCAATGGATTTGGTACCAGTTTCGCGTATTTGTTTGACGACTCTGTCAGCCCGCAAGCGAGTTCATCGTCATTGGCAGATATTTCCCTGAATGACCTTCGAAAGTTAGATGTCGGGATCATTTCCTGCTCGTCACTGACAATAAACCCATCCTAAGTCTATCAGCAAAATTGAAAGTATGCACAGAACACTGGTATCACCTGTGTTCGTTGTACAGCACGGCCAAGTGCATGTAGCTGCTTGTCCACGCTATCATTCATTGATGTGTACGATGCAAGAAAGAAACGCTCGGGTATCAAGTAGTCTCCCGACACGTCCTGCAAGAGCTCATTCATGAAGTATATCTCCCCGTCAACTTTAGCGGCGGGGGGCGAAGGGAGTTCGAACATCATTTTGTCTCCATTGAACACCTGGGACATTCCCTTGTCCCCGTCCTCAGGGTAATCCTGCATCGCGAACCGCGTGAGGGGGTTTGCATAGTCCTAAACGAGAACATTTGAAGTCAGTGTTGAGAGAAGTGTTCATGTGTGAGATTCTGCGTACCTTGGCAACTGCTTTTCCAACATCGTTAAGATAAAATATATTGCCCGAAGGTGCAGTGATCTTTTCCGTTGGATTGCCAACAAGTGTTCGAACAGACTCCTGGACTCGATTCAATGCATATAGCGAAGGGACATCACGAGCGCCAATCTCTCTTGCCCAAGATAGTACTGCCTTTTTCTGCGCCTCGGAGAATGGGAGCCTTGGAGAACTAAATAGCAAGGCGGTAATATAATGCTTAAATGATAAGTTAGCAGTGAAAACGCACGAAGATAATGAAACATACGGCTTTTGTTGGCCAAGGATACGCTGGATTGTCAGGCGCAACTGGACGGTTCAGATTTACATCACACGAGGTGGTCAGCGGACAGTCGTCTAATGATGTAAATACGTCTCCTGCAGGGAACGAAACAATATCTCACCTAGAAGTTCGATCCCAAAGTTTGAGTCCGTCTCATCATCAAGGCTGGTCTCTTCACTCGCTGGGGCGAGCAGCATGGAAAATATTTGTTCCCCCGAAGCAAGGGCAGACTGCAACTCCTCGTACAAATCACATGTCTCGTTGACTTGGTAGAAAGGACTGCTGGAGATTGCGTTCCAGAGATCAGCGACTGGTACTACTTCATGGTCTGGTCCATGTGGCTCTGGGATATAGACAGCATCATCGACGTCCATCGCACTCGAGGAAACATCGTTGTGTCCGTCGTTTTTGTCGCTTTCGTCGTCGACAGGTGAAGGTAAATGTTCTGCTTCATGATGGTGCCGTTGCCGTTGTTGTTGACGTTGGGAAGTCGAGCGCGTTGAAGTCCAGACCTTGGCATGATGCTGATGTACGCCAGTGCCAACATGCTTCAATGCATGTTTAGGATGCATTGTGCGCAAAGTATTATCACGCTTCGGACACACATTGCACACAACCTGAGATGCTCCACAAAACTGCAAGACTGCATTAAACATCAGTAAACGCTATTCATGTTGAGTGTAAGACTTACTTATACTGTCAATAGCATGCAGTGCAGCTGGCATGATACCGATTGTCAAGTGATTACAGTGTGATCGCTGATTGGAGACTTGACGATTTGAAAGCGACTCTTTCAGATCATGTGATTCCTTGGGAGAATTTTGAGGCAAAGTCTGAAATTCTGAATTGAAGGGATTTTGAAGTCTTGGTCGGAATTTGGTACTGTGCATGGAATGCGTGAAAAAAATCAGCGAAAGAGAGAAGAAAACAATAAGAGCACAATACCCCAACAACTAAAAAGTAGCAAAAGATTTTAGAAGGGAACAGGTTCACTGCGCCTGAAAATGGAGGGGCGGCAGTTAAGATAGAATAGAGGAGAGGCGGAGGAGCAGATGATATGTAGAAAGGGAATATGTTAGACTTGTGAGTGCATAGAATAGAGGAGAAGCGGAGGAGCAGATGATATGTAGAAAGGGAGTATGTTAGACTCCTGAGTGCATAGAATAGAGGAAAGGCGGAGGAGCAGATGATATGTAGAAAGGGAATATGTTAGACTCCTGAGTGCATATAATATAGAAGAGGCGGAGGAGCAGATGATATGTAGAAAGGGAATGTGATAAGAAATCCGCTCCTGAGTGTTAAGCAGAGGGAGGGTGGCAAAGAAACAGGCAGAGGGTGATAATGGGGAGCGGAAGTCTGTAAAGGGAGAAAATGTCAAGCCAGGCTCAAAATAATGAAGAATATAATAGGGGTAGTGGAAAGGCAGATGATAGAGCGCCGAGGCGGGAGCAACAAAGATAAGGCAAGATGTCAATGATCTAAAGAATAGCAAAGGGAGTCAGCAATATATAGATCCGGGATTATGTTAAAACAACCTAGGGATCCTGCGACATACTATTCTTGCAGTCGAACAGATTGATGTAAACACAGGTCGGGGGGGAACATCGTCGAGTCTAGATAATAGATATGTGTCGAGACTTGAATCTGAGGGAAAGTGACTGCAATGAGTAGACTTTCCAACACCAGAGTCAGTGTGAGTGTTATACCTCACATTTATTATATGTCTTTCATGACTGTTTCGCCCCACAGGGAGAACATGAGGGCACAAACGTGCAAGTGTGCGGCTGTGGTGACTTATGCACGAACCGAAAAAGGGGTTACAATATAGCACGTGATTCAGATTGCTCCAAGTTCAACATCAACAGCAGCGAGGACTGGAGACACGACCATGTCAAACACAACAACTCTCCAACCTCATCATTTTTCAAGCGGGACCTTCTATCCAGATGTGCGACTTGCCGAATCAAAAGATGTAGTTCTTCAGCCTTTGTCAATCTTAGTATGGTTTTCAGGTGCAGTACCTCATCATCTCGCTCATTCGAATATTGTATGTGATATGATTTTCTTGAATAATGACCCCTTATGCTGACAAACATTCTATAGCCCATTGAAATTACTGTGTCTTTGAAAGACGAATATAAATCATTCACAGTACCGGTAATTGAGATAGCGTCTCAGCAGCATCATCACTCGAATAATGTATGTATATGCACCAAAGTTTTGCAATGAGACTAACCATAGTGCATCTGAAGTCCATGGCTTTCAGTCAATCTTGCTCTGCGACTGATAGCGACCTGGCTTTTTCCTTCCTTCCCCTGCTACCAGCATTCGATCACACAGATTCTGACCACTGGGCAGAACTCTTGGACAACATCCAATCCTGGCTCGTGAAATCTGTAGATCCGATAACGCCTGAATGGACTTGGGGTCGGGAAGTGTTCTGGTATGCATTCATCGCCACCCATCCCGACTTCCCAAGCGGAAAGTGGTCCTTCTGGGATCCTAGTATTCCCCTTGAGGGCCAATTCATTGAGGAGTGGGTGGGGAGCGGCGGCGTCATCAGGATGGCCATCGACGATGACGATGACGACGACGATGACGGCAAGCTAACCACTGTCTCTACACACGGTGATACCTTGGACTACATTTGGTCTGAATTTTCGAGGCACATCGTGCTTTTTTATCCCTATCCTTTGGTTTCTACTTCATGATTTTTCCTCCTTTGCACATTTGGGACACTTAGCACGATATATAGAGTACCACATCATATCATGTCTGCATGTTTTGTTGTTGCTGTATTTTGTCTTTAAACCAATATATATGTCCAATGACAAGCTCATAATCATGTTCCCTCGTGGTTTGCAATGCGAAGCGTGACATTAGACTATACTGCAGGACAGAGCTCACAGGATGTACAGCTGCTCACAGCATTCATCTGTAAAATACTTAGAAAATACTACGCAGAGTCCCAGCTCGTCACATGATGCAAGCCACATGGCACTTTTTCCTCGAGTGGTGATGTCACTCGAGGAAAAAGTGCCATGTGGCACAGCGCTGTGCTTAGAAAATAGAAGTCACAATTCAAAGCATAAGTATGGACTAGTCCACACCCGTTGTGCCTTCGGCACAGGAAGGCAGCAGAGCGCTTCGTGCTCTGCTCAAGGTGCCTGCAGCACCTTGACTTGTGCCTTCAGTACAAGTAGTGAGTGGAGTGTGTTGCACTCCACTCCGAGTCCTTCTTACATATCATAGCACTTTTCACACAATGAATTCTTAGCACATTTGAACAAAAGACATGAAAATTTTGAAGCAGGTTTTGATACATGTAAAACTACAAATTCTAAATTCTATGCAACGTAAAAGTACACAACTTGTCAATCAAACAATATCAATCAGTCCTCTAAGCACTTCTGTATATACAACATTCGTTGAATTTGTCCCTTCTTCATGCTCCGGGAAAATAGCAAACACTCTATCTGGGTGAGTACAGCAAGACAAAGCTACATAAAGCTGTCCGTGGCTGAACACAGGAGTACGTAAATTAAGCCCGACCCACTTGACACTCTGACCTTGAGCCTTGTTGATTGTCATGGCAAATGCGAGACGAACTGGGAATTGACGACGCCTGAGAGGAATCGGGTTTTCGTCAGAACTTGCATCCAGAGTGATCCGAGGAATCAGCACAGTGTTCTCTTCTTCATGGTGAACACCATCATTTCCTTCCCTGAGGATGCGACACCTGAGAACATGTGTGGTCCAAGATAGGAGGATCATATGGGTTCCATTGTAGAGTCCCTGCAAGGGGTTCAAGTTCCGCAAAAGCATAAGAGGAGCACCTTGCTTGACCTCCAATTTGTGTACAGGGAAGCCTGATGGAGTGAGGGTGTGAAGGAATTCCAAGGGGATGTAGTCATAATCTCTCTCGTTCACTGAGTCTGAGCTGGTGAAGACCATCTTTTCTCCAGGGAATAAGTCAAGGATTGTGGTGTTTATCTCGTCCACATCAGTGTTCTTTGCAGATAGGATGGTGCGGTCCAGGAAGTAGGAGTCAGCCAGGGGAGGATGATCAGGGGGCAGAAGGTCAGAGTATAGGGCATTTATGAGAGACCGGATGCTGTTGTCATTGCAGCGCATGCGAGCAGGGAGAGTCACTGTGCCATCTACCCCTGTGTCCCTACCAGCTCCAATCTCAAGGAGCCATTGCGCAAATTGATCTGAAGCTGGATCTTGACCAAGCCGCATATTTCTTTTCAGGTGAAAAATGCGAAGATCTCGCCATAGGCGAGATCTGCAAAAGGTAGCACCCACTATCTGCTCCCTGGATCCATGAGGCACCACCGGCAAAGTTTGCCTGAAGTCTCCTCCAAAGAGCATGCTTATTCCTCCGAAATCAGCATCGACACCCAAAAGGTCACATAACGTGCGGTCAAGGCATTCCAGGATGTGACGGTGCAACATTGGAATTTCATTGCAGATGATGAGACAGGTGGCCTTGAGAAGCTCATGGACCATGTCACCTTTGTTGATGCGACATGAGCTGTCCTCGTGAATGGGGATGGGGACCTTGAGTCGTGAATGAACTGTACGTCCGCCTGGAAGAAGGAGAGAGGCAATGCCAGAGGAAGCCACGCATAGGACGATCTTGCCTTCAGCATGGAGTTTTGAAGCAATGAGCTTGCGGAGATATGTCTTGCCACATCCACCGGCACTGTGGACAAAGTGCACGTGTCCAGGTTCTTGCTCATTACGTTGCATTGCGTCATCAACCACCACATCAAAGACCGCCCTCTGCTCTTCATTAAGAGATGGTACTCCTGCATCCACCAGATAGGATTTGATCTCATCCACAGCTCCTCTCATCTCCAAAGTGAGCCCCTTCAGTGAATTCACCCATATTAGACGGGCAGCTGAGGGTGACAATGTACCAATACAGACGGGCCAGCCTATGTGGGCCCATGGCAATAATTGTACCGTGGTAGACGAGTGGGCCGGTACATACTATGTGCAATGGATGACGAGTGGGCCAGGGAGATGGGTGTAATGGGGATGAGTGGGCCGAGAGTACACAGTGCAATGGAGACAAGTGGGCCGGTATGCGAAGTACAATGGAAGACGGGTGGGCTGGGGGTACCGGGTGCAATGGAAGACGGGTGGGCTGGGGGAACTAGGTGCAATAGAAGACGGGTGGGCCGGGGGTACCAGGTGCAATGGAAGATGGGTGGGCACAACTGGACCACAACCAGACCACAACCAGACCACAACCAGACCACAACCTGATAAAAAAAGACTAGACCTCAGTTGCCATTTGCCAGTTGCCTCAGGCAGGTTTAGGCCGGTCCAGTTTCAGTTGCCTAACTTTTGTGAAAAATGAAAGACCGGTCCAAGACCGGTTTCAACCGGTCCATTGTAGAACCGGTTGCCCATATATGGGTAGTACTCATCTAGATGATTCTATTGGTGGTCTCACCTTGAAAAATGGTCGAGATTTGGGAAAGCATTTTAAGAATAGCTCGTATAACTGATAAAAACCAATTTTTCCGGTTGTTTGCAGTCCTACAACTGGTCGGTTGTACACTGGTTGCAACCGGGACCGGTCCTGTGGCAATGTAGTACTTCTTCCTACAATTCTAATGGTGGTCCATTTGTATTAAACAGTTAAGATTTGAGTGAGATATGAGCATTTTAAGAATGGCTCGTATAACTGATAAAGACCAATTTTTCCAGTTGTTTGCAGTCCTACAACCGGTTGTACACTGGTTGCAACCGGAACCGGTCCTGTGGCAATGTAGTACCTCTTCCTACGATTCTAATGGTGGTCTAGTTGTATTAAATGGTTAGGATTTGAGTGAGATATGAGCATTTTAAGAATGGCTTGTATAACTGGCAAAGACCAATATTTCCGGTTGTTTGCAGTCCGGTTGTACACTGGTTGCAACCGGGACCGGTCCTGTGGCAGTGCAGTACTTCTTCTCAAGGGCTTACAAGACTAAAACTACTAAGTAGTAGTCTACAATAGTTGAATACAATAGTCTATGCTTGATAGTCTTATCGATAGTTGTGTGCCTGAACTTCCTTGAACACACCACTTTCTAGTATTTCGCTTATAACTCATTAGGATCTTAACCAAAAAATGTCATGAGACTATGGATAGACTACCATTGACAAGGGCTACAACTTTGATTTTCATCGAAAAAGTTCCCATAGTCTACCCTAGTCATTCCTTATCAAATCCTAATGGTAGAGTATCATATTAGACTTATGAAGTATTGTATTTTATTCTAAGTCCCATGGAATAAGTAGAATTATGTAAGTGTAAATTGGCTAAGGAAAATTAAGGAAACATCAGTCATATTACTTGTGTGCCTGAACTTTCTTGAACACACCACTTTGTAGTATTTTGCTTATAACTCATTAAGATTCTAACCAAAAAATGTCATGAGACTATGGATAGACTACTGTTGACAAGGGCTACAACTTTGATTTTCATCGAAAATATCCCACGGTCTACCCTAGTCATTCCTTATCATGGTCCTTAATCAAAATCCTAATCCCGAATAACCAAAAACTCGAAATTTCATAAAGTCTTTCTTTACTATTTGCTGTTGGTATTCTTAGTCTAACACTGATTGTAGTCCTAGTCAATGTGAGTGTATTGGTAGTCTTACTTTGTCAATTGGTTATCATATGATTGAGATACAAGCTAAAGAAATCCGAAACATCAGTGATAATCAAACAGCAAAATAGTAAAGAAAGACTATGAAATTCCGAGTTTTTGGTTATTAGGGACTAAGATTTTGATTAAGGACCATGATAAGGAATGACTAGGGTAGACCGTGGGATATTTTCGATGAAAATCAAAGTTGTAGCCCTTGTCAACAGTAGTCTATCCATAGTCTCATGACATTTTTTGGTTAAGATCCTAGTGAGTTATAAGCGAAATACTGCAAAGTGGTGTGTTCAAGAAAGTTCAGGCACACAACTATTGATAAGACTATTGAGCGTAGACTATGGGGATGGGCAAGACCCTGCCAACTTTAAACTCCGACAGTGATTTCCAATTCCTGCTCTACAGCTGGAATCAATGTCTAGCAGAAATATCGCATGGTAGTGTTTAACATTCACGTCGTAACAAAAAACCTTGGAAGCAAATGGACATTAAATATGATAATGCTTGTATTCTATGAGGAAAAACATGCAAAGGTGTTGTTTTCGCAGTGATCCTATTTTCAAATGGGGTAGAATGCAGCTTTTTTCCTGATTTTTTTCAGAGAATACAAAGTTGGGATAAAAAAAAAAGCCCCTCGTACCAATTTGACCACAATAGTGTGACTGAATCGTCTGTGGCCATGCGATCTTTGAGCACACCAAATATGTGCTGACTAATTAAGATTAAGTGCGACGCGTCACATTTTGACGCGTCAAGCCAAGCACAATGGCCCTCATCGCACGGAGATATATTACAAGTGACCGTTATAATCCCTCGAAGAAACGATCTAGCAAACAAAAAGCTCACCTTATATCCCTAAACTCAAAGACGCACACAGAAAAGGAGAATAACCCAAATTTCGGCAACACCACTCCTAGACCTGTAACACGGACACAAAATGAGCTTGCCGTGCAACAAGAGAAAGCCATTACTTACGAGAGGCGCTACCGAAGTGAGCGCAAGCGGGCCACACGAAAGGACCATGCTGCTGCAAGTCTGCAGATGCAGATGCACTCGTTGCAGTCGTCAAATGCAGAGATCACAGCAGTAGCCAAGAAGACACAGGAGCATCTCGATAATGCTATGCAAAGCATCAGCCACCTGCACCACAAAAACAAGTCGCTCACCAAATGAAACCACGCACTCGTAATGCGCGTCACACGTGCCTCGGCAGCAAAAACACGCGCGAATGAGAAGGCACGGGATATCCTTGCCACCGAAGCTGCCAGCACCTTTTCTCTCAAGGAGAAAGGTGCGTTTACAAATGTATCCCGTGCTATGGTGCGAGACTTGGTCGCAAATCTGGACATACCTCTTCGGAGCATCAATGCCACAATCAATGTGGTAGCGGAGGCATTAGGTGTTGAGGTGGAGGGAGATGTTAGCCAGCGCAGTATTCGCCGGATGGTGACTGAAGGTGGCATTGCAGCGGAGACACAGCTAGTCGACGAGATCACTCATGCAAGAGGTATGCAAGTTGTTTGACTCAGAGTCAAAGAGATTTTGACCCCAACCCCTGCGACACAGGAGTTACATTAAGCGGAGATGGTACCACCCACAAAAATATCAATTACCAGTCCCACCATGTCACTCTTACTCTGCCGGACGGCCAAACTGCGACTCGATTGGCAGGAATTCTGCATGAAGTCAACCACACCAGCGAGACTCAGTTACAAGGGTGGAAACATCAAGCTAATGAAATGTACTCCACCTACAATGATGTCATGGGGGGTCACAACACTGCAGACATTCGGGATTTTGCCCCAAAAGTCAAAGGAATGTTGACAGACCATGCTGAAGACCAGAAGAAGCTTGTTCGTCTGTTCGCAGAGTGGAAACGAGAATGCGAGTGAGAAGTTCGTGGTGAAAAGGCACTCGCCTGCTTACCTCCGGCTGATGTCGTACATCTACTTTCGGAAATGATGGAAAACATTATCGAGACTGAGGGCGGCTATCAGCAATGGGATTTGCTTTCTCCAGATGAGCGGCAGCTCCATTTTAGCAAAGCCATCCGTCAACTGCGCATGACCTTTGGAGAGAAGGAATTTGCATCCCTCTCAAGTGCCGAAAAGGAGGCCGTGGACTTTTTCGTGTGGGCAGGCTGCTGCATGCATAAGGAGCTAAATGCAGCTAAAGGGGGGAATACAAGGATGCGAGCATGATGGGAACAGAACGGTGTTGACGGCCCTGTCCTATTGATGAATAAGGACAATTCGGCTGCAGCATCAGCGGGTTCCTCAGTAGCCAAAGATTGGGCTGTTCAGGTGTCAACAGGAGGTGGGCAGAAGACTTTGGATCTTGCGGGCAGCGTATTTCGTCACAAGGACGACAAAAAGGGCCAACACGACTCCCTTCAATATTATCTCGAGACAGAGTTAGGGTTCACCAGTCAATGGCCCGACACAAGTAACACTCGCTACCACAGCCATGGTGATGCCGCATGCGAGTATCTTGTTCACAAATCTTGGTACATGCAGTTCCTGGAGATCGTACTGTTTAAAAAGGAAAGCCGGACGCACACGAACATGGAGCAGAATGTCTTCTGAGGCTTCTCATGTCTCAGGACGGAGGAGGAAATTACATGCTGGGCATCATACAACCAATGCCTCACCCATCCGTATCTATGAACCATCCGAAATTCATCCACCAACATACTGGACCTGGGGCCCATTCATGCCAAGGTCATCGCTCACCTACAGTGTCTCATTGCGGATGTTGACCTTGTTTTTGGTCCGAGCGCCTCTCACGAAACAGCAACCCTGGATGGTAGGCCATTTGAGCGTCCAGAGGCAGTCTACGCAATCCAGTAAATCGCCCAAGACCAAAAAAATTACCCTCACCTTCGTCGTCTTCTTGTCACATTTTTGGAAGGTGCTCTTGACACTTGGGTCCGCTTTTGTGGCGAGTTCACTGCTGGTGGAGTGATAGATAAGTCATCCGCTGCTCAAAGAGAGATGGCTTACATGAAAACAACAAACGACGACAACGAAGGCGCCCTAGGGACAGTCCGTACGTCTTTGCGGCGAGCACCGCACATGTCCTTGTCACACCTCAACTCTCGGTTCATGTACAAGAAGAACATGACAGGAACCTACATACAGAATTTCCTTCGGCCTGGGGCTCAAAAGAGGTTGCTCAAGAAGGCTTGCGCTGTTGATACACGAGGTGATGAGCGAAAACGGCGGGTTGCGCAGGCTAACTATGATAAGGAGCGGGTGAGGAAGAACAAGCAGCTGGATGTGCGGAGGAAGGAACGGCGGGATGCTGCAGAGGCTAAGCTCACCGCAGTTGTGCCTCGTTTGACCCTTGCAGAAGTCGAAAAGCTCCGCGTCGACAAAATTAACCTGCAGATCCAGTGGCATCGTTGATTTGACAAGGATGTGCCTGCTGCAAAAAACATGCCATCAGGAAAAGCAAAAAAGGTTGAGGTATTGATGGATGCAGTTGGGCGCTACGTACGAGGTGAAACGCACCCTAAAAACGATACACAGCACTCGATGGAGCAGCCAGACGGTAGTAACAATGCTCAGGGGATGCCTGGATGTGAGGATGAGTATGATGATGAGTGACCCTTATGTTTTGTTGACCATGGCTATTAATGCATAATGTTTAGAATTGATTATAATTCAACGATACAGCATTTTTATAGGTACTTACGATCTTGATAGTGTCGAAAGGCTTCGCCGTACACAGTTTGCCACAGTTTGCCGCTCGTACTACTACAATTTTGATTACATAATGTCACACTTTTCTTAGAGGCGTTGCCCATCCCCATAGACTATCACATTCAACTATCAAGTAACTAGACTACTACTTAGTAGTTTTAGTCTTGTAAGCCCTGTCAACCTTGTGGCATGTTTGTGAGGCTGTGGCGAAAATACTAGTAGGCAGGGCGGGGTTTGGGAGGCCTTTTTTGTAATGCTCATATCTTGCTCATATCTTAATTGTTTAATACAAATGAACCACCATTAGAATCGTGGGAAGAGGTACTACACTGCCACAGGACCGGTTCCGGTTGCAACTGGTGTACAACCGGCCGGTTGTAGGACTGCAAACAACCGGAAAAATTGATCTTTGCCAGTTATATGAGCCATTCTTAAAATGCTCATATCTCACTCAAATCTTAACTGTTTAATACAAATGGACCACCATTAGAATTGTAGGAAGAAGTACTACACTGCCACAGGACCGGTCCGGGTTGCAACCGGTGTACAACCGGTTGTAGGACTGCAAACAACCGGACAAATTGGTATTGATCAGATATATGAGCCATTCTTAAAATGCTCATATCTCACTCAAATCTTAACTGTTTAATACAAATGGACCACCATTAGAATTGTAGGAAGAAGTACTACATTGCCACAGGACCGGTCCCGGTTGCAACCAGTGTACAACCGGCCAGTTGTAGGACTGCAAACAACCGGAAAAATTGGTCTTTATCAGTTATACGAGCTATTCTTAAAATGCTTATATCTTTCCCAAATCTCGACCATTTTTCAAGGTGAGACCAACAATAGAATCATCTAGATGAGTACTACCCATATATTGGCAACCAGTTCTACAATGGACCGGTTGAAACTGATCTTGGACCGGTGTTTCATTTTTCACAAAAGTTAGGCAACTGGCAACTGGCAATGGAGGTCCGGTCTATTGTGGTCCGGTTGTGGTCTTTTATGGTCTTGCAACCGGACTTTTAAACTCTGACCAGATTTGTATGATAGATGTACCAGATGGACACAGTATTGGGTGGTATATCCTGTGTGCACCGGATAGCATATCATCCGGCCCACTCATCTCCATTGTGCCCCATTTACTGGCCCACCCGTCTCCACTGCACCCTATCCCTTGTTGGCCCACTCGTCTCCATTGTACTACATACATATACCGGCCCACTCGTCTCCATTGTGCTACATACATATACCGGCCCATTCGTCTCCATTGGACCTCATTTACTGGTCCACTCGTCTCCATTGGACCTCATTTACCGGCCCACCCATCTCCATTGTGCCTCATTTACCGGCCTACCTGTCTCCATTGTGCCCTATCATCTCGGCCCACTCGTCATCCATTGCACATAGTATGTACCGGCCCACTTGTCTCCATCACACACCACCATTCATAATCTATTATATAGTACATTGGTATACTACCATCTATACTATATACCACAGGCCCATCCATTTGCATTAGGTACACACCAACCTCGGCCCACTCGTCTATCATGGTACAATCACCGGCTTCGGCCCACATGGGCTGGCCCGTCTGTATTGGTACATTGTCACCCTCAGCTGTCCGTCTAATACGGGTATAAGTTACTGTAATATGTGTAACACTCCTTTCCACAGCTATTCTTCTGGTGTCTGGGAGATAGACTCGATGAACATTGCTGTCACGGTCGTATCCCACCCATCTGCCATCAATCACTCGCATATTGAGCTTCAAGTCGTTCATTGAGTGAACCTTGACGTGGCAACCCCAAACTGGTACATCCTTGAGGTTGGGCTTCATTTTGAACAATAACTCATGGGGAGTCTTGTTGTCCAGTGCTCGAGTCGCCATTTGGTTCTTCAGCCATGTAACGTGCATGATGGCTTCCCCCCAGAGGAACTTGGGCAGTCCACTGGCATGGAGTATGGCGCATGTCTGTTCAACAACGGTTTGATTGAGTCGTTCAGCGACTCCGTTGTGTTCTGGTGTGCCGTGGACGGTGAGTTTCCGTTCTGTGCCTTTGCTGTTGAGATGACGAGTGAACTCATCACCAGTGAACTCTCCACCACGATCAGATCGAAAGCACTTGATCTTCGTATCGAACTGCATGTTCACCCAGGCCTCATAGGACTTATACGCGCTGAAGGCTTCATCCTTCGTGCGCAACAGGTACAGGTGAGAGAATCTTGTATGGTCATCAGTGAATGACACGAAATACTCGTTGTGCCCAGGTGTCCTGACTGGAGATGGCCCCCAAAGGTCACTATGCACCTCGTCCCCGAACTTCTCGCGTCTTGGGGGATCTCGAACCTTGCCGATTGGCTTGTGCGTGGCCTTTGCATACTCACACGAGTCACATTTGTCCATTGTGGCGTCTGAGGGGTCCAATGCGATTCCAGTGATGATGCCTTCCTTGATCATGCGCTTAATGCTCTCTGGGGCAATGTGCCCAAGTCTGGCGTGTACCTCCCGCATAGTAAGTTGCTCCTCTGTCTTTGCAACTCCAGCAAAGGGCTTCCTAATGCCCTTTATACAGTACAAGCCCTTGTTCATTGGTATCTCCCCCAGCTGATTCTTCCTGTCATTGAAGATCTTGCACGTGTCTGCGCGAAATAGCGCTGCATATCCGGCTGCGGTCAGACGACTAATGGAGATGAGTGTCACACCCATTTTGGGTGCGTATAGGACGTCTTTAAGGAGGATTTGAGAACTCGACTCTCCGTTCGGTAGGATGATGAGAATGTTCCCTTTACCAGTGGCCTCAAAGGTATGTTTGTCAGCTGGTGTTATAGGCTTCGGTGGGATGTTGACGAAGTCTTGGAACAGATCGCGGTACAACGACATGTGCCTTGATGCACCAGAATCGAATAGTTTGGTACACGATTCACGCTGGGAGTTGGAGATGGCCAATGTCGCATAAGTGAATGATGTTTGCTCTTCTCCCACCTCATCTGTATCATCCATTAGCCAAACACCCTCTGGCCCGTCGTCTCCTTTATCCTTGGAGCTGGCTGCAGTCTCAGGCTTCCTGTCCTTGCCTTTTCCATCTGACTTCTCGCCACAACATCACATCAACTTAATGCATTATGTAGTGTAGTTACAAGTTACCTGTTGTGCATTAACGAGTGTAACTACCAGGTGCAGGTAAATGCATTAATCGAGTGTAACTACAAGACGAGATAAATGCATCACACATATGTTTCAGACACGTGGCACTTTCTCCAAGTCCTGGAGTGATGTCATTACTGAAGGAAAAAACTGCTTGGAACTAATTTACATCGCCCCTACGATTTGTACGAGCGAGAATTCAGATTATATTGAATGGCGGCTAGTAGTACATCAATGAACAGGCTGTATCTCTGGTGTATGAAGATCTGGAAGGTGGAACAACAACGAATCCAAAAACACCTGGCCAGCGGCAGTAACATGCCGTGCCCACAAAACCTTGAACTTTGTACCAAGGTCGCAACATGTTTGAGCCTGGCGAGTGGCATAAGCAACTACCCCTTCCCTTTCAGCCCCCGCGAGAGTGCGCAAATGAGCCATATTGTCCCACCAGAGCGCATGCCATTGGAGAAATTGGAGAACTCGACGCATTTCTTCCCGCAGTAGCTCAATTTCTTCCTTCCAGCGCATCATCCTAGCACGAGCTTTGCACCACTCCACCCAAAGACCTGTTGATCCGGTGAGCATTGAGTTTCAGCTGAGAGAAGAACCGTACCATCCTGAACTACTTCATCCTCATCATCTCCAACTCCTTCCACCACCCAAATCCACAAGAGCTGCCTTCTTCCCTCACTTTCTCCTTTTCTGGGGACTGTCATCCCATGCACATCGTCTTTGTTGTTCAGCGAGTGAAGTTTAACGTTCCAGCCTACCTTGTTTAGAACAGGAGCGAGGGAGGATAGTGCAGTATGGGCCGCACGATATCTGTCAGCTGCGGCTGCAGCCCTTGCCTCTACTCGACCAAGCACATTGTGTGCACGGGTGTTTGCACTCTGTCCGCGAATACAGTTGCGTTTGAACGTGTACATGTAGTCACGTAGTCGAAGACTCTGTCTGATCTCGTCCAGTGCGTCTCCTGCCTGCGCAATTTGAAGCTCCCACTCGATTGTGAGAAGGTGGGGGCTGCAGGATATGGTGTCAGCGGTCAATGATGATGGTAAGAAGAGCTTGATGTCCTCTGGGTTGTCTGGAATGCCGACGGTTTCCAGACGGGATGATAAAAACTGCGCCGCTGGAGTGTAGAGCAGCTGCACTCCCTTCCATGCATCCACCTTGCACTGGAGGGCATTCCGCTGCCGCACAAGGAAGGTCTTCTGTCTATCTGTCTGGTGTCCTCCTTGCAGAGAAAAATCCGACTTGAAGCGATGCCTAAGGCTATTTAGCGATACTAGGAAAATCATGGTAGTACTACTCACTGTTCACTTTCAAGGTCAATTCCAGTTGCGATGTGGGTACAACGAACAGACTTGGAGGAATCTGCTCTGATGTGAGGGCAATATGTTCGACCTCTAGGGGAAGCTGAGTCAGGCGGAAGTCGGGCGACTAAGTGCGCTCGAAGCGCGGGAACGCGCGAGGTATGCGGAGGGCGCGGGAAATGCGCAAAAAGCGCGGAACACGGCGCTTGTAGAGTGCAAGTGCGGAAGGATGTCTAGGATCGTGTAGGACGCAAGGAATGGGTATCAAGCGAATGTATTATGAATATAGACTGTTAAGGGAAGGAGAATATGACTCCTGGCTATAGATAAGTGCTCTCTAAGACATAGCTCAAACTGCTGAACTCTTCTAAGGGTGATTGCATAAGTAGGAACCTTCTGTCAGAAAGCCCAGTAGATATAGAGGATAGCTAGCGAAGAGGGAGCGAAAAGCGTCCTAAAGCGGCCGAAGAGCGCGGAAGCGTGGGAACGCGGCCGAGGAATGTCACAGATGTATGTAAGGAGACAGCAGCTGTCAGAAAACCAATATATGTATGTAATACGCACCTATGGACCGAATAGACAATGGATGGATGGACCTGAGGAAAGCCGATGGAAGCACGGGAGTCTGCGGAAGGTCTGCGGAAGGCGCGGGAAAGTCGCGCCTACAGTGCGGATAGGGATGAGGTCGATGTATAAATGAGGGGATACGAGCCTGTAGAGATATCACTCTCTACAGTGATAAACACACTGGGCGATACATCTATGTGTAGCGACATGTTGTTTCCTTCCCAAAGTTGATGTGCTTCGATCTCGACCAATTTGAGTCAAACTGCTGCTTGAGTGATTGCTGTCAAACTATTAGAATTATGCGACATTCGGAGATGTGATTGACTTACTCGAAACCTTCATTTTGAACGGATTGGGCACAGACATGTCGTTGGGATTTTCTTCCCAAAGCTCGACATCTTCTCTCCATCCTGTGGTGGTCTCCAGCTTCAAGGCTCCGTTGAGTTCTTCGAAAGCATTTGCGTGAGCTTCATGTTCCTCGTTAGCCTCGTTCATCTTGCGAAGAAGAGTAGCACCTGACACAGTAGCACAAAGTTAGAATCACGCTAATGTTGTAATGAGAGAGAACACGTACCGAGGCCAACTAATTTCTTCCAGTTCCAATCGCCGAAATGGTCGTCCAGGGTGTCCCTTCGAGACCCTGGTCCCATTTCCTTGGTACTCGACGCTATGGGGTTTATATTCGACCATCCTCATTCGGGAGCCTCTCCGTCAGTACGCCCAACGTTTTTGGAAAAATTGAAGGAGAACATTGACTGACACTTCAGTATGTGGGCGGGTAAATGGAATTTTGGAACAAAGAACCGGACCAATTTACTTGCGTGATCCAGTCGAAGATGAGCCGGCATTGTTGACATGCACTGCCAGATATGCTTGTGCCATTGACAAGCGATATTGTACGAAATGTTGAGAACATCAACACGCCATTGACTGAGCGCGGAGAAAAATAGATAGTCCATATTCATGTACCTAAAAATGAATGCAGTGATTAGCATTTTGGAACATTTATTATCGCAAGCAGCTTACCTCTCGCCTTTCTGTAAATCTCCAACACCGTTCGGTAATTTCATATTGTGTCATGTGCAATCGATCATCCCAACACCTGTTGCAGCCAAGCCTTGTGATGCCTTCGTGTCGGCCATATTAACAGCATTGTGAGAAGAACAGGTACTCTTCTGCGCACAAGAGGTCAGACACAATATATAAGGGAAGCATAAAAAAAGCACCTCCTGTGGCTTCCCGCTATACTGCTGCAAGTGAGTTTTGTAGGCCGTTTCCTCCACAAAATATGCCCATCCTTGACTCAGCCCAGGGTCCATGCTGTCCTTTGAAATAGCACGCCTCTTCAGGCGAAAATTGGCATCAATCGCGACAAAGAGCGAATATAACCATCTGACAATGGAACTGTGAGTGATTAATCAAGGACTCACACACTAGAGTAAAGATCCCTACCGCTTGTCATCTGGCGCATCCTGCCAATCATCCGGTAGGTTTTTTCCAGCCTGGGGGCAAGCGGGACATACCACAGCACACTCTCCTTCTTTCGTTCCCTCCACACCTGTTGGATCATGTCTGCGACCCGCACGTTTAAGCATCTTCAGGTGGCGCCATTCTCGAACCATCTGCAAGAAGGCTTCGTACCGTTTCTATCGATGGATTAAGCGGCTAGAAGATGATTTGAAGTATATCACATACCTTGTGTGGGTGAAGACCAGTATTATCTGTAAGTCGTGTAATTGTGTGATAAAACTCGTAACTGGATGCCTTGGACTCAAAGGACAACAGATGGTACTGTTTGAGAATTTGAAATGTAGCTGCTGTTCGAGGTTCTGATGTAGTTGCTGGAAACCAAGCTACACGAAGTAGCTGCGTCGTATGTATCTGCGCAGTGTTGCAACCACAGTAATCAAGTCCGATTTCATGCATACCATTGGTGTGAATTAGCGTAAAGTCGTCATTGAATGCCCGTTGGGGCAATAGGCACTCCTCTTCAATCAGATGGCCAAGTTGTACCCGTAAGCCGAGCCGTTTGAGTGACAAAGCAGCAAATGAAGATCCCGTCCATTTCTGCGCAAACATAAGTATGGTCAAGGTGATGAATACAGAAACTTGCCCGAATCCGATGGAGGGGATTCCTGGCGTGCAAAGACACAATACATGCTGAGCAAAACAATTTCCCGCTGAAGCAATCAATACACCGGTATTCTGGGAGGCCGAAATGGCAACTTCCACAGACACAAAGGTTCATGTAGTCACCCCGTCCATCATGCCGCAGAAGCTCGAGTAGGACAGTGTCGTGTTCGCCTTTCCATGATTGAAGAGGTGTGCGTTTGGTTTTGGGATCATCTTCAAGTTCAGTCTCCAAAAATTCAGTCTCTATGTCCGCACCAGTAAAATCTGCAAAGTCGTGATTCGTGTGTGAGTCAGTCATTATCGAGTCCATTGCTTCGACGAATTGGATTGAAGATGTACTGGGCTTCACGGTGACATGAGGTCTGTGTGCTCTGAACCCTTGTTTTCAAGAGACAAAGGTGTATGTCTCATGAACACTTGATGTGTTTGGAAGCTGGGGGGTATAGATATTGACCTTTTTCCGCTTTGCTGCACCACATCCTTTAAGTTTGGTGAATGACAGATGTTGAGACATTGGCCCGACTTGAGAATTGACAGGTTCTGGATGTATAGCTTAATCCACGAGCAAATAGACAACTAGGAGGAAGCAACCTGCTGGTATATGCATGTGCTGTTGCAGGCTGAGCGCTGATCGATCGCTGAGTCATCGCTATACTAATGCATTTACATTTGTCATCCAAATGCATTATGTTCACGATCTAAATGCATTACTCAAGCTTAGAGGAAGTAATGCAATACATTGGCCAGACTTATAAGGTGCTTCCTTGGCTGTGAAGTCATCATCCTTTCCCCCTCATTCTTTCCATGTATCAAGGCTCGCTACCACTAACAGAAGTGTCACCATTTCAAGACTTCGGATCTCCGGGTAACTTGTGCACCATTCCTCTTTTATTGGTGTCACTCTCAAGCCCTCTTTGAGTTCTAGTGATGGCAAACACTAATCATGTTTCAAGCCCACCAGAATCCAAGTCAGCGGTTATATTGTATGATCCGGAGCGTGAGTCTGACTTTCATTTCAATATTGTGTGACATTGAGCTTCGAGACAATTAGTAGCCAACTCTGTGCTTCCTGCCACGGAAACTGCTATATTTCAACTACCGGAATACTTATGCTACTATGCTACGCCATACTTGGCACAAGAGCCACAGAATGTGTGGGTCCATCAGGATGACCCGATGTACAAAGAGATTGTCAGATCTCTCACTGATGATTGTGACTTATATCTTTACGGCGGTGTGCTGTACAATGTACCAGTTGACACCGCACCATTGTCACCATATTATTGTGTAACCCGTGGGCGATATATTGGTGTTTTTAACAATTGGTGAGTCATTGGTTTAAGTCTAGCTAGAACTTCGCTGCAGTCATTTAAATTTTAAAATGATTCTAGGCTTAATGTTGAGGAAAGCATCGAGGGTTTTTCTAACCGGGTTTTTGCTGTTACGTCGCTTAAAGTTGGAGTGGCGCTTCTCCACCGCATTATTGATCGAGGCGAAGTAGCGAAGCCAATTTGGAGCTGAGTCATTGGCCATAGTACTATTTCACTTGATTTGGAATATTCAGGCTCCTCGTCACGGTCATACAGCATAGATGCTCATCGCATGTTCATTTGCACTCATGACACTCATCGCGTAGTCATTGCTTTCGCTTACAATCTGGTGTTCTTCTATTCCAACGGCCATACCGCCATCCCATGAAAAATCAACAATTGACCTAACAATTTTTAGCATTTCAGGTTTCTGATGGCTTTATTATCAAGACCTACTCCGATGCAGGCCAAGTTGTTGATGTCGAAGCAGAGCTTCAGATGCCAATTAGCAAGGATATTATTCCCACCCATGAGCCAACTTTAATCTATCTAGTTGAGCCTCGCCGAGTTTCTTCCGCTGTTCTTAAAGTTTCCGGGACTCTTGGAGCTGAGATCGACCAGCGTAGTTGGGATTAGTCGTGATGAAAATACCATTTACGTATATTTGATTTAAATGTTGGGGTTTTTCACCAATAAAACGAGACCTTGCTGCTCTGCCATGTGCTGCTGGATATGTTTCTCATGTGCTTCATTCATGGCAACCTCCTGGCGACCAAGAAGCTTACGGTGCTTGATTCGACCATCAAGACCTCCAATAGACTTGTGGACCTCGTGATCACGTAGAGTTGCGCCGTGTGAGCGGAGGTCGCGAAGAATCAGAGGGAGATTTATCAAGTACTTTTCCGGATGCAGCAAACATGTGTTGTGAGTGAACGTGTAATTGGACAGTGTGCAAGATGCCTAAAGACTCTGTTTGGCATGGGTTGTGGAGGAGTGGGAGATGGTACATTGAGTGCTGAGACGGGTGGATCGTACCTGGCATGCTCCTCCGTCTTCATACTACCATCAAGGCGAAGATACTTCCAGTTCATCATCTTCAAGAATTTCCCATGACCTTCGTCATTTGGAAGAAAATAAGAACCTGATAGAAAGAATGATCAACACAGCTTGGGTAATCACAGAAAGCGACACACCCTGTGACCTGTTGAGAAGGATTGGGGGAAAATACGCGACAACAGCTCGAGTTTGCCAGCCGACCTGACTAATTTATCGTCAATGAGACCAGCAGGATTGACCTTGTCCTCGACGCTCTTGAATAAGAGCGGATGTGTTGCCCAACGTGTCCTGGGAGTGTCCTGGGCGCCTGTAAGAAAACTGCAGAAGTAGTAGAATAGAGAATTCGAGCACTTACCTCATCTATCTGGCCAGGAGCGTTGTGCTTGCAATAGTGCGATTGATCGGATTCAACAGCAGCGTTTTAGGTATTTGATGTACTTCATGCTTGCCACTGCCTACCAAATGTATGCGCCTACTTACTGGTTTCCGGTTCAGCGGGTAGGAATTTTCACAAAGGATGTTTTATTTGATGAGCTGTAAAAAAGAAGTCATTGACTCTATTTCCACAGAATCGCCCTCACTCGATATAAGCAAAGCAACACCCTCACCTTTTCCCTCACCATCACCACAACCATGAGTCGCTCCGCTTGTTGATTCTACGTCCACAGCATATTTGACTGGTTGGCTCAAATTCATCATGGTATTGGTACAATGGCTTGTAAGTTGATACGGCCATGGTATAGATACAATGGCATGTGGGTCGATACAGCTTTCCCTCTAAATCATCTCAAATCCGAGGTAAGCGCATGTACTTGCGTCGAAACCATCTCTCATACCTTTTCAACACTTCGGGTTCGTAGTCATGGTCAGATATTGCGGATATCTCGTGCGAGATGACTATTTGTTCCAGCGTAGTGTTGATATAAGACATTTGCCAGTGCGTCCAGCGACTGTAGAAGACAGAATGGATATAGTTTGTCTGGCTTCTAGTGATCTCAGGATAGTAAAGACGGGTGTTCACCCCCAGAAGGTCAGTTCGACGGGGAGTTTGTCATTGAGGATCACATCTGCTGGTGGCCCAATCACTATATCAAATTGTAAGATCAGGTCACCAAAAAAACAAAATATTGACTCTACTGAAAGCTACAAGAGCTGGTGAACAAAGCTATTTCTGAGCCTTGTTCCAAAGATTTCAGTGAGTATCCTGCACACTCAGATGAACGTAGGGCGTCCATTTCATGTTTCAGTGGTTCATCGAGTAAGAAGATGCCATGATCTCGGGTTGACGATACATACAATGTTGCAATGAGTCTGTCTGAACCTGGGTACCTTTCTTCTTTTGTTCACTCCCTTCAATCAAATATATCATCGTCTTCTATGTCTATACTGACCAGTTCGATCTTAACCAGTGTGCCAACCAGAGGATACATTTCACCAGTATCACCATGTATGTTCACCATACATACTTTCTTTTACATACACATCATTCATTTACCGATACACGTTTCATACACGTTCACGTATACCCATACTAAACGAGACTTAGTTCTCCCTTCGTCTTCTAGGTATGGACTTGTCGTAGTCTAGTCTTTCTAATCAAGACTGAGTTCTCCCTTCGTCTTCTAGTCTTCTAGTCTGAGCCTCTTCACCTTGTGAGAACCAGGGAATTGATAGGGCGCTCATTCAAGTGCCAAGGCTTCTGTTCACATCGTCGACGTCTGGAACTTCGAATGTATGTGCATCTATTTCGCAGTGGCAAGACCGCCCAGCCTCACCGAGTGGAGCATCCTCATCCTTCTCGCCATTCGAAATGCCATACTCGCCATCTCGTTCGCACGCGCATAATGATAAATGCACGATGTTGCAACCAGCAGCCGTCACGATCTAGAACAAAGATTAGTAAACATATTGGATTAACCGGATCGTCGGCATACAATGCCTTACGCTGCCCATGTATACAGCCTTTCCCGGTGAATAAGGTGGCACCGAGTTACCGATATTTATATTGACTTCAGCGTGGAATGCAAGGACGCAGTAGTTGGAGTACGAATAGGAAAGGAAGCCTCGATAAGACAAGAAGAATCGATGAAGACGGCTGTTAAAAGATTATGAGATAGATTTTGACCTCATAAGGTGTATTCATCGATCGAACAAGCTCGATCGTCGAAAGACATGTTGAGTCCTAGTATATAGATTAGACAAACGACTCCGATGTCATGTAGGTGAAGCAGAACACTTACAATTCTCATTATTCTGTGGTTCCGTATAATCTGTGGTGTTCATCGGAAAAAAATCGGATGCTAGATCACATAGCGCTGTTGCGATAACAAATGAATTGTGTCGGTGGAGAATACATAATGTTGATGAAGGGCATGTTCTTTTGGGAGCTGTAAATAAATAGAAGTCAGTGGACTTAATTCCACAGCAACGCCCTCACCTTTTCCCTCACCGTCATGACCACTGTCAGTCGCACCTCACTAAGATCAAACACATCGACTTCCTGTAATAGCCTATCCCATGTCCACAGCGTCCTAGACTGTGTCACGGTGGTCATTTGGATGGACTGTAATAGGTGACATCGTCATCACTCCTTCCCACTGAAAACGACGATTCAAGGCAAGGGCTATCATTCATACAGTCGGTTCCATGGGGAGGTTGTGGTTGAGGTATGCATTTGCTTGCGTCCTAATCTTTCAATTCAATATTTGGATCAGGTCAATGAAACAACACCATCTAAATGTTAATTACCTTCAAGTGACTTTTCATTCTGTCAGATGCAGAGGTCTGTCGTGTAATCACCAAGATATCAGTACCCGTCGCTGCATTTATGATATGGTCTCCATCAACGGCTCTGCCCACCCCGGCCCGCACACACCTCCCTCACTTCTTCATGAAGTCGAAAATCTGTCAGGGCACATTATGAGTAGGTATCCGAGCGGAAATGTGCGGACGTGCCTGTGCATGGGACGGCAGGACAGACGCTCAAACGTACATGAACGTGTAGAGGGCCACATGATTGGTATTCCACTAAACACAGGGTGAGACACCGATGTGGTGGAAGGCAGGAACTCACCGACTGGCCCATCATGAACAGGACAAAACACTGGCATGTTAGAAGTCATAGTCAAAATGTGCAATGGTGTAAAAGCGAGAAAGGATTCACGATTGCCATTCAGCCAAATGGTTGTTTCACATGCTCAGCCCATGTCTCACATTCAAGGCCGACAAGGAAGAGAAGAGATCTGGGTATAACAATTGCAGATTGAGTTTGACATTAACCCCATGTACTGTACAGTGCCTGTTAGTGGCTGTTAGGAATGTAAGAGACAGATGTACATTTAAAAACGACAAAGCCCTCCCCCACTAATGTGGTAGTTGGGGACTTGTGGACCTGGTGGCACTGGTTTCTGTCCGACTTCCTTGGGATGGCCTTGGAACCTTCGCCCATGACAAAGAACTTGAAAGTCACCGCTAAATTTCATTTGCGCTTGTATTGAAGAGGGTACTTTGTTACAATCTTTTTTTTTCAATTCACGCTCATATCAAAGAGGCTAGTGTATAATATACTGCATCCAGAGTCCAGACCACACAGTAATGCGAAAAGACTGACCTTTTTAATACCACGTCTGATGAATGTACACCATAATGCGAAACCTTGACTATCGGACATTTTACTCGTACACGGTAGAATATGATAAAAGTCTATTTTTTTTATTTCTACACCAGTCGCCCACCTTTAAAATCACCGCCCCCTCGATAATCCCCCCACAAAGCAATTTCTTACTGCAATGCCTCGTCGTGGCCCAAAAGCTTGGACAACTCCTGAGGAGGAGGCCTTCCTCCACAGTCAGCTCACTGCCTATATTGCCTGTCAGGCAACAAAGGTTTACCACAACTTTTGGAATACTATGATCCACGATTTTTTAAGCCGTTGGCCGGAGAGAGCACGTCTAACTGATATCCCACAGGAAGGCGAGCTCAGCGATATACAGAAGTCTCACATGGCACAAGCAATCCTGAAACGAAAATCTGTGAGTTGAATCATTACATTATGATACACGAACATGTTAAAAACAAATTTTAGGCCATTAAAAACTGGTTTCGGTGGCGTACAAATGTTGCACGTCTGGCCGCTCAGGCGGATCTGGTGGTGTCTTGAGGCTTGATACCATATTGGCTGGAGATGAGATGAGAGGGACACATGCTCCACAGGAAGTCGAAATCTACTCACATATGCATTATGAAGATCACATCAAAGCCGATGCTGATGCTTTGATTGCCTCCAAGACCATCACTTCACGTGGTGACAAATTGTTAATGCGAAGAATTGTCACCCATAATAAATATTTGAAAGAGCCTGAAGAAATAAAAGCAGAGGTAAGGCAAAGGCACCAAGTAGCCCTAGAGAAGTGGAGACAAACTCGCGAGTGGAACAAAGCCGGGATCATTGAGGAAGTTGACGAAGAGACAAAAATAAAGTGCGCACCTGCTGTGACTTCCTGTGATAGATAGTGTGAGCTGATGCATCACTCAGGGCTTTTTTGTAGCTTGGAGGACACCTCAATCGTGTTTTCCGGCACCTGTCTCACAAAACAGGGGGCCTCAAGTTTACTTGTGTTGCTGGTGGACGAAACCCTGTCACTGGAGAAGCGGTCGTTTTAGAGTAAGTTTCTTCATAGTCTCTCATGGGTCAATTAGCTTACCAAGCCTCAGCTTTCACCTTGGCGATACTGAAGATGGAGCAGACTTCTCAGCTCACTACCCTAAATTCTCGGAAGTTCAAGCTGCATATGCTACATTCGTGAACGAGGCACTCAGTAAGTGTTTTGTTCATTAAATACAGATGATGGACTGACTAGAACTGAAATTTGCACTCAGCCCATGATGACAACATGGAGGCATTAGAGGCGAGGGCAGACAACATATCTGACAGGCGCAGTGGAGTGGACGAGGCTGAAGGAAGGGAGGATATTCAAGATAGTGAGGACAAGGCAGAAGATGGCAGGGACTTTCAAAGTGACGAGGAAGAGTCCCAGAATGACTCTTATAATGTGGTGCAAGAGGTGAGTAATGCATTATGCTAATGCATCAGGGAAACACCACATCAGACCTTACAATGCCCTCCGAGTTGATTAACACCTTCGTGAGTAATGCATTACTGACTCAGGAACACTACTAATGCACCGTGTTCTCTGGCCTTGATGCATTAGGATTAATCACTCATGGATGACACATCAGCAGCACCCAGTGTTCCATCAACTCCGATTCACGACATCATCCAAGGGGACAATACCATTATTGAATACCCCCAGGTCCCAGCTGCCTTCAGTGCGGCCGATTTTGCCGAGTTCACAGCAGTGCCTAGTGTTCCATCAACTCCGATTCATGACACCATCCAAGGGGACAATAACATTATTGAATACCCCCAGCTCCCAGCTGCCTTCAGTGTGGCCGATTTTGCTGAGTTCAATAGGCTCCTCGCTACCATCACAAAATAGGATCTCGACAGTCTAAACTTCCCTCTGTTAGCACCGCATCCTGATGTTTCCAGCTTCAGTTCAGGGCCTGGGTCTGAACTTGATGATTTTTTATTCTCGTCGACGGTTGGTAGTGGAAGCTCCGACGGTGATTTCAATTTTTCTTTGACAGTCAGTGACTTCGAGATGTTCTTGCCCCATTCAAGCCCTAGCCCTTCATACCCCGTTCTCGGAGAAACACTTACCAGCTTAAAGCCAGACATCACCACACTTGAAATACCCGTGCCAGTTCACACACCTTCAGCACCTCAGGCTCTTGTGCACCAATCCCTAGCCTCACAGTCTGACTTGGACGGCCCACGTCGAACACTGCACCGTCATGTCCCATCAAAATGTGACCAGGCACTTGATGCTATTGGATTTTCGACATCTCGTATATGCCCGGCGGTAGAGAATGGCTTGGGTAAAGAGAATGTATCATCTGCCAGTGGTATGAAGAGGAAGGCAGCCACTGCTATCAGCGCCACGAACAAGTAGGTTTCAGCCTTATGATTAGAGTTAGCTGGACTGAAGTTCATCCAGGAAGAAAAGGCGGCCCTGATTCATGTCCTTGAAGGACTTGTTGAACTCGTTTTTTCACGTCTCACTTAGTCCATCTTCAACTTTGGTCTCATTTTCTTCGTTTTCGGCGCAGGACTCATCTTGTTTGTCTACTGTCTTCAACTTCGGTCTGATGATCTTCATTTGATTGCGCGCAATACTACCCAGTGACTAGCTCCATGCTGATTCTGTACAATGTTTTGACTCAATGTAGTGAATTTACAATGACATTGCCTGTGACCACGAAGATGTGATAAAAAATCATACAACTAAGCCAACAAGGTCCCGACACTTCCAATGCGACTTTGTCGTGTCTCCTTCGCCGTTTCACATTAGAATCTATCATTATATCTGAAGCGCAATTGAGTCGTCATTCCACTCTGAATCAAAAGGTACTTAGCAGATCAGGTTCCAGACTGGGATGACAGCCGGGGCCCCTCATACTGCAACCGAAACACTGGCAATATGAAAGGTTAGTGGCCAGTTGCCATCAGAGAATTGACAAGTCCTAACATGGTTGGAAGGGTCGACGACTCGGATAAATGCGCAGCTGAGAAACCATGACAGGACTCGGAGGAGGTCCTGCGTGAAGTGACACCATGAGAAATAAAGGAAAGGAAGGCACCAGCAGATGTGGCAAAGAGGCCCGAGCACTCCTGATAGCGGGCAAGTACAAAGGAGGGAAACTGGCAGCAGATGTCAGCAAGCGCTATTATATAGCAGAAGCGCATACCGGAATCGAATTTTTTCACCTTGAATCTGAACAAGTTAATGCATTAGGGTTTGCCACTGATATTGCACCACAGTAATGCATCATACTTAGAATGGTTAATGCACAACATATATCTTGTAACTACCATGTATCAATGCACTAATATGACAGTATGGCCTGTTCTCGCCTCCTTTGCCTCCTCGACAATCTCGTTGCATGTGGCCATACTTGCCACAGCCATGGCAGTTTCCCTTTATGTGTCTGGTTCGCTTGCCAGCGTTGGTGTTATACACTGCGTCTTCGCTCGACGAGCCATTCTTCAGTGGACATCAAGACATCCGTGGTGAGCAGAATGCTCGATACTTTTGCGGACACCATTAGCGCTGAGAGGTGGGGGTCATAGGATGCTGGTAACAAGCTCATGATTATAGCCGCGAAGCTCTCGTCTGTTGGTGCGTGGCCAAGTGAAGATAGCTGTTCCTTGATGACGCGCAGCTTGTCAAAGTGCTCTCGTACATTGCCCTTCTCACTGGCAGGGCACTTCTGGTCCTGGAGCTTTCGCAGTAGCTCGATGGACACAACGCGAGAGCGTTTTTCGAAGAGATTGGATAGGCGCGTGAAAATTTCTCCTGCTGTTGTTAAGCCTTTAACTTGAATAAACAGGGAGTCTGGGATTGTGCCGGCTATCTGCTGTTTCATTATAGCCTCACCCATGCGCCATTCCTTGATGGCACTCCTGTACACTGAGAGCTCTCGTAGCTCTTCTGGCGTGCTGGGTATCCATGATGTTCCTCATGTTGGCAATGTCGAGGGATCTACTGGTTTCTTTTCAGTCCCATCTAAGTGTCCAAGGAACCCACAGGCATCGACAGACCACAACAACCTATCTTTATAGGTCATCCAGTTTTCTCCGTCCGCAGCTAGTTTTGGGACATGGAGAAAGTCGTCTCCGAGCTTGGCATTCGAGCTAGACATTTCGACGAGTTCGTTTTCATGTACTCTAGTTTAGTTTTAATAAATGTGAGCAGGGCTCATAACCTGTAGCGAGTACACGAGGCTCAGTGAGCTTGATAGAAGTCACTGTATTGAGTGTATATACCTGTAGCGAGTACATGAGGCTACAGAGGCTATTAGTTATATGTAGGTACTATGGATAGTAGGTACTGACCTCAGTGAGCTTGATAGAAATCACTGAGGGAGGTTCTTACTGCGTGCGAAGGAAGTGAAAATGAGCGTGCTTATGTCATGTATGTAGTGAGCATTAGAATGTTCAACATCCTGAGCATATGCGGACACACTACAAAGTGTGGCTGGACTACAGCAACAAGAAATCATCAGTCACCCTCAGTGTGGATGCAACACAAAGGATACCTGCCCTGCTTACATCTCAAGTTGGATGTCCTCCTGAAATCCCAACAGCTCTCCCTCAACTCCTCTCTGAAACCGTCTCCGCACCCCGAAACCCTCCAGAACCCACTGAAAATCCTTGGCAGCTCCAACGGCTGCTCACTGACCACCGACTCGCACAATCAGCCCTTCAGTATAGTTACGGAGACCGTCGTGAGGAGCCAAGAGCAACTGCACCGAGAGATTTGTCAGCACAGCAAGCAGCAGAGGTCAGTCGCGCTGGGAAGTGCCCTGCCACAGACGAGTGTGATGGCGACCCACTGAAGAAGAAGAACAAAGCGCGGACATGCACCTACTGCAAGAGTATTGAGTGCAAGGGTAAATGGGGCATGAAGTACTGTCTTGTGAAGGAACAAGTTGATCAGGTCTGTGTCGCTTTCTTTGGAGAGGCGTGCAAGGACTTACTTTGCTTTGGGTTTGCTTAGAGATGTGCTGCAACATCATTGCCAGAGGCTGTACCTAGTGGTTCAAATGTCACGCTAGATGCAGCGTATTTTATTTAATCTTATTTAATATTCGCGCGAACCATACATCTATAGGTGCACCGCTGAAAATTCAGTGGACATGTGATCTGAATCTAATTAATAGTGGTTAAACTATTAAGAACAGATACTACACTTGATCTAAGCCAAAAGGCCAGAGTGGTAAAGTTTTGAAATATTTACAACGTCCTTTTATACAAACAATGAGTGCACGGGCCACTCTTTCAAATTGGGAATCAACCAAGCCAAGAACCAAGCAACCGAAAATGGTCACAAGCTTTGGAATTCAACAAGGCTAAAAACAGGAATTCAAAGTATTCCAATATCTTCTTCACAGCCGGTCGTGTGATCGGGTCCATAACCCAACAACACAAAAACAGAGACCATGCATCTGCCGGAATGTCAGGGTAATGCGCCTCCTCGGGTATTTTTTTCTTCTTCAAAGTGTTGATGACTTCGCCAATTTCTTCGTATTCCACAAACGGGATATTTCCAGAGAGAATCTAAGGATGCAATCACAATCCAGCGTTTGCTTAAAATGTTCCGCGAACGTACTTGTAGACCCACCATCCCTGCTGCCCAGACGTCTGATGAATATGATAATGTTGGCTTTGGCGTTGACAGCAACTCGGGCGCCAAGTAGCGCTCCGAATCCCACGACGCACCCATCTTGCTGTCCCTTGCCCTCACCCAGGGCATCGGAGTGAGCTCAAATCCCACTAGCACTGCATTGCCTTGATCGTCAATGAAAATGTTTGTCTACAAAAAGAGTTGCGTGAGTTTCAGTACTGCAAAACATATAAAAAATCTATGCCATACGGGTTTGAGGTTGCCATGAACGATATTTTGGTCATGCAGATAAGTTAATCCATTTAAAACATCGTTAAGCTGTATGGTCACTCTTAGGTTAAGAGTTGCCTCAACAATCAGCGAAATGATGAAGAATATATACCAATTTCACCCGCACAGCATCCTGAGGCTTGAGAGGCTTGATATGATCGTTTCCGATGTTCTCCAACCCGTTCTCATAGAACGGACTCGGAGTTATCAGACAGGGGACGTGCATCCAACCTTGCATCTCCTCGTAACAAAAACCAATAAATTGGGCCAAGTTGAGGTTCAAGTATGATACAACTTCCTTTAGGAGGCGCTGGAAAGATTCAACTGAAAAACAAAATTGATTTGTGAGGTGAGTCAATTTACCCGAGTTGCTTCCCCCGCCTCATGATGTGGACAATCCATTATTGGTATCATGACTTTCACGGCTACCTGCGGAGAGCGTGCGTGATTAATTGACGGCCATCCTCACTGTTTATTGCGTACAACTTGTTGGCCTTCTGTTGATGCGTACACACCCTTCCATACCTGAGGGGTGTCTCGGGAGTATGTGTTGGTGATTGCCTCATCGGTAACACTTTTTGTTAGGTCATGCGCAGTGTTGTCCGAGTCGGTGAGAGAGGAGGCCATTGGATGGGGTAGACTAGGGTGAATGAGAAAATAGTGGAGACCACAGGAAGCGCAAAGCTTTGAGGCTTTATAGTAGTCTACAGTGTGGTACGTGGCGGGCGCTGGATGAGACTTGATTTTTGTCCAGTGGGACGAGGCCCTACAGTAGACAATATATGCTTGATATTTACTTTATTTACTGGTTTCGTCTTGTTATGCTTGAGGGCGTCTTTATTGTTCCGAGCGTTATCGAGGACTTGTACGCCAACTGTAGGCGTAGGGAGTGGCGCTGTGAGCATACTTATTGGCGATCTTCGCTTCATGTTTCATCTGCTGGGGGAGGGGGGGTGACGTCCTCAAACACTTGTTCCAACCTTCTCGTGCGCGCTGCATATCGTAACAGATTAGGTGTTGATGGAGGTGATTGTAAAGCAAGTGGTCCGGAGTGAAAAAAAAATCAAATTAGCATCGTGAAATCGAGAGAAAGACTCGGAGACGGCACAATAGGCGCTGTGTCTACCAACTGGTCCGAATCTGACACAATAAATGGTACAGAGCGCGGTTTCAAGTTAGTCAACGAGCCACGATCGCGAATCACACACCTTGATAACAGCAGTACAACAGGAACCTACACGAAATGACAATCTGAGCAAGCTAAGGCCTGCCATGCAACTGTTCCAATTGTACATACGAAACGAATCTTCGGAATTTGAAATTTGAAATTTGAGCAGTAGTGCCAAAGGCTTGAGAAGAATTGCACCCGACATACAGGCCCCTCGGGGTTTTCCGGGTCCTCGAACTTTCCCAGCTGAGAACCCTCGTGGTCTAAGTTATGAAGGAAGATCCCTAGTCGTTGTACTGGTAGACTACGGATCTGTAGACTGATGCACCCAGTTCTATGTGTCTCCAAATTTCTCCTGGAGATATTCTCTCATGTGTATTCCAGCCAACCAGGGCCTTGGAGCATGGAACCCTCGGTGCGGACTCGGATGTCCATTGCAGCACGTGTGTCGCGGAAATCCCTTGCAGCACTTGCCAGGACATGCAAGGCCTTCCATGAGCCCGCAATGTATTATCTTTGGGCTGATTTAAACGGCATAACACCATTACTAGGGTGTGTACCGAGGCTGCGTCCAATCCGAGTCGTAGGCGGCTGGCAGGTCAGCACAAACTTCTCACACAAGCTCATTAATATTCTTTTCCTTTCATTTTTCCGTTCATTCGCTCACCAAACATCTCAACGCAGGGCTTCTGTCCTCAAGGTATTGAACCATTATCCGAGGCCGAGACCCATCAATTTTTGCGTCATGCTGCCCATGTGCGCGTATTGAATGTACAGAACAACACACATTTCCCCCTCCTCACAGTCCTCCAACCCGAGGCTGCCGAGACATGTCTGTTCCCAGGATTGTGGTCGTTATCCTGGAGGGTTTCAGATACCAGATACCTGCAGTGCCTCATTTCCCCTGCGCTGCGCCGTTTGTCGATATCAAAGCTTTCTTCCGATATGGAATCTATCATAGGCCGTTGTCCTGCCTTGGAGGACTTGTCTATCAATAGGGCCTTTGGAAACACAACAGATGAGCTTTCCCTAGTGTCCAACACTGTCCGTTCGTGCAAGCGGCTTGTAAATCTGTCGTGTGCACCACTCGACTGGGCAGCATGGAACCACCTCTCCAACATCCCTACCCTTCTCACGGTAACCATCGATGGTCAATTTCCTTCCCCATTGACATGGGATCATCTCAAATTCGCCCCTTTCCTCAAGCTCACGGCTCTTTCTTTCGCCTCAGACGCTGTCACGGATATTACCCCAGTGATACGACGCGCAGAATTCCCTGCACTACAAAGATTCGATATGCATATCCCCGGTTTTACAACGGCAAAGGCCGAGCAGTTTTTCCATGCACTGTCACAGTGTAAAGCATCCCAGACCCTCGAACACATTGTAATAGATTCCTCCTACCTGGTGCTTAAGGACGACGAGGAGTGGGGCACACCTTTGACAGCAATCAGACAGTTTCTGTGTTTCACGCAGCTGCAAACCCTACAGCTCAAAGTTTGTCACGCTATTGACATCGACAATGACCTTCTTGTGGAAGCAATGTCAAGCTGGCCGCACCTCCGCTCTCTGGAACTTGATGGTTACAGCGGTCTTCCTCAGCCTGCAGTGACATTCCGCGCATTGTTCACAGCGCTTCGTTTCTGCCCCCACTTGCATACCTTGCAAGTGATGATCGACGCTGTGAATATCGATATCGATCCTACAACCGAGTCATTTCGACACGCCTCCCTGAAAACATTACGGGTGGGCAACTCTAGCTTAGGAGATGCTGAAGTTGTCGCTCGCATCATTTTCACTATGCTTCCGTTTGTCGACCGAGTCGGCGACCTCAGGAGGTCGTGGCACCAAGTCAACCTGCGTCTCGAATCTTTTAGACCTTCTGCGGCCAGTGGCGGCCGTGTCACAGAAGCAGCGCCGATTTGGCGCCAAATGACCTGAGTTTGGGATGGTACACTCACACTCATTTACGGGGAATTGTCCTGGGGCTGCTATTTATTGCTAACAAATGATGGGCAAGGTAGATCATACGCTGTCTTTTCATTATACCCTGTACTTCATAACTGTATATTTTGGTTGGCCCGTGATACAGCATTTATGCCTTTGTGGCTTAGTGGGTCCGAATCATGAACTTGGTTCGAAGGGCAAGCTGTGACGAGTACTGTGGCCAAGGTTGGCTTTTCGCCAATATCCTTCAAGTCGGCGCGGAGTACGGATTGAACGTTGGTGGGTCACACTGTGACTGCGTGCTACGTTCCCTTCTTCGTCCTATACGCTGATCAAGTGACAACATGTTGAAAATCTCAGTTCACGGCTAGCGCTGGTTCGTCGAAATGTCGTGAGTATCCGATTCGAATGAGTTTACTCACTGCACCCCTCATCTCCTTCATCCCCTCGACTTCCATGGGTTTCCGCACACGGGATGCAAGACACCTACTAGTCACTAATATCTCCCAATGAAAAGGGACTGGAACTTTGACGTTCTAGTAATAATTTCTTGGTTTGAGTTGCAAATGATATTTGTCTGTTTTCACTATCTCATACCTCTCTAGGACGTTGTGCTGTCGAGAATTTCATTGATGCCGAGGGAATAACTCTAGCACCACCGCCGACCTTTCCTCGTCAGCACGTTACATTGGCGGGCGGGTTTACCATATCGTCGACCAAACCCCGCGGATCCTCCCTGCTGGTAAGGGACAACAATGGCGTATCGCGAACCCTGCTCTGCAGGTCTACTCTAGCTACTTCTGTAGCAGAAATATCTGCTATAACGCTCGATCAATCACCACCTTCCTTATCTTCATCTCATATCATACGCCTGGCTGCTTTCCTGACAACAGGAGAATTCAGTATATTCGCAGAAGAGCTCAGCATGCGCGAAGGCGGCAAACGTCGACTTAAGAATGACCAGGAAATGTACTTACCGAGCGGTGGTCGAGGTCTTTGCCCTTCATGTAATTGATGGGTTCAGGGACTTGCATTTCTCACGCCATTGGGAGCCGATCTACTTCGGAATGGTAACAGGCCACCATATACTCAAACTCCTCCAACAGTTCCGCCCATAGGCCCAAGTAGTGTTTTCTCCAATATTTAAGGAGGAATAACCGGCGGTTCGGTGGCTATTGCGTCCACAAGGCATGAGCCTATGTCTTCATATCATATCATTTCACATCAGTAAATTCCTGTGACACTCTGGAGTCTGGACAGACCTGCACAGAACAAGACAGTGCACCAGACACACAGAAGCCATCGTGTTGGGTTTTCACTAGTGGGCATCACTCATTGTAGTCAGTAAAACACGCAAAACCAAGGATCGATTGCCTTTGCTCTTCGGTTACTCTTCGGTGGGTCACTAAGTCGGCATCCGCAGAAACGAATGATAATAGCGCGATGTGAGCATCCGAGAAGGACCCTTAACGTGACCTTGTCATTCTGACTCGGAATCTTCATAGAATCGGCACCCACAGTTATCGATATCCTTGCTCGGTCACCGCACACCGCAAGTACTGATCATAGGTTTCGTATACTCAAGACTCAAGCACAACACCTAATGCTTATCTATGGCTTCAAAGGAGGCTACATACTATGTGTATGTACAGTGACAGTACAAGTCGCTGCTTGAATTCAATCTTTGCTTGTTCCCGCATCTCGGGCATGACCCGGATCCAGAATTCTGACTAGTCCACTTCTGACACTTGTTAGTATTAGGCCACTCAACCCACAATATAAATGATCCCTCGATCAGTCATCGGCGCGTCTCCCATACTTCTGCAACCATCATCTCATGTCTCCTGATCCTACGTCTCAGCAGGTAGACGAGGAAACGCCTTTGCTTCAATCAGAGGAAAATGCGCCGGCGAAGACACCACAAACACCACTACCATGGGGCCAGTTCTCAATGCTCCTAGTGTTGCAGATTGCAGAGCCAATGGCAGCGTCAGTTATCTCGCCTTTTGCGCCTCAGGTCAGCATTTACTATTGAAGATTCAAATTGACAAAGTCACAACTGATCATGCCATACGTAGCTTATTCGTGACATTGGGATCACCCACGGAGATGAAGCGCTCGTGTCGTTCTACGTTGGGCTGGTGGTAAGTGGATAAGTAGAGGTTTTCATTGCGGTAATCTCAGCGTTATGGTCTAGCACTCGCTGTTCTTTGCAACCGAAGCGCTCACCATCTTCCACTGGAGTCGTCTCTCTGACTATATAGGTCGCAAACCTGTCCTGCTAATCGGACTGTTCGGACTCTCCCTCTCTATGTTCTGCTTTGGTCTGTCCAAGACATTCTGGAGCTTGGTGATAAGGTCTGTCGTGTTTCTGCGCAATTTTTATTTGAGACAGAGTTCACATCTTATCGTGATAGTCGTTGCCTGAGTGGCGCCCTCAATGGCAACATAGGCGTTATGAAAAGCATGACTGCTGAAATGACAGATTCGACTAATCTGGCTCGCGCGTGGGCATTCATCCCTCTTGCCTGGTCCAGCGGTCTTACACTTGGGTATGTTGTGCGAAGATTTCGTTCTCTATATGTACTGAAATAATCACAGGCCGCTCGTAGGTGGAGTACTTGCACGACCTGCGGATAGGTTCCCTAATATCTTCGGGGGTTCTGGATTTCTGAAGAAATATCCTTATTTCTTGCCGTGCGCAGTCCCTGCCACTATGTCAGCGTTGACATGGATCGTCGTTTTTCTTTACTTGAAGGAGGTATGTTGTCCCGTCTTGTGACAGGATGAATTTTTATGTCAATCGTAGACCGCAACTCCACAAATAAACATTAGCCAGCTGCTACCTTGGAAAAAGCGCAAGACTGTTCCTTCACCTGCTCTAGAATCCCCGCTGGTATCATCTCCAGTTGGTGATACGCCCGTCCCCATTCGAGCTCTTTTCGTTCGTCGTGTAATCATCGCAACTGGGAGCTACGCTGGTGTTGCCCTTGTTGAAATCGCATTTCGCACTGTACAACCCGTGTTTTATGCTACTCCCATATCGCTAGGCGGTCTGGGGTTCGATACCCCAACCATTGGAATTGTTCTGGCAGTCCAGGGGATCTTAAATGGGATAACGCAGCCGTTGGCATTTGCCAGGCTTCATGACGTTATGGGTCCGAAAAAACTTTGGCTATTCGCTGTGACTTGCGCCCTGCCTATGATCGCTCTCCTCCCGGCCTCGAATACTTTGGCGAGATATAGTGGCGTTGTACAGAGTGTTTGGTGTTTGGTGGCCCTACAGGTCGCTCTTGGGAGTTGCATGAACTTCGCATATGGTTTGTCGTTATCATTCGCTCACTAGTATTTCTGACGCGTTCTGGCAGGCATCTCATTCATGTATATCTCTGCGGCTTCCCCTAACCGAGCGTCTGTGGGCGCGACAAACGGGTTTGCACAAGTGATCGTTTCTGTGATGCGCGCTATTGGACCGGCTGCAGTCAACTACGCGTTCTCGATAAGTATAGAGAAACATTATCTTGGAGGGAATCTGGTGTATTGTGCAATGGCAGGTATGGTGTGCATGGTGATGGGCATTGGCTTCTTGTTACCTCGCACCATGTCGACAAAGTAGCTTAGATCAAAGAGAGTTTTATTTGTTGGGTCGATGCGATTGTGATATTAGTTTCGAGCCAGAGTTCTGGGACTTCCTCAAATTCGCTTCCCAGAACGTCTGGCTCGAGACCATTGTAATCAGTGACTTGTTATCTGGTCTGATTTGGGTGAAAACGTAGAAGATGAGCATTCTATCCTGAACATAGGCTCCTGCCATGCAGTGCATCGGAGTTACGGTCAAGCTCTTTTTGGTACTTCGGATAGTCATTGTAGGTGCTTGGGGAACAACTTCCGAGTTAGAATGTTAGCGTGAGCTACTCGCACCAACCTGGCAGGGCGTAGAGACATCTACCCAAGGACCCCTCATGAAGCAAACCACTGATTAGGTCGTTGCTTCATCACAGACTAGACTGTCATAGACGACTGAAGATAATGTTTTAGGCGCGCTAATACCCCTAATGGTCTACCAGGTTTGGCGCTGGGTGATTTATTTGGCAACATATCTGGAAACTCTAGAATACTTAAGCCAGCATTCAAGTTATGAGGTAGAGTCAGGATAAGATAAGTCTTATTCATTTACGCACCTGACGTGGGATGGGAGGTGAAGTTATGATAGAGATATAAGGAGCTCCTTCAACCCCATTATATTCATTCTGGTCACTCACCAACTCTTCACATTGCAAAGTATACCTCCGATGGCAGAACCAAAGGTGGATCTTGCATCACTCTCGCTCTTCCGCGCGACACGCGCGCAGGTTGAAGAGTCACGGCGCCGGTCGTTTCCGCAATGGGGTGGTCCTCTCAGGCTGAGTCTTACAGAGTACCTTGGCGAGATGCGACGATGGAATGTGGCGAGCACGCCAAGGATGGAAAGCTGATCACTTGGTGAGCGCTTCACTTTGCTAGTATTAATTAAAATTGATTTTCTTGTTGCTGCCATGTTTTGGTGCACCACAGCTTGACCGTCTTGTCGTCTGAACCAGTGGCCAACACCGTACCATCCGCGGAAAAGTCCAACGAGTTGATATGTTTGGGGTGGGTTTTGATGGGTTGGGTGAGAGATTCTCCTGTTTCTCCGTTCCAAGCAATGACCTCTCCAAGGTAATCACCGCTTGCAATGATTTGCTCATCTCGTGATACCGCCAATGCCGGCGACACGTCACTGCGATGCCCCTCCATCTTCTTCAACACAACACCTGTCTTCAAGTCCCAAAGACAAAGGGTCTCGTCGTTTGAGGCCGTAACTATTCTTCGTCTATCGGGGAAAACTGCGACTGCCCTTACGTTTCCTTCAACACCTTTAAAAGTTCGAAGGGGTGTGGTGCTTAGAACGAGCTTCGACATTTAACTGGAGGTTGGTAGTGTTGAGGACGGTCAACGTGGACTTTGGAGGGTTTGTGAGCGTCTTTGTGTCAGCTGCAGAGGTGCGTGTATTGTGCGTTTTACCTTTCTTCACTACAATAACCTGCCTCGTTTCCATAAACCCCCAAGACACGAGGTCGTTTGCTGCCATGCTTCCATCACTGTTGCAAGATTACTTCCTATTGTCGCACTTGCCTTCCTCGACAGTATACCCTCCCGCTGCCTCGGCACTGTATACACTCGTCTGACGCCTCTCTCCATACCTTCCAACATGTATGCCCTCGCATCATAGCGCAGTTGCTACTTCCCGGCGCTTGTATCAGGCTGAAAGCCATCTATCCTGGATGACTGCATGAATATTGTTGTTTCCGTTGTCGAGAAATTTCTCCGACATATCACCGTGTAACTGCCCGAATACATGCATACATCTTACTGCAATACAACCTCTTCATTTCGTCGATCCGCGTATGCACCAGATGCAGCCAACTTTTTCCCCCTCGCGCCTCAAACCAGCCACCAAGTGTGTAGCGGAGTTTCCGTCGCAAATCAAAGCTGCTTGATATGTTCGTCGCCTCAGAATCTACCAAGGCTGAAACCTTTGAGTATGTTATCACTCACATATCAAATTACCGCAGCGCACCGATTATACCCTTGAAAAGGATCACTCCCTCCTTGACGTCGTGCTAGGCTCGGCTCACAAATGTGCGAGTTCTTTGCCTGGTGACGAGGAGGAGCAGTGGAGTCCCCTGTTGAAGATGCTATCAATGGAGAGTCTTGCCGTTTCAATTACTTCTCCTTCCATGGCCAAGGACGTCTTTGAGTCACAAAGTAGGTCCATGCAAGCACATCAGCAAAACGGACATATATAGAAAAGATAGCGAGACCGTGATGCATACTGGTCCCGTCTTTATCAGACGTAGAATAATGGCTGATGTGGACACGCTCAGGCAATCCAAATTAACAACACCGCGTCAGCGTAAGCCATCCAAAGGACGGAAGGTGCTACATATGTATTTTTGCTCCAAGACCAAATGCCGTCACGGTCGTCTAAATCGATCAAGCGCCGATGGTTTGCGCGCCTCCATCTGACCATTCTCGATGGCCTTTGCCACGCGCTTTTCCTCCCGCTGCTTCTCCAGTTTCGCACGAATAGCGACCTATATTCGCAGAGAGCACGAATTTGAGCACATGAGCAATTAATGGAGCGAGTGACTGAGGCTTACTGCAGTGGGATCAATGACGTTTTTGCGTTGCTTTCGGAGGTATCTGGATTTTGAACATGATAAGCGATTGGCTGCAGTGTCCCACACGGAATACATACCTTTTGACACTCTTGCCCTTGCCGCGCATTTTTCGCTTCTCCTTCTCATTTCGTGACTGCGGGTTGTCATTCTTGTCACCGTCGCCTTTAGCAGCGTCCTCGTCATCATCATCAACAAGCTCCGTTTCATCTGCTTTACCCTGGACACGTAATCGCTCAAGGCGAGGAAGACGAGCGAAGGGAACATCATGTGTGTCATTGACAGCAGTGGTTAATTTTGTTGGCGGTGCAAGGGCTCCCACGAAATCGGGGTCAAGTGTGATCATGTCCGGTTGAATCTAAGGTGATGGATGGTCCCTATCAGCATCATTTAAGAGTGAACTAGACGTTGAGCATACCTTGTCTAAAAGACCCTTGACTTCCCTTTCCCTTCTTGCCTTCTTGTTCTCGAATGGATCGGCTTCCGTACTGTCGAAGTTTGGTTCGCCAACCCCAGGCACAAGAATACTCGACAGACCAGCATTGTGTCCGATGGTAAGGATATCCTGGAAAGGGCAAAATCGCACCGAAGTAAGCGGTCGATGTGGTATTGGGTGTGTGAGGTAAAGAGGTGGTGGAGCTTTAGCTGGGTGTGAGGTCTGTATTGACGGTTTTGTGTACACCTGGCACGTAACAGATGAGACTCGGCTCAAGCAAGAGTGCAGTAACTCACGTTGACACTTCCACCTACTGCCACACTTAACGCACCCCTTGCACTCCATTCCAACTCAGCGCCGCCACCTCTTGTCGTCCATTCCCGCACAGTGCCCTTCCAATTCCGACAGTCCCAGACCTTTACGACCCCATCCTGGCCTGATGACGCCATGTAGCGCCCACCAGAACTCGGATCGACACTCAGCCCCACAACTGGACCGAGATGTGCTAGGATTTGTACAGCAGGATGGGGGATGTTTGGCGTCCAGAGGGTGACAACGCCATTGGAATGACCGAGGTGTAGCACCGCGTTGTGCTTATTTTGTGCGAGCGTATTACATGCACCGAGCTTTGTTCGATGCTCTGCCACGATGTGGCCTGTGGAGGTGTCTTGATATTTTAGGAATCCGTTGTTTCCCTACTATCGACTGAGCTGGCACAAGTTTACATTGAATTGGAATAACTGACCACACTAGCGAGCAACCAGTGATATGGAAGAAATTCGAGTCGCGTGGGCTCAATGTGAGCTTTCAATCGGTGTAGTTCGACACCATCACGGTCGTATATAAATACATATTTTTTTTGTGCGACCGCGAAGAATGACTGATCCTGTAAGAACCTTTAATGAACGATTGAGAATTGTTGCACGCAAGGAACGAGCGACATACGTGATATCGCGACATGTTTCCTGCAGCTGAAGCTCAGCATGCATCGTTCCTGTTTGCCAGTCAAAAGTCGCGACATGGCCCATGCTGCCGACAATGGCAAGATGTCTGCCGTTCCTTGAGTATCTCGAGCGATATGGACCACCATCCAACTTCAGTTCCCGTCGTCCCTTGGCAGCCTCCTGACCGGCACCTTGCACAATATCATCCTGGCCTATTCTCCAAGTTCGTTCCAGCTCGGTCTCCACCTGCATTTTCCCTGCCTCGCTCGTGAGCAACAGTTCAGCATCTTCGACAAGTGCTTTTGACCGCGCAGCATGTGCTGCCTGCCGAGTTAATTTTGTTCTTAGCTTGAGATCCTTGACGTGCTTGTGCTTTGGGATGTCTGATGGTGACGAGGTGGGACGCAGGGATTTCGGCAGGGAGGTATTTTGTGCCTTGACAAACAAAGAATCCATAGGAGACGCCATTCGTACGCCCTCGCCCGGTGATTGATTGTTCAATAGTCACTGCTAGAAAATGATCCTGCAAGGCCGAAAGTTCTGCTTGCATGTAATTTGCAGAACTCAGCTGACTAAGCTACAAACACCGACAAGTTGCAACATGTAGAATAGTTGTAATCATGTCACTAGCCAGTGTTGTGCGGCTTGCTGCCTCCTGCTCAGGAAGAACTGTGTCTCGTTGTAGCCTTCAGTTTCTTGGTCTGACACAGAGCAGCTTTGCGCACAATGTTATCTCTCAACCACCCATAAAATCACATATCCGGCTTTACGCCTCGAGGTCTAAGACGAAATCTACTGCAGACTTGGTCCCGGGATCCAAACAAGCTCTTACATCCGAGGCCGCTCGCCTGGAATACGGAAAATCCGATGCGAAGATGAGTGCCGCTGTTGAGTGGTACCGCAAGGAGGTAGCTGGCCTAGAGACTCGTGCAAGTGGTCGCGTTACCCCAGCTCTTCTCTCGCCAGTACGCATAGAACTTCCAGGCAAAGGAAAGGAACTTGTGAAACTCGAGGAAGTGGCCACTGTTGGTGTTCGAGATGGCTCAACTTTGATTATCACGGTGTTTGAAGAACATGTGAGTGGTCAGGCTTGCGGACATTCACTTATTGATGCACCAGTAGAATCTGAAAGCAATTGAACAAGCCCTATACGCTGCGAAGCTTCCGAATATCGTTCCTCAAAGACAGGATTCCACGACAATCAAGATACCTATACCTAGGTCACTCATTTCGACTTCCTGTGGCATGGTCATCTATAATTAATTTCTCTTTAGGCCAACAGTTGAAGCACGCAATGCACTGACTGCAACTGCTCAGCGAATGGCAGAGGACACTCGGGTGCAACTTCGAAAGATACAGCAGGCCAGTATCAAAAAGGGCGACTACAAAAAACACTCGATCGAACTTGAAGAAGTACGTCTGACTCGCTTTTGACTCACTTTATCATTTTATCTTATCCAACCTATTAGTTTCAGAAGCTCGCAGATAGGAACACTACTGAAGTAGACAAGATTCTAGCATATATGAAAAAATCAACCGGGACCCGGTAGGGGTGTCCGGAGGAGCCATACCCTGACAACACCTACCTCGCCATTTGTATCTGTTATCGTCGGCGCTTATACTAACTTGAGGTTCACGGTGCCAACATTCCATATGTGCTGCGATAGGACTCTTTCGCAATTACGGGCGAAGACGGGAAGAAAGGTGGTCAGAATATCAATGGCAGCCACTGCAGTGGAACACCGCTGGCCACTGACTAGGCACTTTGCTTAGAGGGTTTATCACCGTGAACTTGGATATCTGCGGATCTTCTGAAGCACTGGTATAAGCCCCATGTCAAGCCAGAAATAACAATTGCGAATCGTCGCTGAGCGGAGATGAAGATGTTGGTGTATGCCAAAAATGAGCTTGACGAGAATTTAAAATCAGATTGGGTCCATCATTTTTCCTACCAGATAAAGGTTGTTGACGCGGTAGCAGCTTTCCCTAACCGTGTTATTGTGCACGCACTAGTACTCCGTTAGTACTCCGCCTGCATAAAAATAACTCCAGTGTGGCGTCAACTATTGCTATCTCAGGCTATGTCAATGATGTTGGCCAAATTTATTTTTCTCTTATCATATAGTCACAGCTATGCCATGTCAAGGTTGCTTTACATCTCTGAGAGGCCCCTCGCATTGCGTATAGATATACAATATAGCATTATACTGATGCTCACGCCAAGTAAGTAGCGTAGCGTCACCATTTCAGTATCACTGACTATAATTTGCATCTCTTCAAATCAGGATACGAGGTGAGCGGTACCGGTGACCCCTGGTGACTCTCATGCGCAGTGGATCTTTGATCATCAATGTTTGGTGGCTGTCGCAACTCCTTTAAGCGCTGCTCATGTGCTAATGCTCGAATAGTAAACCGCATTACCACTGTTTCTCACCATCACTGTGATCATAGTACGTATGATGCTGTCCCAAGGGTCAAGTGCGCCTGTGAGCTGTGAAAATTGGAAGTGTGCGTAGTTGTTGCGAAATAAATATCAGATGGTCTTTGCTTTGTTCCTTCAGGCTCTTACCTTTCCCTCTCTGTCAACATGTCGGAGTCCGAGTCGTCGATTGCGGAATCGGTCGTGCAAGCAACGCTTTCCGGTACACTGGCCACCATGCTAATGTACGGCGTCACCTGCATGCAGGCCTTCCACTACTGGCGATCATACGAGCATGACAGCAAGATTCTGAAGTCTGTGGTGAGTCCGTCAGACGCATGCATATAATGATTTCTCTGACACTGACAGGTGGCATTCGTCTGGTATGCTAAACTTCGTTCCCATGTTCTGTGCGATGACGAGACACATTCCGACTATTCAGGATTCTCGAGACTGCTCACACAGCATTGTCAATACACTTTGTCGAGTACTATCTCATCATACATTTTGGAGACTTGACAACGTTGGCGTCGGCAGTTTGGTGTGTATGTTTTTGTTGCACAGTAACTGGGGCTCATTGACTCCTCTTCACAGGAGCATGGGGGTGAGAGCCAGTATAGACAAAAAATTTCCTGCTGATCTCAACCCATTCCGCCAGGCTACAATGATTATTGGTGTATGTTACTGTTTTTGTTTGCCTGGGGTTCGCCCTAGTGATATTATCATAGTTTATTATAGGTTATGTTGCGAATCTGTGAGTTTCTCGAAGTATCGTAAAGGTTGTGCTAACTCCATCAGTTGCTTCATCTGGCGGATATCGCGACGTGAGTACTTCGATACACGCATTTACCTCCTCTCTTACTTACGTGAGCAGTGGGTCAGAATCGCTGGATTGCTGTTTTCTTTGTTTGTCGCATTTATCTTTGATGTCTAGAATTCCTGCTCAAGCCCTCGTTGTAGGCCATTGCTGCAACTGTTCGCTGCGGTAAACTTTTCAATTTTAACATAGAGCTGCGAGTTGATTTTTTGCAGTATTTGGAGTGGTAAACTGCGTATGGAGGTACGTCCTTCCTGTATTTGGTTATCTGACCACTGATTGTAGTTCGAACAGTTTCATGTATCCTGGATGGGCGGAGTTCAGAGCACGCATCTTTGTATGTACTCGACAAATACCCCCAGATCCACTGGTCTCAACATAGTATCGCCAGACATTCTTGGTGGTTGGTCAAGTGCTTTCAGCAGTCGTCGACAGTGTGATTGCGTTTACTTTATGCTTCTACCTTCGACAACGTCGCACTGGCATGAAAAGGCAGGATATCAGTTAGCCTAACCCTACGTCAAAGTCAACTTGTTGCCCTTAGGACTGACGGCATCATCAACCGCCTCCAATTATATAGCATCAATACTGGTGCCATCGGGTCGTGAGCCTACTGCTTATGATATATCTTCTACAACTCAGGCGCTTCATTTCCTATAGGCTTTTCGCCGTTCTAGCGCTCATCGTGGTAAGTGGACGTTCAAACAGATGGTTCATATCCAACTAACTTGACTCTAGTTTCTCGTTTCTCCAAGTACTACAGCGTTCATTGCTTTTATCCAAGTACAGGGCAAATGTATGTCGGATTCAGTTGTCATATTTGACTCAGTTGACACTCTGTGCAGTCTATGCAACATCATTATTAGCTTCGTTCGTATCGTGATTTTGGCCTCTATGTGTCAACTGAAAGTATACGCCAGGTTAAATTCCCGCAAAAAGATTGAACAGTCTGTTCCTTCCGCGGGAGGCGTTGTGCTCCCCCTGTTCAGAGCAGGACGTCCGAATCCGTCGCCACGGTACCTGGTTTGTATTTTCGCCCTCCTTTGAAATTGTCTGGGGCTCAAGTCATGCGTTAGCAATCGTTTGAAGTCCAGAAGAGTATTACGACGGAGATCTACAGCGACGGTCTGGATCCTGAAATGAAGAGTGAGGAGACTAGATATTGAGTCTGTACCAACGGACCAGTACCATAGGGCTAGTATGTGATGAACAGATTGCTGGCGGTAGAGAGCAGTGAGTCAAGTAAATCCATAGTATGTTTAAATTATTATCAGCTAGCTTGTTCTTCAAATGGTGCGAACGTGCTGCAGAAAGCTTAGACGATGTTTCGCCACCCCACGCGGAGCGCTGCTGATCGGGATTCGAAAGGACTGCAAACCTCACTGGTGCACCCAAAGGACCGTCATTTTTTACACGAAGTCAGGGGAGGTCACTGTGGATAGACTGACGGTCCGCCAGCTACGTGGATAAGAAGGGCGACGAGGTGACCTGTGAGTATACGGTACCTGCTTTCTGGGTGCTGTGCCGCTCATCGTTCTCTTTTGACATACTGGCGGTCATCAGAACGTCGGCTTGTTGGAAGACAGGGATTCTATATGTCCGCAATGGTCAAGGATGGAAGGGTATGGGTGCTGAGCAGGATGTAAAGTGGAGAAGGGGACACAATGCTCGACGGGAGGAGTCATATCAGTTTACTGAGACATCGGGGCACATCATACATTACATGAATTTCCCTCATGCACATCTTGTCTTGACCAGCTTGTAGTCGCCTTGAATCCACTTGAGCATTTTGAGAGATTCAGTATTCCTCCCGGCCTGTTAGTGTCGAGGGTTTGATCCTTGGGGCGAGTTCCGCAAGTCCAGTCGATCTCGGATGGAGACACTGCTTCAAAGACAACCAATAAAGATTGACACGCATTTACACATCATAGTCTAAGTTCTCTCATGATATGCGTAGTACACAATAATTTCTGGCATCAAGTAGTGTGACACTTTGAACGCGTCCGTCTCACTTCTTTTGAGCTTCTTCCACCTCGCAGCTGCACATGTCGTGCACCACTATACCCTCATCCTCATATGCAAGACTGCTAGTCGACTCATGTATGCGCTCTTGGAAAACAATTGCAGTCATGGTAGTTCCTTCATCAGAGTTGGCCAGAAGCTGAGCGTGACGTGCTCGAACGCTAAGGATGAGGCGTGGTCCCAATACAAACAACTCCATGACGGAGGCGATTTGATAAATGCCATTATAAATCTCATCTCCCACGGGAGAGATATTCTATAGGAACAACGAGTGGTCAAACTCGGATCCAAACAGTACTACAGATTTATGCGTACCGACAGATTTGGGGACGAGGCGCCGAGTCCCAAGGAAGAGACAACTGCAAAGCTAGCACATGAGGAGCTTCAGCAGAAAAATGGTATGACATTCAAATTGCGAGCTCACGCTCCAAAGTAAAACACGTGTGTCTTGATTAGCACCGCAAAGCAGTCCCTGACGGACCATCTCGATTGTGGTTGCAGTTCACGGTAGTGTTTTATGACAATCCAGACTGCAAGACACAAGGTGAGGACCTCCCATGCGAGCCCACAGACGAATATCCAATCCCTGCCAATCAAAAGTGGGGCATTTCCATCCAGGTAGTAGGAATCGCAGTAATAGATACCAGAGAGGATGAACTCCTCTGAAATTTGTCTCATGAACCTGGAGCGCTTAAAATTTGCCTAGCATAATTAAAGCTTACCACCTCGAACATCTTGATCTTGTATTGCGAGGGTCACCCCTGCTGCAATCGTGAGTGCTAGGCAGGTTGCAACCAATAATATGAGCGTCTTTCTGGACCCCTGATACATGGCATGTAGCCGAATGATCATGACAACTTGCATGATATTTCAGTCAAATCAGAGCTACTGCAGCTGAAGAGCTCACCACCCAGTATGACAGTTGTGACGACACCCAGCCAGTTTCCTACCAATGAAATGATAGTGCCTGCAAAGCCCGGTTACTGATGAGTCTCGGAGATTCTTCAAACAAACTTACAGCTGTTGCGGTCATTATATTCAACCTACAAGCTAGTCAAGAATCTTACTCACCCCTACGTAGAAGTACAGTTGGTTAGTTCGGATTGGTGAGGTTCCATGCGGAAGACCCACCGTATCTGTCATCGAGATTGATGGGATATTCGCTGCATTCCGCCAGTCAGAACGGTGAACACAGTATTTGCGAGAAAACATTCCCATTATGTTTATGCTGCTCGTGAGAGATGGCTTATTAGCACATTGCTAATTTATTGGCCATGAACACGTACACACAGTACAATACTCCAAGGCAGCGCACCTAGAACATTCTGCAAGTCTGCACAGCTCGTCAATGGCGATTATAAGATAATGCACGCACACTGAGATATAGAACGGTAATGAGGGACCAGCGTCGTGTCTGCCCTGCATTGATTGTATTATCCATTTTGATATGGAACTGTACTCACCCAGACCAGTTCGAACTATAAAAACATAACGCGGTGAGATGACTACTCCGACAATGACATTAGCCTACCTCTTGTCCAGATGTTAATACTGGAGAGTACGATAAGGACATCAGTAATTTCACGATGACATATATCGTGCTCACCCCAATCATATACCATTACAACCCAGGATGCAACTACGAAATCATAATCAATCGAGTGAGAATATCACCAACATCTCCCAACTGGCTTTCAACGTACCTACAGAGTAGCTGTTAACAAGGGAAAAGTTGATTAACGGCCACCAACTTGGATCGTTCGAGATCAGTGTCATATTCAAGGGGTTGCGTTGGTGAGCAGTGAACTTGGAGGACTACTTATGACAACTCCAAAGCAGTGTTGCGCGGAATGTTTGAACACCCAGTTTTTGCATAGCTGTACATGTTGATCATGAATAGATGATTGTTTCCAAGGTTCTCAAGCCATTGAGATGTGACGTTGATTCAAATTGGTCACTGATCATAACACTCACAAGATGCGCCCGAGTCGGCGAGTTCCGAAAGTTTTTGCACCAGACGCGGGCAGATTGAAAGTGCGAGATGTGCAGCGTATCAATTGTGGATACAGTGCATCACAGTCGACTTCGCGGAGTCGTCCAGGAGTCACATACGTCAGACGACAGTGATGACCGATGGATCATCAAGCGCTTGCTCAGGATGGCAGCCTGTCGATGGAAGACCTAAAGCAAAGAATGAGCATCGTAAATGTAGTACCAGACTGTTTACTTTACGTCAGTGTACAAGGCACAAGGCAACTCTATCTCCATTTGTCTTACGGTTCGGCCCGTGACCTATTACAGCTGTGTGCGAAACTAATGGCAGTGACAAAATTTAAATTTTGGCATCCACGGTGACGAAAAAGGAAATACATAGAACAATGCGTCCAAGACGCTCGCAGGCATTTATAAACTTTTCAGACAACATTGGCGACACCAGCTAGCTTGCGCAGCCCCGTCACGTAAATACTATGGTTAACCGAAGGATCAGCAACGATCTCAAAGACTGCGCACTTCGGCTGTGGAATCACGGATGGGAATTGGTGGATATCTGTGAAGCATTTGGTGTCAGTGAGAGGAGTGGTCTTGGTGGTATTCTAATTGTGGGCTTCTTTGGGGCAGACTTCTTTCCTTTCGCCATAGCAAATTGTATATATAACACGTATAGCGAAAGTATACGTAGTAGGGATGGCTAACAGTGTCTGAAAAACCTGGACAAGTCACAGAGCTTTCCCCAGCATCCAGGAGTCCCGCGTCGTTCTATGTATTTCCTTTTTCGTCACCGCGGATGCCAAAATTTAAATTTTGTCACTGCCATTAGTTTCGCACACAGCTGTAATGATAAATGATGCGGCAGTGATGCATTGCCCGCTTGTCCTGCTGTCCAGCACATCCAAACAGTTCACTGGACGAGCTCATTTCGACATTACAGAGTACGCCGCATCTGTCATACGAGTTATAACAGTTCGTCATTAACAGAAGCTCTCAGCATGGTCAGCCTCGATAATAGGCTGCTTGTACCCGAGGAGAGAGTTGCGTTGTCCGCGTCGACTTTTGCGACTTTTTTCTTGCCGACCTTGGTCTCGTACTTTGCAATGGGCGTGATGGTTCAACGAAAACGCACTGCAACGATCCGATTTGCACTGCTTCCAGTCGCTTTGCTGTGCGCATATCGAGCTGGCTCATCGCTCGATTTTTCTTTTGGCATCCCCGACTACCGGTTCCTCAACCAAGGCTTAGTTGTGAGTCGACTGAATGTCATGAGGAGCCAAGGTCTCATCCAAATTTTACAACTCAGCTCGCCATGTTCACCGTTTCGATGCGGTCGACCACTTGGGCCTTCGCAAAAAATCCATATAAACGGATCGCTTTGCAACCGAACAAGATATCCAACAATAATACCTTAGCAGGTAGCACAATCAACCAGTTGACTGATGTTGATGATACCCTACTGTTTACCGCTATCTGGAACGCATGGGATCTTTCATTTAACCTTCGCGGGATTGGGTGGGATTGGGCGGAAGGCCTGCGCATTCCAAAGAGCAGCCACGAAACACAGTCAACATTAGAGTTCCTGCTTAGCACCCTCGCGAAGCTACTGTTCTATATGCTTGCACTTGATGCCACCTCTGGAGCCGCTTGCGACTTTTCTCCGGAAACATTTGGATCAGTTGAAGGGGGTACAATATTTGACGCATCACTGCCACCCCTCACTCGCTATACCCGGTCTGCCATCGTTACGATCTTCTCTGGCTGGACAGCGTATTTCGTGATTGAATTGGTGTATCAGATACTCGCCATCAAGTTCGTCTTGTTATTCAGACAGACACCGTCTCAATGGCCGCCCTTGTTTGATGCACCGTGGCTCTCGACATCACTGACCAGTTTTTGGGGTCACGGGTGGCACCAATTATTCCGGCAGTGCTTCATATCGGTCGGTGCTCGGCCGTTGTCATACCTGCTTGGTCGCGCTGGGGGGGTGATGGGCGCATTCCTCGTCTCAGGCGCTCTGCACTATCTTGGATTGAAGGCAATGGGACGAGGTGGTTACCCTGTTGTTGTTTTTGGGTTCTTTTTCATGCAGGCCATTGGTCTAATCTTTGAGGGCGTGTGGAAGAGGTGTACGGGCACACGTGTCAGTGGAATTTTAGGCTTGCTGTGGACTTGGCTTTGGGTAGTCTTTTGGGGTAGCTTCATGGTTGATGCATGGGTCAGAGTTGGTTTGGTTGGGTCCAAATTCTTCCCCGAGGGTTACAGACCGATAGTCTTGCTTGGCCACTTTTTAAAACATTATCTCAATCTGTTTGATTTTCTGAAATAAAGATTACCGATATAAGTAGCTCAGCAACGTCGATTGCATCATTGTATGATAATGACTTGTTTGGATGGTATGGATAGACCTAGAGCTGGCGTCAATCAGGTCTCCGCGGTGGTGTATAAGACAGGCTGATCACGAGCCTAACTCGTTCTCTAAACCGCTGTGTGTATGAACATAAACATGAAGGGACGCCTCGCGAGCCCGTTCAACACATGCGCCTTGTCCAAACCATTACTTGTAGCTTTCATGTATCAGAAAACGCCATCGTAAGAGAAGCAGACGTACGGTGAGGTATTAGAGTAGGGTAACTTGCGAACTCTGCAGAACAGACCGTCGAGGTCATTCATGATAGGTATCCGCAAATGAGGGAAATTCATTCGATGATCTAATGCGTCTACAAGCTCTATATAAAATTTACTTTCAGATCATTACAATGCGAGTTAAACGCGCCACCGAGGTCGCCAAGATTGGGTTGGTCTCCTAAATCAATATCGCCACCCGAAAGTGAATGATCGTGGCTCAGATCCGCATCCGAGTTATGAGACTGTGATCGACTAGGTGCTGTGAATGTGAATATATGAGGTTCAAGTTCGCCCTCCGTCTCCTCTCCGGAGTCATCCAAGTTGTTGTCAGGATTCGGAAGACGCGGGCTCGCGGTTATGCTGGTGAGGGTCGAGCGTGTGTGTGAGGAGCTTGAGGGTGCGAGATAAGACGCTAGCATGCTCTGGTTCCATACCGTAGAGCCTTCTATGAATTCTGAGTCCGTCGGAAGTGAAGAGAGTGGGCCGGTGTCGGTAGAATTGGGTGTATCAAGTTGGGTGTGAATGTGGGCACCCCCTCGAGGAGGCACGAGTGGTTGAAGGTGGTTGAGGGCCCTAAAGACGGTGGTGAAAGCCCCGAGGTCGGGTTATTCGAGGTGCGCAAATCAAAGTTGATCATATTAGATCGTACTTCACCAAAATAGAAAAGAGAAGATCGCGATGGCGGTGACTCACCATCTGAGGTTGCGTCACTAGCAACTGAATAGGTTGAGAAAGGACTGATGGGAGTTGGCGAACTGGTTGTCGTTTCCGAGCTGGAGTGGATCGTGGACATGAAATACGGTTATTAAACGGAAATTGATACATATTGTGATGTAGTAGATAGCCAAGGGTGTTATCAGAGAACTGGCGAACAGAAGAGTGTCGTTGACTGGAAAGTATATTGTTAAACAGAACATAGAAATGAAAAAAATAAGGATGATTGAGATAGAAAAACAGTGTGGACAGAGCTGTAGTGTGGCTCAAGCAAACGTGCTGGCAGCGTGCATCTCAGGCTCAAGTGACAGTTGTTGTCAATGAGCCACCTTAAGTCCCACTAATTACTATTGATTTTTGGCGCACGTGACCGGTCGCGTTCAGGTTTGAAATTCCATAGTCAGAGTCAGAGTCAGAGTCATGAGATTCGTGATACTACATAATGCGCGTACATATTGAAATGCGAGTGGTAGAATACAATTGAGAAATAAGTATAATGAGGGAAGAATGAAAAGAAAAGAAGAAAAAAATGAAACCTTCAATTGAATTTGTTCGTGAACAATTGTTCACATTGGCTCCGGAGACGGGCTAATACTCAACGATATCGTGAGTGGGCGCCTGGCAGTTCTCATTCGAGAACGAGTCGAACTGCGCGTGGAAAGTGGAGAGATCGACGGGGACAGTCGATGGTTGGAAGTGGATCGAGGCGGGGATGGGGAGCTGATCGGGCTGACTACGAATGGTGAGGATGATCCCCGCCAAGAGATGGGGGTAGAGTCAGTCCTGAGAGAAATAGGTGAGCCCACCCGAGAATTGGGGGGTCCCTGAGCTGATTGACTCAGCGGGTGAGCCGTCACCACGGAGAATGAGGCCTGCGAGTCAGGGAAATGTTAGGTCATTGAGATAAAGCGGTGCATAAATATCTACCTCTGGAGTGGCCAGACGAGTAGAGGGGTAAGGCGCGGCAGCGGCCCGTCGAGCGACTCTACCAGCGGGGTTGCGTCGTGGTTTGGGCTCGTAGTTGTGGATGTTCTTGCGGTGGCGCGTCAAGCTGCCGGGATCGGTGCTGGAAAACTCACATCCATGCTCAGGGCACGTCTGCGAGCGGATCTGTGTGTGGATCCTTTGGTGGGTCTGCAAGTTCGACTTTTGGAGAGTCTTGAACTTGCAGCCAGGGTGTGTGCAAGGGTGCATACTGACGAAGATAGTAAACAGCTCAGGAACCATCTAGTTTAATATGAGACAAAGAACATACAGATCCTCCTTGTTTTGGGCGTGAGTTTCGAGGTGTCTCGGGAGATCTTCTTTTCGGCTAATAATCTTGCTGCAAGAAGGACATTGAACAGGTGTCTATAAAGTGTCATAAGTACAAGACATGTGGCGTGAAGTAGGCTGGAAGCATACCTTAGGCATCTCGTGATAGAGTATGACAAAGGGAAGAAGTGGATGTGAAGGATCTGCGGGGAGGAATACCTGAAGTCGATGAATAGCGCTTGTGTTGTAGCAAGTCCACATATTTTATGGGCTTCTTTTAAACCACTAAGCGTGGTACGAACGTTGAGTATGATTTTTTTTCTGCGGCGTGTGTTTCTGCCTTTAAAGGCAAAAAGTGCGAAGCAATCGTGTGCGATGGCCTGAGCATAAGGGACGAGCCACTCGGTTAGCGGGGAAGGCAAAAGAATTAGGAGGGGCTCGATTGTGTCTCGACACTTTTGTTTTTTTGCCCCGTAAGGTAATTTCTGGTTATCTGCTGGACGTGGGGAGTGGCTCAGCAATCAGACCCTTCGCGCATCATGAATAGGGAAGTAGGGGGCCGGGGCCCACCTCTTCCGAACAGCGCTCCAGGCACGCCCAAAGGCGTTGTGTCAGGTTTCATTCCAACACTTGTCTCTAGGATAGCATTCGCAGTCACCCTTTGTCGATGAGCGGTTCTATATAAGTCTCGGAGAACGATGAGGAACAACGTCACGGTGGTACGTTCAAGCTCAAGTTAAGTTTTTAGTGAAACCACAGTGATTAACATCACTTACGTTATTATCCAAATCCATCATGGGACCCGACCATCACCAAGTCATTATCTATTTGAGCGGTAAGATCTAATACACGGCCTAATCAAGCTATGCGTAGATGTACAGATATGGACTGCAAGCTTTGTTATTGCCGATACAAGTGTTTCAAAACACATGTACCACAGTCACTATGAAAGTGCCATCATTGCCGACCTACTAGCCAGCAGATCGGTCACAAGCCGCTAACCATGCTTGATGCACGCAGCTCATGAGGCTCCTGCCTGTACTCGGGTGCGAACTTGTCATTTTACAGTTTATCGTCACACGTTGCCTGTACCTCTGGAGAATATATCACATCAACATCACGAGAGTTGGTGGCCAATGGCCCGAAAACATTACGCCTGATTTCAGTAACTTCAAAGGACCCGAGGTATTAATTCAGCGGCACCTGATGCATGCGTACTATGAGATTGACCACTCGTGGCAGAAGCCTGGGATACGGCTCCGCGAAATCCGAGTTTTTGCTGAATAGAGCGTTCACCTTTGTGCCAACAGTTGAGGGAAGTCATTGTGAGGTATGGATATGCACTGATGATGGTTAGGAGAAGATGAGAAGATGTCACTCCACCACATGACCCGGCCCGGCTGCTCACAGTGTCATGTGACAGATGGTGAATATTAATGAAGCTTAATCGAGTATCGCCCACCTCCATGCCCGAGATACCGGGAAATAATACTTTCCCATTCTATGCTTCCGTCTTGTGCTTGCTAGTATCATCTGTCGAGTCTGTTGATTTGAGAGTATAATTAAAAGAGGTTCGCCTCTTTTCGTGTTCTTAAGTCTCCAACTCCATAACTTGTCTGTCTTCTGCGACTTTTGCTTGCTCAGCCGCCTTCTCAGTATCTCCTAGCTTCTTTTCGCCACCGCGTACGATGGTGCGCTCGAGCGTGTAGTTACGAATAAAGAGAGCTAGAAAGAGACCGAATGCAGATAGCGGCGTGCTGATCAACCAAATTGTGCTGATAGACCGCGAGTAAGCATGCATGACCTCGTTACGCACTGTTGGGTTCTGGTAGGACTGATAAGTAAGCCAGAACCGACACCATGAAATTGTTCTTACAGATATTGAAGAAATCCGCCTGATGCTATCATTCAAACCCGCAACAGAGGTGTCGATCGTGAGGCCTTGGATGCCCCGCAGTTTCTGTGGGAGGATACTGGAAATGATAGCTTCCCCCATCGCGATACCCACCGCACTTCCAATAGTTCTGGAAACCAATAAGTACCCATGAAATACAAATCATAAGATCACACTCACCGGAGGAACATATAAGCGCTTGTACTGGTGGCCATATCCTTGATAGGCATGGCTGCTTGTATGGCGATAAGTGGGGTCTATCGTAGAGGCAATGATGAGCGTGCATTGTCACGATATGGTAAATTTACCTGGAACAAGCAGCCGATACCAATGGAAGCAATAAGGGGGTAAATTTCCTTCGCTGCACTGAATAAAAAAGCTACAACGATCACTCGACTTCGACACCGACAATACACATACTTAGTGGTCGTATTATCCAGCATGATCATGAGGCCATAACCAAGGGTCATGGCAGCCCATCCGAACCATATGATAGGCCGGTAGGACCCTGTGCGACTCACAACGATTCCAGAAACCGCTGACATAGCCGAACAGCCTAACGAATAAGGAAGCATTCTGTGCACATCAGCGACACGGAAATAACACATGAATTCACTACTCACCTGACACCAGAACTCGTTGCTGATGCGCCAAGAACTAGTGTCGAGCTCAGCAAACTACAGACTTGAGGGCTACAAGACAGCTCTACCTTGGTAGTACATTGGAAGGTAGCTAGAAAACACGTGAGGATGTCAAGCATAAACACTGACTACAAAGCACTCACTATGAACCTGGGGTATTCACATAAATGGTTGCTATTCCTGAGACAGATTTGCGTATATGACGTACCTGCGAAGAACACTATGGACTGCAAGAAGACATAAACTAATGTCAAGCCCGTTGTACGTGTCTAACAAACCATGAGAGACAACACGAGCGCCTTTCACAGTGACTCGCCTTGAAAAGACGAGGAGGAATAATGGGGGACCGCTTCGTGAAGATCTCGTTAATGCCACCGATGATGATCAACATGCCTCCCACAGCAAGGAGTGCAATGGTTTCGGCGCTTTGCCCTAAAAATAACAGTGAGCTTCGGTGCTTTAGAGCAGCAGGATGCCATTACACGTCGTTTCGCTCGAGTTGAGGCCTATGAGCAGACAAACGATACCTATGATGATCACAAAAAGGCCAACGAAATCAAATTCCTGGATATGTTCGCGCAACGGCCTTCCTTGGTGCGGATTCAAATTCAAGAAGAAAAAAAGAAGTGCCCCAGCCAAGCCGGCAGTCGGTCTGTCCATAGTGGTAAGCATCTGAATCTTGGCGCAAACATTGGAAATATGTGAAGCGTACAAATTAATCCAAAAGCACCTGGTACGCGTCGATTGTGAACCTTCGGTCAATGAACAGAATACACAAACTCACCACCTCCAAGATACATGGTCGGTGAAAACCTAGAACGCAAAAATGTTATTTCTAGATCCTTTCAGAAGATGGGAGACCTTACGCCGCCGAGTAACGGTCCAACGACACTGACAAATGAGTAAGTTTTTTTGGGCTAAACGTGGGTGTTTCTTTTAGTCATACCTTGCTATTCCCCAAGTGGCACCAACAAAGCCACCATACTTGCCTCGCCTGGAAAATAAATATAATCAGTAATGAACCAGCGCTGGTGACAAATATTCACTCTTGCAATGAAACAATGTCGGATATAGTGATCTGTACGAGTTGTAAGATGCCCCCGCCGCCGATTCCTTGGACAGCACGAGAGATAATCAACCATGTCATAGTCTGAGCTGCACCACACAGCGCTGAACCGATCTAGTCCATGAGGTCAAATTCACATCGAAAGCGCGTTCCAGGATAAACGTACTAAAAATATAAGGATGCATCCATATAGCATGAATTTGCGGCCTATGGATCCCAGTCATTAATTCCCAAGCAACGGTCCATGGCATTTGAATGCCACTTGCCTAAAATGTCGGATAGTTTGCCGTATAGTGGGCCCAAAGAGGCGCACGCCAACATGTATGCGCTGTATAGAACACATTACCGCGTAATAACATCCTATAGATGTAACATATACATACCTTCCCACCCAACTGTAATTCTTACCCCCTCCAAGTTCAGCTACGATTGTGGGCAAGGCTGTGGCCACGATAGTCTCGCGGTATGTGAGTCAGATATTCGTGAATGCAATAGCACAGTTGCGTACTTGATCCAAAGCTGCCAAGAATACCGTGCACATCAAGCCAAAGAACACAATGCTCATTCGGTTTTTGGGTACGACATGTTCTTCGTTCTTTTTCGATGATGGGCTTGGCCTTTCTTCAGCTTCCTTTATTGTCGAAGATGGTAGTTCCGCCATCGTTGTCATTTTGTGAGTCTCGTTTACTCAAGGAGAGCGAGTGAATTTGAAGAGCGGAAAACGTCAGGAGAGAATGGGCACAAACTAAGTGGGTTCGTTTCACAACTTGTGTGTAATAAAGGTAAGAGATTGAGTGGTTGAATTCTGCCAAAATGCTCCGAGCTTCGCGAGGCCCGAGGCTACAACCTCACAGACAAATGAATTGGACTGGGATTCGAAATATCGTTGGGGCTTCATCGATATTACGGTTGCAATGAAGACCCTTGGAACAACCGTAGTAGCTCAGCTTGAACTGCACAGGTGTCACGACCGATATGCGCTACGCCGGTGGCAGCGAAATCAAAAAGCGAGGGGATACTGACCCGTCATGATCGTGGCAAGTAACACCAGTTATGTAGATGCCCAAATATTGAGCATAATTCTGACAGGGCAATGACAGGGTCCTCCCATATGTTGTAGTCGTTCGAAGTCTTCGATGCGGGTGAACGGGCGCGATGGACTCGGGACAAAGAGATGTCCCACGCTCGTCGGAATTACTAATAGTGTTGGTTGTTCCGAAGTGAAGCGGCACGAAGTTCGTCCACTTCGAGAGGTGAATCGAAGTTACCACATAGATTAGTAATCGTTGTCACTGCACCCGTGTGCACGTCTGAAGCCCTTTATGTCCGTTCACCCACTGTTCACCGACACTAAAACGGTCGATTGCTTGCCACGCTTGAATGGTATCATCACCATGAATTTGGAAATACCGGATCTTCTGAAGAAGTACCATAGGCTAAGCCCCTTGTCAAGCCAGAAATAAAAATTGCGGAGAGTCGCTGGGTGGACACTGGAGATGAAGATGTTGGTCATCAGGCCATTTGTGAGTGGACTTTATATGGATGCGCATGCAAAAACGAGCTTGACGAGGATTTTAAATCTGGGTCCATCATTGTGCACATGCCGAGTTTCTATCCCTGCCACAGCTGTGGTGCGGTTCCTAACGGATAAAGGTTCTTGATGCGGCAGCAACTGTCCCTTACCGTGTTATATGCCCACAAGGCTTGATTTAGCAGCACGCGCTAGTACTCCGCCAGTACTCCGCCTGCATAAAATAGCCCCAGTGCAGCGGCAACTATTGCTATCTATGTGAATGGTGTTGACCATTTTCATTTGGCCGATGTATAGTCACAGCTATGCCACGTCAAGGTTGCTTCACATCTCTCAGAGGCCCCTTCATTGCGTATAGATATACGATATAGTATTCTACTGATGCTCACGCCAAGTAAGAAGCGTAGCGTCACCATTTCAGCATCACTGAGTAAAATTGGTATCTCTTCAAATCACGATTCGAGGTGACCCCTGGTGACCCTCATGCACAGTGGATCTTTGATCATCAATGTTTGGTGGCTGTCTCCGTTCCTTGAAGCACTGGGTATGTGCTCTTCCTCCAATAGCAAACTGCATTCTCACCATCACTGTGATTATAGCACGTATGATGCTGCCCAAGGGCCAAGTACGTCTGTGAGCCTTTCCCACCTTTGTAAGTTGTCGCAGAAATAAATATCGGGTGATCTTTGCTTTGTTCCTTCATGCTCTTACCTTTCCCTCTCTGTCAACATGTCTGAGTCGTTAATTGCGGAATCGGTCGTGCAAGGAGCGCTTTCCGGTACACTAGCTACCATGCTAATGTACGGCGTCACCTGTATGCAGACCTTCCACTACTGGCAAGCATACGAGCATGACAGCAAGATTCTGAAGTCTGTAGTAAGTCCATCAAAAGTATACATACAATGATTTCTCTGACACTCTGACAGGTGGCATTCATCTGGTATGCTTAACTCCGTTCCCATGTTCTGTGCGATGACGAGACGCATTCCGACTATTCAGGATTCTCGAGACTGCTCACACAGCATTGTCAGTACACTTTGTCGAGTACTATCTCATCATACATTTCGGAGAATTGGCACCGTTGGCATCTGCAGTTTGGTGCATATGTTTTTGTTGCACAGTTATTGTGGCTCATTCACTCCTCTTCACAGGAGCATGGGGGTGAGAGCCAGTATAGACAAAAACTTTCCTGCTGATCTCAACCTATTCCGCCAGGCTACATGTATCATTGGTGTATGTTTGTCTTTTTGTTTGCCTGGGGTTCGCCGTAGTGATATGATAATAGTTTATTATAGGTTATGTCGCAAATCTGTGAGTTTCTCGAAGTGTCGTAAAGGTTGTGCTGACTTCACCAGTTGCTTCATCTGGCGGATATCGCGACGTGAGTACCTCGATATACGTGTTTACCTCCTCCCTTACTTGCGTGAGCAGTGGGTCAGAATCGCTGGATTGCTGTTTTCTTTGTTTGTTGCAATTATCTTTGATGTCTAGAATTCCTGCTCAAGCCCTTGTTGTAGGCCATTGTTGCAACTGTTCGCTGCGGTAAAACTTTCAATTTTACATAGGGTTGCACATTGATTTTTTTGCAGGATTTGGACTGGTTAACTGCGTATTGAGGTACGTCTTTCCTGTATTTGGTGATCTGACTACTGATTGTAGTTCGAACAGTTTCATGTATCCTGGATGGGTGGTGTTCAGAGCACGCATCTTTGTATGTACTCGACAAATAACCCCAGGTCCATTGGTCTTAACATATCACCAGACAATCATGGTGGCTGCTCAGGTGCTTTCAGCACTCGTCGACGGTGTGATTGCGTTCACTTTATGCTTTTACCTTCGAAAACGTCGCACTGGCATGAAAAGGCAGGATATCAGTTAGCCTAACCCTACGTCAAAGTCAACTTGTTGCCCTTAGGACTGACGGTATCATCAAACGCCTCCAATTATATAGCATCAACACTGGTGCCATCGGGTCGTGAGCCTACTGCTTATAATATATCTTCCAGAACTCATACACTTCTTTTCCCTTAGGCTTTTCGCCGTTCTAGCGCTTATTGTGGTAAGCGGACGTTCAAATAGATGATTCATAAATATCTAACTTGCATCAGTTTCTCGTTTCTCCAACTACCACAGCGTTCATTGCTTTCATCCAAGTACAGGGCAAATGTATGTCAGATCCAATCGCCATCTTTGACTCAGCTAACACTTTGCAGTTTATGCAACATCGTTATTAGCATCGTACGTGTCGTGAATTTTACCTCTATGTGTTAACTGAAAGTATACGCCAGGCTAAATGCCCGCAAAAGCACGCTAAAAAAGATCGAGCAGTCTGTTCCTTCCGCCGACGGGGTTGTGCTTCCCCTGTTCGGCGCAGCACGTCCGAATCCGTCGTCACGATACATGGTTTGTATTTTTACCCTTCTTTGTGATTGTCTTGGGGCTCAAATCATATGTCAGCAATCGATTGAAGTCCAGAAGAGTGTTACGGTGGAGATCTACGGTGACGGCCTGGATCCTGAAAAGGAGAGCGACGAGACTAGATTTTGAGTTTGTACCAACGGACCAGTACTATAGGGCTAGGACGTGATGGACAGATTGCCGCGGGTAAAGAATGAATCAAGTAAATACATAGTATGTTTAAATTATTATCATCTAGTTTGTTCTTCGAATGGTACCAGCTCGTTCCATAAAACATCGGTGGCCATATCCTCGAACATCAGCAGTGTCTCATTCAAGGTTTCTCAGTAACAAGGCGATAAGCGATATAATCAAATCGCGGCATCCCGTTTGCAGTTTACACTACCTGTTCATTTGAAGTGTCGTCGACTTGCTCTTCTCGTCGTGTACTATCGGGATGTGGATAGGAAGGCAATGCATGCAACAGCAGCGTCGATAGCAAGCTACACCGGCACCCAGAACTACATTCATAATCTGCGTTCTCGAGGTGCATTGACAAGAGTGCAGATCAGGCTGTGCGTGGAGAGGTGAATTGTCCAAGTCAATGGATAAGAGTCCCAATAGCAAGGATCCTAGGGCTCGGAAGTTTAAAGAGTTGATTAAGCATCACGAAAGACGGGTTAATGCCCATTGCGATTCCTCGCTGTTTGCGTTTAGCAGCATAAACGTACAATCGTTCTCGATAAGGCACGGCGTAACATCCATAAAACCAGGCGGATGCCCAAGACCAACTTATCACAAACTGCAAATGTGAAAAAGACAAGAGGCGTTTGATCCAATAGACCAAGAATAATAATTGGGAAATTTTGGGGAGGGCCAAAGCCGTCATATCCAAAGAGCAAGATTCATCGATAGAAGGGATGAGCGAAAGTTCGTTCGAATGCAATTCCGTCAACCAAGTCAATGACCAAAGCGAAATTTGATGTCAATCGGAGCCTTTCGGAGCTGGAAGGGATCGCAAGAGCCTACTTGAGGATGGTTTTATTCCCAAAAGAAATGCCAGTAAACGAGATCGTAATGAGTCGTCTCATGCAAACCAAGACAAATGCATGAGGTACAAGGTCACCCCTTGGGCCAGCTATGATCGAGTTGTCGTCCTCAACACCAAGTGCAAATATCGAGAGGTCAAGCGGAATGTGAGACGTAGTTTTGGAAGCAAGCGGGGATCGACTGGGAGACAAACAAGGTCGAGGCCATGGGTTAGATCGAAGTGAGAAGTTTGCTTGGTGGCGTTTGTCAATTAGTCTACGTTCCCACGGTTGCATAACTTTGTCGTTCATAACGTTCAGCCACAATTACTACTTAGTTCTCACCAAGTTCCCATCACTGGCGGTGACCTTGTAAACACAGCTGTGCGGACGTCCGGGACTCCTAAAGGTAGCTGTGATGCGGCATTTTTCTACCCCGTCAAGGTTGCTGACACGGTAGCAACTTTCTCTAGCACTGTTATTTATGGTAGTAGAAGGCTTTAGCCTAACGGCGTCCCGCCTACATATCATGGTACCAAAGCAGCGGTCACTCTGTACTTCACGTGCACTCACACGCAGTATATCTTTAATCAGGGGCTTGGTTGTGGCAGTTCCTTGAATAATGATTTTCGAGCTGTGCTCCCCCTGAAAGATTACTAGGGCCCAACCAACATTACCAGTATTTCTCATCATCACTGCCAGTGTGATGATGCCTTCCGTGAGTTCTAGCTCCTCGATGGACGTTTCCCACCTTTGCAATCGCGGGAGCGTGCAGTATTAGTAGCGGTCGCAGAAATTCATATAAGGCGAGTTTTTCTCTGTCAATTCAGGCTCCTGCCTTGCTTTCTACGCTACCATGTCCGAGTCTGAATCGTCGATTGTGATGTCAGTCCTACAAGGGCCGCTTTGCGGTACACTTGCTACCATGCTGCTGTACGGTGTTGTCTGCATGCAGACCTTTCACTACTGGCAAGCATACGAGCATGACGGGAAGATTCTGAAGTCTGTGGTGAGTCCATCAGACGTATGCATACAATGATTTATCTGAAATTGTCATAGGTGGCATTCATCTGGTATGCTAAACTTTGTTCCTGTGTTTCATGCGATCATGAGACACGTTCCGACTGCTCAGGATTCTCGAGACTGCTCATACAGCATTGTCGATACATTTTGTCGAGTATTATCTTATCATCCATTTCGGAGAGTTGTTACAGTTATTATTTGCAGTTTGGTGCGTCAATTTTTTGTCACATGTACTGTAGCTCACTCACTCTTCATCAACATCACAGGAGCATGGGGGTGAGCGGCCAGTATAAATAAAAATTCTCCTGCTGATCCCGTCCCATTCCGCCAGGCTACATATTTTGTTGGTGTATGTTGCTTTTGCGTTTGCCTGAAGTCTGCCGTAGTGACATGATCGCAGTTTATTATAGGTTATGCTGTGAATCTGTAAGTTTCTCGGAGTCGAAGCCTCGTAAAGGTCACAAGTTCGTACTGACGTGTCACGTTCCCAGTTGCTTCATCTGGCGGATACTGCTACGTGAGTACCCTGATACACACATTTGCCTCCTCCCTCAACCACGTGGGCAGTGAGCCAAAAACGCTGGATTGCTGTTTTATTTGTATGTTGCATTAATCTTTGATGTCTAGAATTCCTGCTCAAGCCCTTGTTGTAGGTCATTGTTGCAACTGTTCGCTGTGGTAAAATCTCCGATTTCAACACATAGCTGCGCGTTAATTCTTTTGCAGGATTTGGACTTGCAAACTGCGTTTTGAGGTATGTCCTGCTTGTATTTGATGATGTAATTATTGACTATAGTTAAAACAGTTGGACATATCCTTTGTGGACGGAATTCAGAATTCGCGTCTTTGTACGTACCTCAACAGATATTCATAGGTCCATTGGTCTCAATATATCACCAGTCCACCATGGTGGTTGGTCAGGTGCTTTCAGCAGTAGTCGACGGTGCTATTGCGTTGACACTATGCCTTTATATTCGAAAACGTCGCACTGGCATGAAAAGGTAGGATATCAGTTAACCCCACCTCTACGTCAAGTTCACCTTGTTGCACTTAGAACGGACAGTGTCCTCAACCGCCTCCTATTATATAGTATCAACACTGGTGCTGCCACATCGTAAGCTACTGCTCATGGTGTACCTTCTCAAGCTCAGGCACTCATTTTCTGTAGGCTCTTCGCCATTCTAGCGGTCATTGTGGTAAGTGGATGTTCAAGCAGATGGATCATCTCCCAACTAACTTCAATCAGTTTCTCGTTCTACCAACTAATCCGGCATTCATTGCTTTTGTCCAAGTCCAGAGCAAACGTCTGTCCGATTCAGTTACCATCTTTGATTCAGCTGACACTCCATGCAGTCTATGCCATATCATTGTTGGCATCGTACGTGTCGTGATTTCGGTCTCTGCGCGTCAGCTGAACACATCCACCAGGCTAAACACCCGCAAAAGCACGTTCGAAATGACCAAACAGTCTGTTCCCGCCGCGGACGGTGTTGCGCTTTCTCTGTTCAAAACAACACCGCAGCATCCGTCGTACATGGTTTGTACTTAACCCCTCTTCGTGATTGTCCGGGGCTCAAGTCATCTGTGTTAGCATCCGATTAAAGTCCAGAAGAGTGCTGTGATGGACATTTACGGCGATGATGTGGATACATATACCGGAAATAACAGCACTACTCAAGAGAGTGAATGTTGAGTTCAGTGCACTGGCAGGCCAGTCAGGACCGCTGAACCAGTATGGATCGATAGACTATTTATTATTGAGGTGAAGGAACGAGGAAAGTGAATGATTGACTCCGCCAACTTTGCATATGATTATTTATCCTCACAATCTTTACCAATGTTCTAATATCATGGCAGAACATGACGCTACTGCTATCCAAACATCATATGCCCTGTTGCTGTCGAGGCGAATCAAACTTGAAATGCACTTGGCTCGCTTCGAAATTTTGAAGTCGAGTTTTGTGTTTCTGGAGCGGAGTTGCTGTGAGCGCTTGTTAAATTCTCGCGCTGTCACGGTGTACCGAAGCCCAGGTTGTCTTTTTTTACTCGCAACCAAGACTCCGCCTCCGACACGGTGTAACTGATGTTTACCGGATCAAGTTCATAGGTTCGGTGGAAGGGGTGCGCAAGCATTTACATTCGGTGAAGACTCAATGCTAATTTGTTAGAAAGCCCACCCACATTAGACATGTAGACCGCCGGCCGAAAATTGCGTGCGCAGTGCACACCCACACTGCAAGGCAACGAATCAGAGCTTAAACCTTTCTGCACTGCAAAGCTGCGCGCATAACTTGTCAATCATGGCATACAGCGCCGAGGATCATGATGGAGATACATAACGGGTAGACTTCAAACACGCCTGACTTGCAGTCTCAGATTCCACACAGATCCAGACCAAAATACCATCTATTTGAATCTTGAAATTCACATCAGAGCCCCATCGGTCTTAATCTTCTCGCTGCTGCATGTGTATAGTATGTCCGTGATGTACTGCTGCTACTCGAGAACCAAAGGCGCATCGTCTACTTCCAAGACATTGGTTGGTGTTCCACAGGTGTGTTCGGGTCATTTCCTCTATCCTCTTCTCTCACTATCGCAACATTTTCCTAGCGCCCAAGCTATACTTCCTATATGCACAACAGCACTCGACGTACCTTAAGAATCGACATGCCACAGAAACCGTACCTCGTACGATTTAAGGCTACGCCTATCTCGTCATGATGACTTTTGTTTCGTCATCATTCACGAGAAGAAAAAGTAGAACAGTTGGACAGGTTTCTGTCAAATGTTTTTGGTATGTGTTTGCGCCTTCTGTCATTCAAAGGCATCTATCTCATATGAAATATGTATTTATATGTATCGCTGAGGCAGAGTAAGGCAGTTCAAGTTCCTATTTTGTCTTCTGACAAGTTATGGGCGCATGGGCATCAATTTGATACCGCAATCTGTCCCCACCGTAGAGGATATCCCAGTAATTACAGGCCCCATGTCAAGCCAGAAATGACAATCGCGGATAAAGCCACTGGGAGAGCCTGTGAATCGGTTGTTAGGCCGTTTGTGAGTAGATCTACCAGCTTCGAAGAGGATTTCAAACCTGGGTGCTTTATTGATGTCGCAGTCCTGCCCACGACTCAGCATAACTCATGAGCGCAGCTATCATGTGACATTTTTTGTGTCGCTGACACGGTAGAAAATTTCTCTAACTGTGTTATTTATAGTGGTAGAACGCTCGCACCCCGCCTGCATACTATGATGCAGCCTTGGTGCAGCGGTCACTGCTACTATATATAAGTAGTTGGCGTTGATCGGGCGTTTTTGTCTTTGCCTTTAATTAGGATGCCGTTTTTTGACCCGTCGCCGCGTCAAAATACAACTACACATTCTGCGCGGTTATATCGACCAAGTTGTTGGATTGGCCTTCTTGCAAGGATATATGGTTACTGCTAAGCCGCGTCACACCTCTTTGCCCATCGCATTGCGTACACATAAACATACGATACAGCATTTCATTGACATCACTAGTACTCCAAGTAAGTAGCATAGCATCATCATATCAGTATCACTGACCATGATATCACAGAATAAGCTACACACGGTGGAACTTCGATCAGCTGTGGCGTTGAAGCCCCCTGAGCATATGCCCCTTGAATACCACGGTCTCCCACCATCACTTTGATTCTCATCACCACCTAAGATCCCTTCCGCGATGCCAGGTCGGCTTATGAGCCGTTCCCACCTTGCAATCATGAAACTGTTGCAGAAATGAATGTATAAATATCGGTCCTTTACTCCTTCAACCTCCAACCTTGCCTTCTCTACTAACATGCCGTCGGTTGTGATGTCAATCATGCAAGGACCGCTTTGCGGTACACTTGCTACCATGCTACTGTATGGCGTCATCTGCATGCAGACCTTTCACTACTGGCAAGCATACGATGACGGGAAGATTCTGAAGATTCTGGTAATTTTGTTCGACGTGTGCATATGAGGATATATCTGACACTATTATAGGTGGCATTCGTCTGGTATGCTCAACTTCGTTCTTGTGTGTCTCGCGATCACGAGACATGTTCCGACTCTTTAGGATTCTCGAGAGTGTTCATACAGCATTGTCAGTGCACTCTATCGAATATTATCTCATTCTGCATTTTGGAGATACGGCGAACTTGGCATATGCGGTTTGGTGCGTCTATCTTTGGCACACGTCTACAATGGCTCATTCACTCCTCATCACAGGAGCATGGGGGTAAGCAGCCAGTCAAGACATAAAAACTCCTGCTAATCTCGCCCATTCTGCCAGGCTACATATTTTGTCGGTGTATGTCACTTTTGCGTTTGCCTGAAGTCTGCTGTAATGACATGATAACAGTTTATTATAGCTTATGCTGTGAATATGTAAGTTTTTCTCAAAGTATCGCAAAGGTTTCAAGTTCGTGCTGACGTTACCAGTTGCTTCATCTGGCGGATACTGCGATGTGAGTACCTTGATACACACATTTGTCTCCTCTCTCAATTACATGGGCAGTGAGCCAAAAACGCTGGCTTGCTATTTGCTTTGTATGTTGCAAATATATTTGACGTCGGGAGTTTATGTTCAAGCCCTTGCTATAGTTCATCGCTGCAACCCTTCGCTGTGGTAAGACCTCCAATTTTAAGGTTGAGTCGTGCTCAAATTTTCGCAGGATTTGGGCTCACAAACTGCTCTTCGAGGCACGTCATGCCTGCATTTAATTATCTAACTACTGACTGTAGTTGAACAGTTTCCGCTATACTAATTGGAAGATCTTCAGAGCACGCGTCTATGTACGTATCTCAACTAATATATGCAGGTCCATCGGTCTCAACATATCACCAGCCAACCATGATGGTTGCGTGGGTGCTTACAGTAGTGGTCGACAGTGCGATTGCTTTTACATTATGCCTCTATCTTCGAAGACGTCGCACCGGCATGAAAATGTGAGATATCAGTTAGCTCAGCTCTACGTTAAAGTCAACTTGTTGCTCTTAGGACTGACAGCGTCATCAACCGCCTCCTATTATATACCGTCAACACTGGCGCTATCACGTCGTAAGCCTACAGCTAATGGTATACATACTATAACTCAGGCACTTCATTTCCCACAGGCTTTTCGCCATTCTGGTGCTCATCATGGTAAGTGAATGTCTAGGCGGATGGTTCTCCCAACTAACTTTAATCAGTTTCTTGGTCTACCCACTAATCTGGCATTCATTGCTTTTGTCCAAGTCCAGAGCAAACGTTTGTTCGATTCAGTTGCCATCTTTGATTCAGCTGACACTCATTGCAGTCTATGCCATATCATTAATGGCATCGTGCGTGTCGTTATTTCCGTCCCTACACTTCAGTTGACAACATCCACAGGTTAAACACCCGCAAAAGCACGACCGAAATAAAACAGTCTGTTCCCGCCGCGGAAGGCGTTGCGCTTTCCCTGTTCAAAACATCAACGCCGAATCCGTTTCACATGGTTTGTACTTTGAATCTTCGTGATTGTCTGGGTCTCAAGTCATATGCTTTAGCATCCTATTGAAGTCGAAAAAAGTGGTATGATGGACATGTATGGCGACGATCTGGGTACTGGAAAGAACAGCCATGGGAGTGCATGTTAAGTTTGCACTGACGTGCCAGTATCTGCCAGTATCTAAGGGCTAGTTCACACTAAGTGCTTACAGCAATCTATTATTTAATGTTATTCGTGTAGGACGTGTACAATATGCACAAGTTACTTAGAACGAACATAAGTTACCGCCGGCGGTTTGTGCTTATATAAGGTGTGGTACAGTCTGGTACAGTGCCCGCTCCCTTGAAGTGACACCCCGTCTGTGTTGGCAACTTGGAGGAGCATATTTAATGTAGGCCATTTATGATGATTTTTTTGGTGGTTAAATTCTGAACCTACAGGCCGCCCAAAGGTACAACCAGGAAGAAGGCCGTGAACGACGGTTCCACCACTCATACGCCTGTTCGTACCATTTCACTAATCACTCAATTCGGCCACTCAATACAAAGTGATTAGACTCTCGCCGAGCAGCTGTCATACCTGCATAGCCCTCGTCTATTCAAGAACACCAACTACGCCAAAAATGCGAATCGTCGAACCAAGAACCTGAAAACCGTTCTAGGTCAGGAACGGGAGAGAGAACGTGTCGAAAGGGAGAGGCGGAGACAAGAGAGAGATAGTCAGGCGATGGATATCTATAGCGAAGTTAAGAAAGAGCTTGTTGAAGCGAACGAGGAAATGCCAACATGTGAGCTGAATGTAGATTCCCATGTAGTCGACGGAGCTGATTCTTCTAGACCTATCGATCGAAGCACCCCCGTCTGTTCTGCCACAGAGACACTACTGTGATATCACGGGGCTAGAGGTCAGCACACACCCGTTCTGCGATCAAGGATATCATGTTAATGTCGAACTACTAGGCACCGTATACCGATCCTCGCACTGGACTGAGGTATCATGACAAGAACGTGTATGAACTTATTAAGAACCTTGTGAGAAGTTTCTATCTCCCTTTCGAACTCGATTCAAATCGTCCCGCAGAGCCCAAGCGCGGCGAAGGACTATTTGGCTGCAAGGGGCGTAAATCCCGTTGTCCGATAGCCTGTCATTTCGATTGACATCCATGGAGATGGATTCATCATCATTCCCACCGTGACTCTGACTATTATGCAATAGTGGCCATTGCATGCCTGATTGTACATGGCTATCTTGGATGCACAATTGCTTGCTCGAGCTTGCACTGCAGCTGTATGGGATATAGGGATGGGATGTGTGACAAACATAGACATTTCTTCAAATAACTAACATGAAAACCCTTGGTGGGTGGTTCTTTGCGAGTTATAATCGTACGCGTCAGTGAGATTTTGTTTATTATCGTGTCGTAACTAAACGCGCCTCCGCTACTCCCGTGAACAGATCAACTACGTACATGATATCCGCGCAGCAGCACCACTGTACGGCTGGATGGCCGAGTGGTCTAAGGCGCTAGAATCAGGATCTAGTCCGAAAGGGCGCGTGTTCGAATCACGCTCCAGTCATAAAATTTTGCTCTGTCTTTGTTTTTGCCTCCTGCTCAACTTAAGTTGTTTTCCCACCTCCAGGACCAGAACCTGATCATGTGAGCTTGTAAAATGAGCTGATTGGATAGGTAGACATATGGTACTCACTACTTATCACGCGCCTTGCACCTACATAGTGACACTGATATTGTATGCGGTCCCAAGTGGCTGGGGATAGCTGGGCATTAGTAAAGTTCCTGCCCTTATCAAAGATACATATGACAGAAATGCCGCGGAGCTTGGCCAGGCTTGGCCCTGGATCGGTCCGGCACTTCATACTACCTAGTAGGACGTTTGTGTGAACTAGCTCATCGTGGATGCGCCCGCACTGCATCTTCTTAGTGATAAGAGGGATATATAAATGAGGTAAGGTCTAGCTTCTTTCTGAACGTCTTTGCTCGCATGTCGACCAGTGAAGTTCTCCCCCAAGGTGCAGGCTATGGCGTCGGTGAGTTCATTCCCGTTTCCCTTATAACAACACTGATCTCTAGTAACATTGTTAGTCGTCGGTAAGACACGTTGCAACATATCTTCTACCATTTGCTGAAGATATCCAGGGATCGGACTGTTCTTCAGTGCTTTCATGGTGGGTTTGACTGCTATACAGGCACGCTACACAGGTGTCTCTCCCAAAGATTCCGAGGAGTTTTCGTCTGCTTCACGTTCAGTGAAGCCTGGGCTTATTGCCTCAGGCATTGTCTCTGCTTGGACGTGGGCAGCAACGCTAGTATGTCCATGTTCAGCATCCATATCCACATGTGGCTTACCGGGCGATATCACTTAGCTCCAATCTAGTGCAGTTGCCTATAGATATGGCATTTCGGGGCCTTGGTGGTATGCAGCAGGTGCGACCGTACAGGTCCTCTTGTTCGCGCAGCTTGCTGCGAAGCTAAAGCTCAATGCTCCTTATGCACATACCTGGCTTGAGATTGTTGGAGCGCGGTGGGGAACTACAGCGCATCTTGTTTTCATGGCTTTCGGTCTTGCAACAAACTTGATCGTATCGTCAATGCTTGTTTTGGGTGGTTCAGCCACTGTGACGAGTTTGACTGGAATGAGCACGATTGCTGCGTGTTTCCTCATTCCACTGGGTGTTTCCATTTATGTTGTCGTTGGCGGAATGCGTTCCACACTACTTTGCGATTAGTAAGTGAATTGTCGTCTATGGCGTGTTCCCTGACCCATGCTATTATTTTCAGCACACATACAACCGTCCTCTTCGCCATCATCTTGACGTTTGTGTTCACCGTATACGCAACCTCGGGCGATATTGGCTCCATCAGACACATGCACTATCTACTGGGCGAGGTATCCCAGATCACACCCGTGGCCGGTAATGCTGGGGGCTCGTACCTAACTCTCCGCTCCAAAAACGGCCTCATCTTTGGTGTTATCAACCTCATTGGCAACTTCGCAACTGTCTTCCAGGACCAGGCATATTGGCAGCGCGCCATTGCCAGCAGACCTTCCACGACCGTCAAGGCATACCTTATTGGTGGCTTGGCTTGGTGAGTTGGCGTGTCTTTACAGACATGTATCTTTCTGATTCAAGCGTAGGTTTGCTATTCCGTTTGCATTCTCAACGACGCTTGGGCTTGCTGCAGTGGCTTTTTCTGCGGTACCCGCCGCCAACTCTTCGTCACAAGATCCTTTATCAAGCAGTTTTATTCCGATGCTTGCGCCGCTCTCGCAAAATGCCATCTCAGAGGGTCTTCCAGCCTCGCTAGCTGCTGCGACGTTGCTCGGGCAATCGGGCGCAGCTGCGCTTCTTATCGTTCTCTTCCTGGCTGTGACGAGTGCCACGAGTGCAGAGCTCATTGCAGTCTCTTCTATTTTGACTTACGATGTCTATGTGGTATGTTCTTACCCAGCATTCAGCGCTAAAATCGCTCACTGTTGATTATAGAGATATATTAATCCGAAGGCTACGGAGCAACAAATTTTGCGTATGAGCCATGCAGGGGTATACATTCTTCATGCAAGCAAATACAATCCTGGTTAACTGTCATGAGCAGGTTGTCATCTTTGCACTTGTAATGGGTCTCGCCGGTGTTATTTTCTACTACATCGGAGTGTCCATGGGTTGGCTTTATGTTAGTGTCTGTATCCATCCATGCTACGCATTGTGTCTGATATGGTTTACAGACGTTTATGGGTGTCATACTCGGCTCTGCTGTCTGCCCAATTGCCCTTTGCATTACCTGGAAAAAAGCTAGTAAAGTGGGCTGCATCGCCGGTTCGCTCGTTGGTTTTGCCGCAGGTGTTGTTGCCTGGCTGGTCACCACGTCTGCGCTTAACGAAAAAGTCATCAATGTCACCGTACGTCTCTTATTTTTCCATCGTTTCGTTTTTGACCTTGCTGCATGATCAGACGAGCGGAGGTCAGATGACCGCTAACTTCAATACTGATGTGTAGCTAAACTGACCCATTAATAGGCAACTACGAAATGCTCGCAGGAAACCTTGCGTCAATCGGTGTCGGTGCTATTATCTCAACTGCCGCTTCGCTTATCGTGCGCAAATTGTTTCATCTCTTGAGATCAGAGATCACGAGCTGATGAATCCTGCAGTGGCCAGATGACTATGATTTTGCTTCGACTCGTGCAATTAATAACCACGGTGCTGCTGTTCCTAGTAGAAAAGTCAGCGACGAACTAGAGGAGCCAGAGGATGAGAAGAAAGGTCCGGATGTGTCAGTGTCATCCGTGACGAACGAAGCGCAAGTCGATCCCGAGCTGGATCCAGTCAGCCTAGATAAGGCATTCAAGTTCGCCGCCAGAGCGTCAGTAGCACTTGTTCGTATTTTAATTTTTCCTCATAACTGCTCAGCTGCTGAGGCTGCTCGCTCTACAGACTCTGGTACTGATGATACTTATCCCTCTCCCCCTCTTTTTCGCCCAGACGGTCTATAGCGTTACTGGCTTTTCGGTTTGGGTGATAGTCGGTATTATTTGGACATTCTTGTCGGCGTTCGCAGTCGTGATATACCCCCTGTGGGAGAGCAGAGCTGCGCTTCGGCTCATTTCGAGAGGAGTGATCATGGTAAGTGTGATATTTACTTCTTAGAGCTCATCTGATGTTGTGCAGGATATTTTCTCTCCTGGGAGTGGTAAATTTGTTGCCCCATCTTCAACGAGAGAGCCTGGCGAATGAAGATCCGTGATAGCTTTTTGGGAAAGTCTCCTTTGTCTGTCCTCGCAGAGTCATGTACGATATTGGCAGACAGTACATAAAGTTTACAAAGCAATTCACAATGCCATGACTTGAGTTAATGGTGTTTGACAAAAAATAAAGTAAACAACCACTGCACTGGTTCGATCCCCTCAAGTGAAGTGATTAAGCAAACAGTGTATTTCCACAATTTCATTTCGTAGAACACTTTCGCGGGATGCATTGAATTATGTTAGGGTTGTGTTACCTGGCCTCAGGCCCGCAAGCATTGGCCCAGAGGCCGATGAGATGGGGCTCGGACCTGGCCTGTGTGTCTTGTAGGCCCCAGCTTAAGTTTCATAATCTCAGAAGCGAAAGATTCCACTCTATGCGATACAATCAATTACTTTTACTAGCGCCAGTGATGAGCGGAGGTCAACGCAGTGTATGAACTTGTGGTCTAGCCTAATGGATGACAGGAGCATCCACCTGCGTTTCCAATTTTCTATGGGCTATTCAATATTAATAGTGTTGGATGTGGTTTGATCGGGAAAGACAATCAGTGGTCCACCCAAAGCGCCCAAGCGCACACCATACTCTCTTCAAGCACAATGGGAGTCATGTTCGTAGCCACAATTCGGAATTGCTCACATCACAAAAATCCACCGGAACTTGGGTATAAGTACTGGTCATCGAGGGACTCAAACCTCAAACTCATCCTTCATCTCTGTAATCTCGGTGAGCACACCGAATCAAAAACTCAGCGAACTAAAACTGACCAGATCCCATAGCTATCTTTCAATATGTCTGCTCCGCTTGCGTACTATAATGTTGAGGTCATCTCTCGTTCTGACTCAGGCTGGGTGGTCTACATCCCAACTGGTCCTGGTATCGGGAACACATACGAGATCCTTGGAGACACGGATACCTACACCGTAGACATCAGGCACGACCAGCCAGAAGATGCAATGCGCCAAAGTGTCATTGTAGGAAGAGTTGCTGTAGATCAGCTGTCCCGGCTTGAGATGACTCTCACAAATGTCCATATCAAGCGTCACGACCACGAATGGCAGCCAAAGAACTGGGTGTGGGATGTTCTCTGCAATCTCCGAGACAACGATTTTGAGGTCGCCCAGAAACTTGGACTTCAGGAGCTTGAAACGAAGATGACAGAGTTGCTCTACGCGCAGTGGAGGAAACAAGCTGTATTTTTGGGGGGCAGAGGTCTGGTGTTCGAGGATTTCGCGAGTGGTTGACAACATTCGATATTGCTGCAGCTCACCGTGGGAGGAGCACTTACCGTAGAGTTTGGAAATATTTTCATTCTGGATTTGTACCATTATTAGTATCATAGTCGTCCTGATCGCAAGTGACCTTCTCCGTATAAATAGACAGCTTTGCTCGTCCCTGTCGGTCTGGCAGACAGACTTAAGAAAGGCGATGAAATGATCGTCTGGCAAAACAAGTCACACTTTCCCCGAAACCAAGGGATTGCTAGTGCTTCCAACCCCTTTTCATCAGGAGACAAAGGTATTTTGATCCCGTGTGTGGAAACCCCTGGAAGTTGAGAGGGTGAGTAAACGTATCCCTGGATCTCGCTATAAAAACAGCTGCGAACTGAGAATTTTAAGTCGTCATCAACTTGGTAGTAGTAAAATAAAGGGAACGTGACACGCAGTCACGTTACTGTGACACACATACATGGCGTCGATTAAGATTTGCCAGCTTCTGCGGGATCAAACATTTCGTCCTTACAATATATGTAGACGTAGCGTCGTAGACATTCACCCGTTCAATCTATAGTTTGCACCGACCTGGGGGATATCGGAGAAAAGCCAACCTGGGCCCCAGTGCTCATCACAGCTCGCCTTTAAACAAGGTTCATGATTCCACCAGTAAACTCTACGTAGGCATGGGTGTTGTGTAACGTGCCAACCAAAAGGTATATAATACAGTGATGAGGTACAGGTACAATGAAGAGACGCATATGATCTACCTTGCTCGTCCCTTATTCAAAACATGAAAGCATATGATAGCAACTTTAGGCAAACTCCCCGTATATGAGTATACCATCCCAAACACAGGTCGTCAGCACTACTCCGTGACACGGCGGCAGACAACTGCCGCAGAAGATCTCAGAGCTTTGAGATGCAAGTTGACCTGATGCCACGCCCTCCTGGGGTCAACGACTTGGTCGACACGGGGGAGCATGGAGAAAATGATGCAAGCGACAGCCCTAGCATCTACTACGTCAGAGTTGCCCACCCGTAATGTTTGCAGGGAGGTATGTTGAAGTGACTCGGTTGTAGGATCGATATCGATATTTACGGCATCGATGGATACTTGCAGGGTATGCAAGTGGGGGCAGAAACGAAGCGCTGCAAATAATGCGCGGAATGTAACAATAGGTTGACAGAAATGCGGGTGACCCATAAGTTCCAGGGAGTGGATGTGCGGCCAACTCAACATGGCTTCCATAAGAAGGTCATTGTCAAGGTAAATGGAGTGATGAACACGGAGCCGCAGGGTTTGCAGCTGCGTGAAACACAGAAACTGTTTGATTGCTGTCAAAGGCATGCCCAACTGCTTGTCATCCTTTGACACCATAACGGAGTTGATTTCAATGTGTCTGAGGGTCGGGCATGCTTTACACCGTGACAGTGCAGAACAAAGCTGCTCGGCTTCTGCCCAAGCCAAAACGGAGACATGCATTGTGAACCTTTGTAGTGAGGGGAATTCTGAGTATCGTATCACTGTGGTAATATCCGCAGCAGTTTTGACGCTGAAAGAAAGCGCCGTGAGATTGAGGAAAGGTGCGAAATCGTGACTATCCCAGTTCAATGGGGAAAGAAATTGTCCCCGAATGGCTACTGTAAAAAGGGTAGGAATGTTGGAGAGGTGTTTCCATGCTGCCCAATCGAGTGGTGCACATGACAGATTTACAAGCCGCTTGCACGAACGGACTGTGTCAGAAACCAGGGACAGCTCATCTGCTGTGTTGCGAAAAGACTGGTCGATGAATAAGTCCTCTAAGGCAGGACAACGGGCTACGATAGATTTTATATTCGAATAAACGGTTGATACTGACAAACAGAACAGCGCAGGGGAACGGAGGAACTGCACATGTCTGGTATTCGTATCTCGAACCGTCCAGGATAACGACCGCAATCCCGGGAACAAGGATGTATCGACAGCCTGGAGGACTGCCACGAGGAGGGGGAAATGAATGTCGGTGTGTATACGCAATACGCGCACTCGGGCAGCATGACGCAAAAACTGACGGGCCTCGTGCTCGGATAATGGTTCAATGGCCTGATGACAGAAGTCCTGGGTTGAGATGTCTGGTGAGCGTTGAAAACGGAATGAGCTTGTACTATAAGTATGTACTGACCTGAGCGCCGCTTACGATTGGATATAACCTCGGTACACACCCAAGTAATGGTGTTATCCCATTTAACTCAGACCAAAGCAAATCCATTGCGGGCTCATGGAAGGTCTTGCATGTCCTGGCAAGTGCTGCGAGGGATTTCTGTGTCAGAAGTGCTGCATGTGCTATTTGCACCGACAATGATTCCCCGCCCAAAGGCCCCGAGATTTGGTACAAATGAGAGAATATCCCCAAGAGAACTTCGAAGACAAATAGAGCTGGATGCATTAGTAGGTGACAGTTCCAGAAAAAGATCCAGGAACCGAACCAACCAAAAACGTCACAAAGTCACGTGAGCGGTGCGGCATTTTTTTCCAGTGAAGGCTGGACTTGTCACTTGGGTGCTTGGCTTGCTCGTCGCTACGCGTATTGTCCTCATAGTGTTGTTATATTTGCCTCAACAGTGTTAGAGTCATGAGCCACTGAGAGTATATCGAGTCCTCTAAATTAAATTATGCTAAGCCCTACTTTTACATCTAATATGCATGATAGTACATAGATACAAAATCGGCCCTGAACTACAAGTATTAGAGTGTTTTGCTAGGACTAGAGCCTGAGGGGTTGAGGCACCCCACTCTACCTCCTTCATCGTTTTTGGAACTATCAGGCGCAGGCTGCGCAGGAGTTCATCTCGTGCTGCTCGAACGACGGTGGCGAAGTCCAACATACACAATCCTCAAACGTCGTACTGACATGTATGCAGTTCTCGTTGGCATGCATATCCCAAATGCTGATGATAAGACGGGGCATGATAATAAATGGCGCGGTATCCTTGAACAACAGTACGAGATTCCTCGCCACCGCCTATGCGTGCCTGCGTTAGAGTTGACCTCTCTAGAATCATGGGATATTATACCTGAAGGCCGGTCCACAATACCACGATGACAATTTGACATGCCAAATTTCTAGCGGGATTTAATGAATACTGTTAGAAAACCCGACAGACGAAGGAGAGCTTACATGACGAAATACATGATGTGATGTCGGACGATCATTACTACATAGATACTAGGCCTAATTTTGAGCTCCTTCCGTTCTTTTAGGTGTTTCCCGAGGGCGACGATTGCGAGAATAACTAGCAAAACATCATAGCATAGGATGGGGATGGAAGCATATATCGCAGGCATGGGCCCTATGTGGAATGTAGCCGTGCAGTACTTGATGTTCGGAGTTATTATAATTTCGTCCGCTATGCAACCAGACGTCAGCGTACATAAAATTCGATCCAATTAGAAATTCACTTGAGACCGCTGAGGGTCGACTCCATAAAAAAATATCCATCGCTATATAGAGCGCGATAACAGGTAAGAATAGCCCCAGGAGAACATAAAGGATGGGCTTGGATTGGTTGTATAGGGCGTAAAGACGCCAGATGAGAAGGACTGCAGACGCACAATTAGTACGTGTAAAGATGCAAAATGTATGACTGACCCTCCGCCAAGCAAAAATATAAAGACCAACCCCATTGCATTATCAGAAAAATAATATGGCCTATTTCAATTTCATGGTAAGCAAAGGCAGTCTCAGTTGAATACGATATACTCACAACTAAATAAGAGGTAAGCAGCAGATCAGGCTTAACTGTAAAACGAACTTCTAACGTACGGCTGAATCTGGATCAACCTAACACTCAAAAGAAAGAATCGATACACTCACTGCTGCAGGTATATAAAATAGACCTCCCCCTAGTGCTAGTCAGGAAATGATGGCTCAGTTGGCATCACGTCACGTACAGCAGGCGAAAGTACTATGGTTCAGTGTCAACATGCAATGAACCATCTAAAAGACACGACCACACATACATTGCAAGGAAAAGCCCAAAATATCGAACCTGACATAGCAATAAAAATGGGAAACTGTGAAGTACTTTGGTAAGGCGGGACTCACAACGAGGTATAGATATGTCATCGCTGTCCACTGTCTTTCCTAGATATTCAGTCAGTTTCTGAAGCTTGATATTATTGGGGTTGAACTCTAACCCAAACAAACTTGACCTGCGATAACATGGTCGTGAGTACTGGACGAAGATAAGACGAGCTCCTCGTTACCTCTTTCTCGAACTGAAGTACTAGATGATATTACGCTCAGCCGCAGTGCAAGGTTCAATAAAGTTACTGACTGTATTCATAGGTCACCAGGGTAATCATTACAACTGGAAACGATGAAGTCCAGCACAATGGTTCGTTAACAGCAGGGCTGACGAACCAGATATATTGTTATTCCAGTCAAGATAGTAGACATCTTTTTCTAGTTCCGACATGAAACTGTGCAGATCAAATGGCGAATTCAAAGAGTGGGCGGTGGGCAGCTGATCACCAACGCACAATACTTATAAGGCACAGAATCTCTTGTCAGGGCTGTAGTATCCTCATGGAAATTTATACGATATCGTGCCAAGCTTGCGATGCCGTACTTCCTTTTGGTGTCACGAATCGCTGTCCTCGATAACTCGCTCCTAACGAAAAGGTCGTAATAATAGCGTCGATTATCACACGACTGCCAAGGGTCTTCGGTGGCTGTTGCTTCTTGAGCTAGTCTAACCGTCCTGCTAAGGTAGTAAGGGCAGTGCTTACATACCTCGAATCCCAATATATGATGGAAAACATCAAATGGAGTCCCGCCACCGTCCATCTAACCTTGGCTAGCAAGGGTATGATCCAATACCGAGCCTCGAACTAAGCGAAGCGATTTCAGGCGTTTGAATGTTGACGTCCGTACGGCAAAGTGATCCTTGGCCAGACATGGTCCGTGACGCTGTCTGTGAGGAAGACAACCGTAAACAGCGAAGTACCCGACGGCCTGCCACAATGTGGGAATGGAGAGCAGGGGCGACGGGAGCGGCACTAGGGAGATTCTGGTGTTTTTCGCTGTGCGGCAAGTACTGTAAGGTATTCTGGGGCTGCGTACTGTTGTCAAAGATATATTAGAGGGGAAATGATGGCTCATACTTTATTCGAAAGGTCCGTTGGGATCAGCAAGTATTTTGAGGCGCCGAAACAGACGACGACTGGTGAAAAGGGTGTGTGTGAGTTTGGCATGAGAAACTTGTGAGTAATTCAAGTTGTGTGACTGACCAATTTTTGATCTGCGGTGCCGGTCCATCACTGTCCAAATCTAGATTGGTATTACCTTCCTCTGAGTTGAGAAGGTATGGTTTAACTGGGCTGGGGGGTTCGGAACGAGAACTAGCATGCAATTGTGAGTTTAGTAGTAGCCTAATAATGAAATTTTTGTCTTGGCTTACCGTTTAACTCCAAAAGGTTTGGGTGTTCCAACATGTAGTCTCTGTAGCCTTGCCAAAACTTTAGTACCGAAGCTCACGAGGACAGCATTGGACAAAACCAAAGCTGCGTATATACCGCTGTAACAACCAATATAAAGAGTGTCGTGTCTGGAAAAGGACGGGCTTACTAGAGCTGCTTGTTGGTGGTCGCATATGACAGGTCAGAGGAGGCGATCCTGATTGCTGCTGTGATTTGAGTTGCGCAAGTCCAGTTTACGAAATCTAGCCCCACGCAATCAGATGAGACTATTGAAAAAATGAATTAGTCTTACCGACCCCTGTGATAAATTCTATGGCATTGGAATCTGTGGATATCAGGACTGGATGCATATCACATCGAAATGTGGTTGTAATTCTCGTTACAACCAACCAACCACAACAGAAAATTGCGACATCGTGGAGCAGCAAGTGGGTAAGTCCAGTAGTATAGCTAGATTTGGTGGAGTCAAGTGTGAAACGGCGACGGCATCAAGGACATACACCACCGGAAGTAGGCGCTGCTGACGCGAGTGCTGCCATCGCCAACCCGATGCACATGATAAAAGGACAAGAGTTTGCCCACTGCGCGGTGGAAAAGTGAGATGTTTACAAAACAGTAATCCTCACACATGACGGAAGCTTACCCAAAAAACCACGGCGAAAGGCCCGCCATTCGGTATGGCATAAAAGAGCACGGAGCTAAATGAATTTGTGTCGGTAAAGAAGCGATATCAAATATAGTGACAGCTTACATTATAGAAAGAACCACTCCTATAGAGGTGAATGCAGGTCCAAACACTGTACAGCTGTTGGGTTGTATCACATATACAAAAGAGTCTGACATCAGGCTCACCTCTAGCGGAGAAAATTCCCTGTAAAGCTTCTGCTTGTATCCTAGCTTTGCGAGAGCCGTCTCATGCGCGCTTTGCTGCGGGTGCAACTTCGAAATCGCAGAGGCTCTCATGGTCATATCGAAGCGGGCGATTTCGATTGAGCCTGAGCCACGTCACGCGTATCAAAAGAGATTAACAGCCAACCGGGAATTACCCTCAGTATCCACATCACGACCGAGAAGCCCTGAATGATGTATGCGGCAGAATCAGATATTCAGAATAGAACCTCGCCTGCGATCCAAGCGGAAATTGAACCAAGTGACAACAGGTGATGACTGTTTGTCCCAACTGACGGTCCGGACCCAGCATCTGGTTTGGGTGGTTAATCTGGGACCTGGGTCGAACAACCGAACACCGGCGAGGAGGCTGGGGAGCTAGGCCAGGTCATCCAAACACGGGTTCCGTGCTGGACAGGTAAGAGCAGCCTCGTCGTTACATGTACTACGCCTCTGCTGTCAGTAAACTCAGTACACCTGGTTCTAAACTTTTTCGCGTGCTCCCGTCGCCCGAGTCCTTGCGCAGCTTACAGAGTCGTAGCTGTATTTTTCAGCAGCCTGTGATCGAACAACAGTGAAATACGACATCTCCAGTTCTCGAGTCGTGTTTAATGCGTTCCGTACTATGACTGAGTTAAGGTCAAGAGTTGGGGGATGAATATATAGTAGAAAGCAAAGCGCGTGCTTCTTGGGCTAGTCTGATCGGAGTCGTGTCAAAATCACGTGGATAACGGCCCTGACGGAAGCACTCTGCCAGTGAGACTACTATTATTGTTGGTGACTTATAGTTTTTGCTATGGCCATCGGTATCAACTCCAAATCAACTCAGCATTTTGCGGTATTAAGGCCACACTGCCACAGTGCACGAGTGCTTTGGGATGGTCTTACTTTGTGGCCGATGTCACGGGCGTATGACATCCAACAAAAGTTTTAGGGCTTTGGAACAATTAGGTCTCCCGGGAGAGAGACCTGCAATAATGCTTAGGCCTTGCACCGACCTTAGGCGGCATGTTGTTCATCTCAGACAGGCTAGTGGCCCAACCACGCCCATGAGTATAAAAGAGGTCAGTAGCCATAAGGCATCAATCAGTACTGTTTTCAAGTCTAGAATCGCTCTACTCCCCAGCTACTCCTCCCTTTCAAGCTTTAAAGTCTCCCTATATCGGACACATGGCACCACGTGCATTTCCTCTTCTTCGCGCGCCTACGGAACCACTAGACGCCAGCACTCTCGACTGGAAGTTCAGAAGGCAACTTCTTGAAGGTGCCGACCCCGCCGATGACCCTCGTCACCGTGCGGACGGCATTGTCGTCAATCATCCACGTAATTTGGCATACATTCGTGAACCAACTGAGGCGGATGCGGATGTTGAGAAAATAGACTGGAACGATTCCCTCAAGCACTATCTTCAGGACTCGTGGTTTCCGGCATATTTTTTCGGGCCTCAGGTCAAGCTGAATTTTGTCTGGCCCCATTACCCGGAGCTACAGGTCGCACCTGGAACGCGAATGCTTCGCACCATTTCGCGAATTATGCCGTACCGTATTCATGGCGCTGCATGCGAATGTGAGTCTTAACGCATTTTTCGGTTGTTGATTAAACCTAACAGTATTGGTAGACCTTCAGCGGCAGAAAGATAAGAAACTCCAAGTCGCGAAGTACTTCGGTGACCTCACCTTGCCTTCTATTGATTTTATACGGCGCGACGAGGAAGTTATGCTTATGCAAGATGTCAATTCTGTCATTGACATCACGAAACTCCTCCTAGCGTTTCCGTTGCTGACGATTGCGAGGTGTTTGCACATCTTGCATGATATACCCAAAGGAGAAGATGGGGATACTTATCGAAATTTCCTCCAGTTCAGACGCTCACCCAGAATGTGCCCCGTGAAGGATAACATTTTCGATATCATTTCTCTTGTACGCATCTTTTTTTCCCCTTCTCAACTCGCTCTAAATAGCGGTTTGTTCATCACAGCCCAGCCCTCATCCCGGCCGCACGAGCATGATCATCCTCGTCATCCCTCCCTGGGCCCTTAATAATATAGACTTCATCAGTTTCATCAACACAGGAGCGGTGCGAGCATTGTCCCTACATCTGAAACAATTCCTCTTACTCCTTATGCATGCTTTTAGGTGACCCCTGGAACCCTCGATGGGATTTCCACCGCCAAACCTGCCAGCTCGTCAAATGTTATGTGGGCTTTGGTGAGCCTTTGCTAACACCCCTCTATGTGCACCATCGTCTGACACGACATGAAGTTATGGGACATTTGCTCCAAGCAAAAATGCCAATATTTTGCCGTCACCACGTATGAATTCTGGGCATTTGGAAACTTCAGTTCTGGTCCGTCATTCTCCCTTTCGGCTTCGTTCATCAGCTGACTGCTTGATGCTTCATAAGATATGCAAACTGCGTATATCTCTGACCTCTTCAGAGCTGCGGTTCACCCACATGACGCAGATGTCCAGCAGGATAAGCTTCCCACTCCGGCGATACCTGAGACCCTGTTATTTTGGATGGCGGCTTGTGTAGGTGCTGGAGGCATTTTGTGGACACCCTGTAAGGCCAAGGTCACTTCCTGATGGCCTTCATATTGTACATAGCATCATGAGGCCAAGATCACTTCCTGATGGCCTTCATATTGTACATAGCATCATGATATCTAAATTTATGTATCTTTCCGCACTCTCGTCGAACATTGCTGGCAATGATGAAATTTGAAATTTATTCAAAGACCACCCACGGGAGCCCACGGGTTGTTGATGATCAGCTACGTGGCACTGACTGCAATGTAACATCACATCTTTGTATTCCGGAGCCGTCTGCACAGCTTATATATAAAGACGAGGCCCAGTGACAAGCTATTCAGGGCTAGTGGATTTCCAACACACTCTTGATTCTTGATTATGCATCAGTGAGTTTCAGAATATTCCTTCAAATGCGGGTCCGAGGTAGTGGTACCTGCGCACTTCATAAGGGCAGTGGTATCACATCAATTGCAAGCTGTAGGTGTCTATAATGTCACCAAAGATATCCCTCATCTCAGTCACGAGTCTGCCTGACGGTCCGCAAGAGGGATCAGATCAGCGTGCTCATCGCAGTCTGATATGATGGTTGTAGCATGCTTTGGTCGCTGAGCAAACTCGGCGCCCGAGTAGTCGTTAATGATATATCGTGCACGTGTTCTGAAGCTTGTCGGCGAGAAGAACAGCGAGAGAACTGCAAGCTATGTTTAGCCTGTGCAAGGCTATTTAAAACCGACTCCCGTGCAGCTCTTGGAGGCGAGCAAGCGGGGTGTACCTGGTTATTCATGCGTTGTTATGTGCGATGCGCAAGCCAAGCCGCGTCCACATTCTGTCAGATTTGATGTTGAATTAGTAACGGTGGGACCTGCAAAGCAAAACTAGCTGAATTAATCCTATAGATCGATTACACATACCGTTAAAATGTTTTCATGAAGTCCTGCAGTCAAACTGGATCGAAAATGAGCAAGTGCACCTGCCTAGGAGCATAGCAGCACCATGTAAGTTCATGGGAATTGTCACTGCATGCAGACAAGGTGCAGAATCGCCGTGCGTGACGCAAAAGTTTAACCTGAAACAGAATTAAACGCGTTGACTTCTAAATGACGCCGGGGACCCGAGAGACGTCGCAGCCTGGCTGCCTTTGAGCAAAGACATCGTTCAGGATATTCATGATGTGGCACCATGAATACCTAAGGAACTACTAATAGGATACCACATCAGACATCCGGACTAAAAATGATCCAGAGGAGCGGAAATTGAGGTGATGATGCCGAAGAGATCAGGTGTCCGGGGACCGGGGCACGGGACCATGAAAAAAACGGAGCAGAATAAACAATCGCCACCAAGAAGCCCTTGTAAAGGTCACCTCACCCATTCCACACACCCACCCTCACACTCTTTTTCGCTTTTCGTTTTCCGCATTCTCGGTTCGCTCGTATCTATATTCTGTCTTTCAAACCTTTCGTTAACCTTATAGTACGACCACTTGAAGATGATCTCACCCGTTGCTTGGCTAGCCTTCGGGCTGGCAGCATCTTCCAACCTGGCTGCTGCCCAGCAGGCAGGTTCTATTGTTCAGGTCGGTAATACGCAAGTCAGCGCCATGATGGTATGAAACTGTTTGCCTTGTTGTTTTGTTCTGCACTGAGTGCTTGCACCCGAAGATGTTCCTTGGCAACGAAGAAAAGGTCTACATCCTCGACAAAACAGAGGGCAATGCTGCTCAAATAGACGGCCACCCTGCTTGGGGTGCCGTATGGTACGCGCACTCGCATTCATTTGACACTAGCCCGCTTATTCTTTTTGCGTTCAGGGATGTGAATACTCACTCTGCCCAGCCAATGGAGGTTTTGACCAATACCTTCTGTGCTTCTGGTATGCACCTACCAAATGGCTCATATGCAACGTTCGGTGGCAACAGTGCCATTGGCCCGCTTGGTGCAACTGGCAGTGTTGGTTCGGGTTCATACGATGCAACCTATCAAGATTACGACGGAAGAAAGGCTATCCGTATCCTCAATCCTTGCACGAGCGCCGATGACATGTCGAGTGCTCAATGTCAATGGTTTGATAACGTTACCGTTCTGGCCATGCAGAAGCAGCGGTGGTACTCTGCCGCTGAGTCTCTTGGTGACGGTTCTATTGCATTGATCGGCGGCTTCGTCAGTGGTGGTTACATCAACCGGAATACCCCTAATACGGACCCAGCGTACGAGGGCGGTGCTGCTGAACCAACGTATGAGTTTTACCCTTCGAAAGGAGCCGCGACTGTCATGAACTTCATGATCACCACTTCGGGTCTCAACTCCTACGCGCATACTTACCTCATGCCTTCTGGTAACATGCTCGTCCAGGCCAACATCTCTACCAGTATGTCTTATCATTATTTTCTCGCTCTTGTCGATTTTCTTACGTCTACCATCAGTCCTCTGGAATCCCAGCACCAACGTCGAGACCACTCTTCCCGACATGCCAGGCGGTGTCGCTCGTGTTTACCCTGCTTCTGGCGCCGTCGCCATGCTCCCTCTTACTCCCGCCAACAACTACACTCCCACCGTCATCTTTTGTGGTGGCACTGACATGCCTGACGAGTATTGGGGTAACTATTCATACCCCAACTATAACACCTGGACCTACCCTGCTTCCAAGGACTGCCAGCGCATCACCCCAGAACCCACAGATGGCACTTCTCCTGTTTATATTCAAGACGATAACATGCTCGAGGGTCGCACCATGGGCCAATTCATCATCCTTCCAGACGGTACTCTCTTGGTTCTCAATGGTGCCGTCAACGGTACTGCTGGCTACGCTCAGGCTACTGGCCAGACCGCTTCCTATGGCCTCATGCCCTACGGCGAGTCGTTGGCCTCTGGCCCCGTCGGAACACCTGCCATCTACAACCCGAATTTGCCCGCAGGCAGCCGCTGGTCGAACGCCGGCCTGGGTTCCACGAACATCGCACGTCTGTACCACTCCAGTGCCATTCTCATGCCTGATGCTTCCGTCATGATTGCCGGATCCAACCCTAACATTGATGTCAACCTCACTACCGTTTTCCCCACAACTTACACCGCAGAGATATTCTATCCACCCTACTTCAGCGCCAGTGTACGCCCAACTTACTCTGGCGCACCGCAAACCCTCTCTTACGGTGGTAGCTCCTTCGACCTCACCGTTCCTTCGACCGCGTACAGTGGTTCAGGTAACGCTGCTGCTGCAAACACAACCGTAGTTCTGGCCCGTGGCGGTTTCACCACCCACGCCATGAACATGGGCCAGAGGCATCTGCAGCTCAACAGCACGTACACCGTCAACAGTGATAATTCAATTACCCTTCACGTGGCTCAAGTTCCCCCAAACCCTAATATCTTCACTCCCGGACCTGCTCTCATGTTCGTCGTGATCAACGGTATTCCCAGCAACGGGACCATGGTTATTGTCGGCAACGGTCAAGTCGGGACGCAACCCACGCAGGCCGCTAGTGTTCTCCCTGCTTCCATTCCGAATTCCTCTGCTCAAGGCTCAGGCTCGGGCAGCAGCGGTAAAACAAACAACGCGTCGGGAAGCACTCACACCGGCACAATCGTCGGTGCTGTGATTGGAGCAATTGCAGTTATTGGTATTCTCGGTGCGCTCTTTGGTATTTTTGTGGCTCGCCGTCGGCGCGCCGCCAGTCGTCAACACCCTGCGGCTGCGTATGCCATGAAAACCACGGGCGACGGGTATGGCGGCGGCGCGTCTCGCGGAGGAGCCACCGGTGATCGAGCACGTCATTCTGACTCGAGTGCATTTGTCCCGTTGCAACAGGATAATTCTAGCAACGCGTGGAACGCGAGCAGTGCCAACCTGCATTCACCGTATCGGGACACGTATATGAGAGAGGGGGCAGATTACGATCCTTATAATCCGGAAGGAGGGGTGCAACATAGTAGTGGACAGCGGATATGATCACGGACAGGATAATAGAAACGCACGGACAGCCACTTGTTGTGTGGAATATCTCACTTTTTTCATCTTGTTTTTTTCATCTTGTTGCTCATCCATTAATAGCTACAACTGTCGCATGCGTTCATGTTGGAGCTCTCTATATTGTCCTGTGTGCTTCAACGTATTGTCTGTCATTTCTGGGGCCTTTGGGTGTTTTTGGACTTTTGTCATATTAGAGCCATGTATGTGTCTGCGCTCTGTTGTCATTCATTTATATTGCTACTCACCGACGAGTTTGCCGTCGAACACGTGCATCCAATGTGGCTCTCCGCACGAGATACTGACCGCGGATGTCCCTGAAAACTGACGTTCTTTGAGGGCGTATATGTGGCCTTGCGGTCAAAAACGACTCGGTCAGATTCTCGTTGGCCGAGACGAACCTGCTGAAAAAAAACAGAAGTCCAGGTTAAAAAACCTAGGGCGCAAGCCAGAAGCCTAATCAAACTTGATTTCGTGGCGAAGTGTGGCGCGGCCGAACCTGTGGTAAGTATCGGAGGTGCTCGTAGGCTCTCGTTGTTACCCGCTCACTGGCTGACACAAACCTGCTGAGACACCTACTCACAACAAGGGGGGAAAGCTTATGCAGGGTGAGTACCGACACAAACAAGTCTAACGATATAAGCAAACTGGCTTTCGCTAAAACACCGAGTCGCAAACCTACGGTATCGAACTACCCCAGTAAGTACTACTGCAACTCAATTTTGTTCTGATGTGACACATGTATGATCACGCGAGCAGCGCTGCTGACGCCCAAAACTGACAAAAATAGAGGCCTCGAGGTCGAAGCATCCATACGTATGGCATGAGTGTATGTATTGAGCACCTCGAAATTCGGCCCCGGTTGGGGAATGAGAAGCTCATGGCCGAACTTGGCTTAGAAGGTGGGTTGTCAAAGTTTTCCCTAGGCAGACTGACAAATAGAAGGACGCCGGTTGTTCAGAACTTGCGTTGACGCATCTTTGTTATAGGCTAGACTGGGAGCCTCGGCTGTCGACAACTGCGAGGAAGTTGCGCACAGCCAACCGTATCGTATCCACTCTGCCGTAGCTGCGTCAGTGAAGGAACGTTCAAAATGCCCTCTCCTCATTCGGCCCCCCCGTAATACCCTCGTCGGCATATGTCGGAATTAAGAGGTCGTACGATCTCAACTTTCATGTTATTCTGAATCTCTAGGTATGTCTTACCACCTTATTTGTACGCCACCTCCGACATCCCGCATCGTGACAATGCAAATGCTAATTAACATCTCGCCAGGTACTAGTCTACCCATGCCCATAAGGAATGACCAAGTAAGATAGACGATGTAAATTCAGACAAGTTGTTCCTTTCGTCCCTTCTTTTTATCATACTCAATACCTGGACAAACGACCCTGCTCCGCCCTGATCGGTCCCCCAACACGAGGCAACATTTACCTACTTGAGGACGATGTGGACCATACCCGCCGGCCATCATAACCCCTATCGATTCCGAGTAACGTTCGCCAAGACTCGCGTGGAGTCGTGGGGATGTTATGCGCCAGACATGTGAGGATTTTCCATAATCCAATTCGCTTATGCCCCGTTCACTTCCGTCGTTCCGTCACCAGTGATACCATCCAAGTTATCCGACCGACGGCTCTTGACGGAAGTACAAGGTATTAAATCTTGTTTGCACAGCCTGATGTAGCTGATGGGCGCGTATCAGTGAATCAAACACTTTCATCTCAGTGGCTATGAATCTATCCTGCGCCCCAGAAACCGATGCCAAACTTTGATATAATCACCTTTACAGCTTGCAAGTCTCAGAATGCTTCGTTGGGGAAAGATTAGGATTACTTGAAGGCCTTTCATCACTAGCCGCCGAGCCGGCTAGAAGATTGCAAAACCTTTCAACCAAAGATGGATAAATGTCGCAAGAAAGATGTCATTCGTTTATCGGATGCGGCACGACTTGTTTGGCAAGAGCTTCTGAACCAACTTAACCAACGTGTTTATCTTGGTGTTATTGCACGCTGGTTAAGCGGGTGCAGTCTAACTCACGCTAACCCATGACCGCCTATCATACCAATCCGTACGTGCCTATCTCCTTCCACATACATAAGTGATTTCGCTACTCACCGCATTCGATCAGATTTCTCGGAAATTGAAGAAGCGTGACAGTTTGTCCTCATGGCCTGTCAACACTTCCCGCGAAAGATGCTCAACGGAGCTGTTCGCTCATCATGATTCAGATCGGTGCTTCGTTTTGATCCTATCAAGAAACATAGCAATCACTTGACGGTTTCCGTTTTCCGGACGACTAAGCGCTCTGAGAAGATGCTCAAGTGGGTGAGTAGGTAGATACGACACCACTCCCACAAGGACCTTTGTCTCACAACAACCGCCTACGCCCACAACTGCCATCGTGCCTCGTGCCCACGGATCCATTAACTAATCGACCAGATCGGAGATATGTGGAATCGGGGTTGAAACTTGATGTCGATCAAACAGTTTGCATCATTTGGATTACAAGAAGATTACAAGGCGCAGTAGGATATTTATACCGGGCCGTTCACCGACTGGAATGGTTTTTAGGGACTAACGGTACATCACTAAGAGGCCAGGGCCTTGTCCATCCCCTCACGATCAGTCATGCTCTCCTACCTCCAAATTCTGTATTCTTTCACGAGCGACGATATCACGACCACCATTATTCCGATTGTGTGTATTTGCTCTTTCGCCGTTCTGTTACCATATACTCATGAGATCAGACACTATTCGCAGTTGTGGCTGGGCCGCTCTGCAATATCCAACGTTTCTTCCACGTTGTCTTCTGGATATGGCTCCATCTACTCCACTTTAATGTCGCCAACCAAATAATCGACCCTCAGGAGGATGGGAAGAACAAGTCTTCCCGACCTCTACCTGCAGGACTAATAAGCCTCGAAGACGCTGTTATACTGCGATGGGCTCTCATCCCCATATGTCTCGCCATCTCCGCATATTACAGCATCCAAGTTTTTGGCTTGAGCTTCGTGTTGACGCTGTTCATATTATTCTATAATGAGCTCAAGGCTCACGAGCACTGGATATCGAAGAACTTTATAACGGCAGTGGGTTATGCTTGCTTCGAAATAGGCTCCACTCTAATTGCAGGTTGGTTATCGAGCGTCCTATCTCTGAACTCTTTGCTGATCTATAACTTGGAACAGGCAAAGATATGTCACGCTTAGAACCAACCGCGATTTCGGCGATTGTCTTGAGCCTTGCTGTGTTCACGAGCACATTGCACGCTCAGGATTTCAAGGACGTAGAGGGGGACCGTCTGATAGGCAGACGAACATTGCCCATAGCATTCCCCAATCTTGCGAGGATGTCTATGATGGTAGCCCTTCCTCTGTGGTCCATCTGCCTGTCTCGTGTATGGGAAATGGACACACTCTGCACGCTTGTATTCACAGGATATGCAGCGATGGTGGGGTTCAGATTCATGACCTGCAAAACATCACAGGCAGCACGAATGTCTTGCAAACTGTATAGTGTAAGTGAGGTTCTCTGACTGGCACGCGGCTATCCTGATGTGAGGTTATAGCTATGGTTTTCTGTCGCACATCTTCTCCCTGCCTATTGGCGGTATTTCCACGAAGCACAGGCTTATTCCTTTTGATCGTCATGAACAATGCGGTGCGATTGTTACGGCCGAAATGTCGGCCATGTGAATAGTGTATCACATCGTTGTAGTTTTTGGAGGTTGTAGTTGTAATTTGTAGTAGTATGACCAAAAGGGTGTATTTCTTTTTTCTTTCATCAATACTTGATAGGCAATGTCGTGTGAGGGGACATGCTAAGTCGGCCGGTATCAACCACAGCGTCGGTGCGAAACCCTGGGTCGCTTGACGATATGATAACCGCATTCATATTAATATGACAGGATAACGGGAGTATCTCCAAACTTCAATATCCTCACCTGGGGCTCAGGCACCTTCGGAAAGCTGTGAATGTCAGTGGTTGCCCCTTGTCAGGGGAACTAACTTAGAATGGGCAGTGCCACACACCGGTGTGGAGATAAATGTTCGAGTTTAGCTGCCGTGACTAAGTATAGTCGTTGATAGCCGATATATGAAACAGTGAGCTGATGCACAGCACAGTGCAGATTTGCAGGCTGCAGCTATCTGGAGCTACCCATTATACTGCTTTGTGATACTGGAAGGCAATCAAAGGCGAAATGAATGAAAGAGACAAAACGAACAAGAGTTAACACTTGGGGAAGTCCTTCCTGATTTGGAATTGGAGGGGCGCTTGTGAGTAGGGTGCTTTTCTGCACCAGACCTGACTGATAATCCGTACGGTAAGTCTGAACGGTAACAGACAGTGACTAGCTAATATTTACTTCGGAGCTTGCAGCGAGAGTCTGCTAGGTCTGGTGACTTATTGAAAAAAAGACATCATCGCTCGAAAGTAGACTTTGTCTAATCAATCTTGTCGAACGTGGCGCTACGGTGGGCCACTGAAAATTCATTGTCTGGCTCTTTCAAATCTCACAATTTCATTCTGCATCGCGTTCCAACGTATAAAGCGTGCTTTTGATTGTCTTTTCTCTCACCGCAGCTGTACCCGCCAAACTAACACTCTGCAATGGACTGGGACGTAGGACCATCACCTTCCCAATTCTCCTCTTCATCCCAATGGGCGCGCGCCAGCAACCGGCCTGCATCTCCCGACAACGATGAGGTCGGTTACGTTTCATGGGTGCCATCCCAGCCCGACCATCCTGTCCTCCGGAAACTCATGCACATGGCAGAGAGCGAAAAGGAGAAAAAGCGAGAACAAAAACGTGCGTGCTCTCTGATATCAGACGTTCGAGGTGTTTTTGATTTGCATCTGTTCTCTTTGCAGCCCGGTCGGATGCACCAAGTACCAGCACCAGCACGCCTGTCCCTTACCGCACTGCATCCCTCCCCGTTTTTGCTACACCGTCAACGAGCACACTCCCATCTACATCTGTATCTAATTCGTCAAGGAAACTACACCCAAGGATAAAACCTATCTCAAAGAAAGTGCCCCCGTCCCGTGCATATTCAGCGACTGCACCTGTGAAGGACAATAATGTCTCTCCCGATCCAGAGCGAGCCGCAGGATACCTTCATATAATACTCAATGGCACTGCGAAGATGGACGAGAATTCGAGGCTAAAGCAAGTTGCGAAGGCGGAGGCAGAAAAGAAGGCGGCGGGTGGCACATCAGGAGATATCGCGACACGGAGAAACACCTATACTTCTTCGTCTGGGTCGAGGTTCACATCTGTCACATCGACTGCAAGACCTTTAACGAAGACCTCTAGTTTCTCGTCTGCTTCTTCTTCTGCACCTCCGCTAAGAAGTGCACTCACTAGATCATTGAGCTCTGCAACTATCAAGCCTGCAGTCAAGCTTTCTAGAGAAAATGTCACCTACGAGGACACCCAGATGATGGTAGACTCAGACCGAGATACGGATCCCGAAGGAAGCACTTTCACTGATTCCCTAGGTGACTTTGCTCCAGACGAGTCTTTCTCGATGCACGTGGATGACGTCGTACTGCCCCCCAAGCGCGCGATGGGGAGGGCATCCAGCATCGCTGCTGTCCCCTCTACCAGTCGCCCTACGGCTTCTTCCTCAAACTCCGGGTTTGCGCCTTCCTCCAAAGCTCTCGCAACTACATCCACATCCTCATCTACAGCATTTTCAGAGAAGATACCCCAGTCAAGAGATGTGCGCCCTCCTGTGGCACCCCCAACAACTCAACGAGGTCCCCCACCGCTGGGGATGCGCCGGCAACACAACCTCCCCAATTCCGGGTTTCCTTTGTCTCAATCGCGCTACACCACCACACAATCGCCGTATGCTGCATCGCAAGCAAAGGGACAAAAACCAGTGACACTTCCGCCCTTCAAGCCTCCGCTGCTCAAGAAACCCAACCCGAAATACGTTCTTGCACCAAAGCAGGTAGTCCAGACTCCCGAGAGCCCGCCAACTTCGACGCCCGAGCTGGATAAGGACGATAGTAACGATGATGGTGATGTGGAAGATACAGGCGGTGCGGCGGGTGCGGATTCGTCGTTTGATGTGTCTTTTGATGTGGATGCAGATGCCCTGGAGGCGACCATGCGGCAGTATGATTAGTGCGTGGACGATGCGTTTTCAGGCTGGGGAAGATACGAGATGGGTGCATGCTAGGTGACTACTATGTTTCCGATCCGTCATTGATAATCCATCTACGTATATTTACATGTACATTCGCCAGCATATAATACTCACTGCCTCACAATATTAATTAGAGGTGTTTGTTACTTGAGCAGCTATATGCCACGATGAAATATGAAGTACGATTGTTCCTACCGGCCCCAGTTCTGCACTGCCCTCAGCCGCGAACTTCCGACCGTAAATCCGTAGAAAGCACCAACTCAAATAGAAGTCAATAAATCCCAGAAGGCTCAGCAACGAGTCAGATAAGAATCTTCGAACAGGATCGGCGTTTCCCTATATCAAAACCTATTTCCGACCCGGGCAACTAGTCTTGTGTTTGCTAAGGGTAGCTGTCTGCGAGAATGTCTTCCCGCAGTCGCAGGGGTACACAATCATCATATGGATCGCTTCCACATGCCTCGAGAGACCATCTTTGTTGAGTATCCTACCACAATGATTCCATTTGCACTCGACGCGCGATTCGTTTGGGCCTTGAATTCCGTGAACTTCACGAAGGTGAGAAGAGATGTTGTGGCCATGAATCAAGTCATTGCAATGTAACCCATCAGAATCACCCCACATACACTGAAACGTCTCTGAGAGAAAATGGCCGCTCTGCGAGGGCCGGTTAGTTGTAGTGATCCACGGTCAGAAGATTGTTAACTTACACGCCCGGGTGTAGTGGAGGACCCAGAGATTTCACCGCTTAAGTAGTTGTATTTGTAAGAGAAACGTGATACGGAATGTGCAGGAGTACTCGAGGTGGAAGTGGAGGCGGAGGCGGAGGCGGAGAACTTATCCACCATCGTAGTCAAAGTTTTCAGTTCATGATCAGGGTGGGGTGATGGACTGTCGGGTGGTTGTTCTACTATATCCGAGTCACTAGAACTGCCGGGCGGAGAAGCTCCAGGAAAATCATCCTGCGCATCATCCGGAGGATCGTCAGGAGGTCTACTACAAGAGTCTTGAAGCTCGTGTAAGTGGATAAACGGCAAAGCACCACGAAGTATGCAGCATTACCTGGGGCGGAAAACCTATGTATGACAAAGTCAAGCACTTCTTGTGCTGAAGGTCGAAGCTCGGGTTCGAATAAAAGACATTTTTGGATGAAGTCCCAATCCAAGTCTACTATGGCAGGATGACCATCGGGGCGTTGCGGTCCACGACCTTGCGACATCGTAATGATGATGAGTGCATCCCCCCGGATCTCGGACCAAGGCAGTCGACCCGAGAGAACCTGTTCAGTCCGTCCTCAGATGAATATCTTGTGTCAAACTAACAACTCACTTGAAGCATTATGCAACCAAAAGAGTAGATATCAGCTTTTTCTAACGGCACTGGCAACTCATGGGCATTCTCTGATAGAACGAGTTCTGGTGCTGCATAGCGGATTGCACCTGGGCGTACAGATGATATAGCCAAGTGCGACTGGCCGAGAAGGGGCTGGACAATAGTAGAGAGACCAAAATCAATCAGCCTTGCGTGGCCTCTCTTGTCGATTAGTATATTTGCCTGCAGGTTTGTTATTTCTCAAGAATAAGCCACCTCAGAAGGGCATAGCTTACCCCTGTTATATCCCCATGCATCACAGACTCCGAGTGCACTGCACCAAAGGTGGGCTAGTATTCGAACATCCTAAGAAGGAAGATGGAAACTGACAGTAGCAAAGTCCAGCGCTGACATCCTCTAGCTTTCAATATTAAATGAGTCTTCAAAGACGAAAGGATACAGACGAGAGTTTCGCTCACCATACGCGAACGGTCCAGGACTGTTAAATTGTCGTGGTTAAATGTCAGGTAGGCATTCAGCGTGCCGTTTGGCATCCATGGAGATACCAAGCAGCGCAACTCTGACATTGGTCCAAATCCTGTCGCTATACCCAACAACGGTACAATGTTATTATGGCGTAGAATCCTCAGAATGCCAATTTCTCGGCTAATATTCTGGATCATTCAAGTAGCATGGGTGGTCACGGTACAACTTGTTATCACAGTGCGATCGCTCACCCTGTTGATCTTCTCCAAACCATCCCTCTCTGAAACCCTGAAGGCCTTGACCGCAACCTTATCGATCGCTGGGGTCAGCCGATTGCATGGTAAATGTATCCAACACGAACTTACGAGTGCTGAAATACCATCTGTATTGTAATTGCACTTCCAAACATCACCAAATCCACCTGCGCTAACGCGGTCCATGGTTGTTCGAGTAATGAAAGGCGTTAAGTCCTCTGGCAAGTCCTCTGGCCTGCAGTACGGTGAAGAAGTTCAGTAAAGCAACACCGAACACAATGCGCTCATACCTCGGATCGTCGTTTTCCATGCCTTCTCAATAAGCTTCGTAAGTGGCCGCAGTGGCGGTCACAAATGATTGAAGAATGTGGATCGGATTCAGGCAATGTGGCGTATAATACCCATGCTTTGCGAACCCGCAATAAATGGGCGTCTACTCAACTTGCATTACTTGCCAAGTTGTCGCAACGCTCCCCCTCGCTTCTTGATGATTTCGCTGTGCGCAACATTGCGCACTCCCGGTCGAGCGCAAGTGATACCTCATTGGTCGTGACACCTGTACCGTTGGGCTACGGTCGTCCAAGGGCCATTGATAATTTCAAATCCCAGTTCAATCATTTGCATATGTCGGTCCGAAGGTCGAAGCCCCAGGCCTCAGTGCGCGAACTCGGCATCTGGAAGCACCTCGGCAGAATTCGGCCATGTTTCTACTGTTTCTACACGCAGATGTGATACGAACCCACTGTCTTTGTGCCCATTCTCTATTGACGCTGTCAGTCTGTTCTTCAAATTCACTTGCTGTCCTCAAGTGAACAAGACTCTCGCAAAATGGCAGCGGAGCCGCCATCTCCACCAGTCAAGGAAGCCAAAGAAAGGCCAGACGCATCATGGAAAAAGAACGAAGAGCATGTTGTTCCAAAAAATCGCTTGGCGTTGTGTTTTTTTTTTGGCTTGATGTCCAGTGCGGTATCTCGTCTGCTCCTTCTTCTGCACCTCCGCTGGGAAATGCCATTGAGCTCTGTAACTATGAAGCCTACAGTTAAGCTTTCAGTGACAGTGCCGCCTATCCTCAGACCCAGATACGCATCCCGATAGAAGCACTTTCACCAATTCCCTACATGGCTTTGCTCCCGACGAGACTCTCTCTCGATGCACATGGACACATCATATCGCCCCAAAAGTATGGCTTCAGTCTTCCTGCAGCTTCTTCCTCAAATTCTGGGTCTGGGTCTTCCTCTACAGCTCTCGCAACTGCACATCCCATCTTCAGGGAAGATACCTCAGTCAATGTGTGCACCCTTCTATGGCGCCCCCAACAACTCAACGAGGTCCCCCACCACTGGGCATGCGCGGGGAATACAACCTCCTCAATAGCTCCCTTTGTCTTAATCGCGCTACGCCACCACGCAGTCGCTTTGTGCAGCGTCACAAGCGAAGGGACAAAAGCAAGTGACGCTTCAGCCCTTCAAGCTTCTGCTGCTCAGGAAACTCAACCCAAAACCTGTTCCTACACCAAAGCAGGTCGTCAAGACTCCCAAGAGCACGCCAACTTCGATGCCCGAGCTAGACAAGGACGACAGTAACGATGATGGTGATGAAGAGGATAACGGTGCGGCGGGTGCGGCGGGTGCGGATTCGTCGATTGATGTATCTTTTGATGTGGATGCAGATGCCCTGGAGGTGACTATGCGGCAGTATGATTAGTGGGTGGACGTATGCATTTTTCAGGCTGGGAAGATACGAGGTGGGTGTATGCTGTGCTAGGTGACCACTGTGCTTCCGTTCCATCTTTGATAACCCATTTACGTATATTTACATGTACACGCACTAGCCTACAGCTGGTAGTACCTCCTTCATCATATGCCGCACTTGGTACCAATAAATAAGTTCGTGCTTAAATTGCAATTACAGCTGAGGAGTTACGAACCATTCCTATGTGTATCGCTCGAAATACGCATGTATGATTGGTTAAGCGAGTCTGCACATTGTTGACCCCAGACTATTCAATCCGACCGCTCCATCAACCCAGTTCTACAGAGATAAATTCTCCTTTCGCAAGCGGTTCAGTGCCATCATCGCTGCTGCGTCTTGGGCTGCGCCCTTGGTGCGCGAGGAGGCATGGCCGTAATTCATGTCATCAACTACGTAATTTTTAAGCAGCGCACCAAGAACCACTCTGCCGACAACTTACTGTATATTTTAGCATACCAGGTAAGAGCGTTCGGAGGTCCTTGGGAGTAAACCTCCCATAGTATGTGGCGCCACGCGGCCGGACCATATATCATTTGCATTATATTGTTGAGCGCCGTTCGAGGATGGTCGATGTGGAGAGGTGCTAAACTGGAATAGGAAATAGGAAAAAAATGAAGATGCGAAGATGCGAATATTTTGTTTTGGACCTACTGAGATCTTTGAGTTCCAGGCTCTATGACCGAAGGCCCCGGTTCATGACCAGGGTGAACTAGTGGACTGTCGGATGGATGTTCTGCTGTGTCCAAGTCACCAGAAACACCATGTGGTGAAGGTCCAAGGGAGAAACATCTATCCACGACAAAGTCATGTACTTCGTCTGCCGAAGGTCGAAATTTGGGTTCGAATTGCAGACATTTTTGGATGAAGTCCCAGTCCAAGTCCATTATTGCAGGATTACCATCTGGACGCTGCGGACCACGACCTTCGATTATCATAAAAGCGATGCGCATTTCGAGCACTTCAGATTTGATCTCAGACCAAGGGTGCCGACCCGAGAGAACCTGTTCAATGAGTCCTCAATCGAACATTCTGTGACCAGGCCGTCAACTCACTTGAAGCATTACACAACCAAAAGAGTAGATGTCGGTTTTTTCTAAAGGCCCTAGTTCATGGACATCATCTGATAGAACGAGTTCCGGTGCTGCATAGCGAATCGCACCCCGGCGTATAGTTGTCGCAGCCAGGTGCGACTGGCCGAGAAGGGGTCTGACAATGGTAGAAAGACCAAAATCAATTAGCCTCGCATGGCCTCCCTCGTCAATCAGTATATTTGCCTGTAGAATCATCAGTGTTCAAGAATGCCTCGGCAGCTACGCGTTCACCCCTGTTATATCGCCGTGCATGACAGGCACCGAATGCACTGCACCAAAGGTAGGTTAGTATTTGGACATGCTTAGAAGGGAGATGGAAACTAACAATACCGAAGTCCAGCACTGATGTCCTCTAGCTTCCGACGTCGGGTGAGTCTCGAAAAACGAAAAGATGAGATTCCTGCCCACCATACGTAAACGGTCCAAGACTGTTAGATCGTTCTGGTTAAATGCTAGGTAGTCATTCAACGTGCCGTTTGGCATCCACGGAGACACTAAGCAGCGCAACTCTGGCATGCGCCCAAATCCTGTCGCTATACCCAACAATGGTACAATGTTGTCATGGCGTAGAAGTTTCAAATTTATGCCAATTTCTCGGCTAATTTGCTGGATGGTTCACTTAAGTAGTATGGGTGTATGTGCCATGGCAGACCTATCACTCACCCTGTTGATCCTCTCCAACCCGTCCTTCTCTGAAAACCTGAAGGCCTTAACCGCAACCTTATCGATCAATGGGGCGTCAGCCAGTTGCACTGTAAATGTATCCAACACGAACTAACGAGGGCTAGAATACCATCTGCATTCAAGTCAATGTAATTGCATTTCCAAACATCGCCAAATGCGCCTCCACTGACAGGGTCCATAGTCGTTCGAGTAATAAAAGGTGTTAAGTCGTCTGGCAAGTCCTCCGTCCTGCGACTCAATCAAGAATTTGTTCATACGGTAAAGCAACAGTGAGCACAATGCGCTCATACCTCGGATCGTCATTCTCCATGCCTTCTCAATTAGCCTCGTCTGACAGTGATGTTCACGAATAGCCAAAGAATGCTGATGACAGTTCCTCGGTTCCCACTAACGTGGGAGGGGAGGCTTTTGTCGGACGAATTCCCATCCCTCAAAATGCGTGCAACTTGAAGGCTGTGCAGGTCTCTAGCTTCTTTTCCTGTATAATTAGCACCTAGCCTTGAGTAAGCAAGCGTGGGACATCGGTTGTCCCGAGTCCATCGCGCCCGTTCACCCGCATCGAGTATGCATGATTGGTTGTGGGCAGAACTACAGTTGTGCCAGCAGAACTGGCAGAATAACCAGTTATGCCGAGCGGCATCATGGACTCTGGTGGTGAAATTTTCATATCTACAACATCAACAACAGTCCTACCGGAGACATCAACAACAGCCTCGTCTTATCCACCATCCTCGCCGTCATGATCCATGACATCGGCCTCATCTATAGCAGCTTGGGGTGCTATCCCTCGGTCAACCCCCTCCAATTCGGCAAAATAAAATGCCTTCCCTCCAAGGACCTCTGCGTCGTCAATACTTCTCCTGTGCTTCGAGAGCAACAATCAAATGCATCGGCAATTTCATCTACATCTTGTGGTTCTGCTGCAAGTGGAATGCAAAATTGGCTTCTTGCAGTCCATCAGTCTGCATCTGCGTACGAATCCACACAGCACCCAGTACAAGCACGTCTGTCACAATTCAAATATTCACGGCCCACACAGTGTCCTTCCACACTTTTGCAGTACCGTCCCCAACCATGCTCTTATCTGTTTACTTCATGAAGCAAACTACCTCCAAGGATACAACCCATCTCAAAGAAAGTTTCCCCATCCAGCACATATTCATCGGCCGTACCTGAAGGATGATATTCCTCCACGATTCCCTCATATGCTAAGTGATGTCACTGGGAAGGCGGACGAGAATTCGAGGCCAAAGTAAATTGCGAGGACAGAAAAGAAGGCGACGAGTAGCACGTGGGGGGATATCCTGACCCGGAGAAATTCCGTCTAAAGTTCTTCGTCTGGTTCGAAATTCATATCTGCCGCATCGACTGCAAGACCTCGAGCGAAGGCACCTGCTCCTTCTTCTGTACCTCTGCTGGGAAATGCCATTGAGCTCTGCAACTACGAAGCCTACAGTTCAGCTTTCAAAGATAGTGCCACCTATCCTCAGACCGAGATACGGATCCCGATAGAAGCACTTTCGCCGATTATATGTATTGCTTTGCTCCGGGCGAGGCTCTCTCGATGTACATGGACGACATCATCGCCCCAAAAGTATGATTTCAGTCTTCCTGCAGCTTCTTCCTCAATTTTCGGGTCTGTGTCTTCCTCTACAGCTCTCGCAACTTCACATCCCATCTTCAGAGAAGATACCTCAGTCAAGAGATGTGCGCCCTCCTGTGGCACCTTCAACAACCCAACGAGGTCCCCCACCGCTGGGGATGCGCCGGCAACACAACCTCCCCAATTCCAGGTTTCCCTTGTCTCAATCGGCTACGCCACCACACAATCGCCGCATGTTGCGTCGCAAGCAAAGGGACAAAAGCAAGTGACACTTCCGCCCTTCAAGCCTCCGCTGCTCAAGAAACCCAACCCGAAATACGTTCTTGCACCAGAGCAGGTAGTCCAGACTCCCGAGAGCCCGCCAACTTCGACGCCCGAGCTGGATATGGACGATAGCAACGATGATGGTGATGTGGAGGATACAGGCGGTGCGGCGGGTGCGGATTCGTCGTTTGATGTGTCTTTTGATGTGGATGCAGATGCCCTGGAGGCGACCATGCGGCAGTATGATTAGTGCGTGGATGTATGCGTTTTCCAGGCTGGGGAAGATACGAGATGGGTATATGCTAGGTGACTGCTATGTTTCCGATCCGTCATTAATAATCCATCTACGTATATTTACATGTACATTCGCCAGCATTTATGTAATACTCACTGCCTCACAATATTAATTAGAGGTGTTTGTTACTTGAGCAACTATATGCCACGACCAAATATGAAGTACGATTGTTCCTACTGGCCCCAATTCTGCACTGCCCTCAGCCGCGAACTTCCGACCGTATATCCGCAGAAGCACCAACTCAAACAGAGTCAACAAATTCCAGAAGGCCCAGTAATGAGTTAGATAACAACCCCAGCCTGTGCACAGCATCGGTGTCCGTCTCCCCATATCAAACCTACTTCTGACTCGGGCATTTAATCTTGTGTTTGCTAAGGGTATCTTTGCGCGAGAATGTCGCCCCGCAGTCGCAGGAGTACACAATCCCCATATGCGTCTCTTCGACATGCCTTGGGAGGGATTCTTTGTGGAGCACCCTACCACAGTGCTTCCATTTGCACTCGAAGGGCGATTTGTCTGAGCCGCGAATTCCGTGAACTTCACGAAGGTGATGTGAGATGTTGCGGCCATAAATCAAGGCATTGCAACGAAACCCATAAGAATCACCCCACATACACATAAACAGCTCTGAGGGCGAATGGCCGCTCTGCGAGGGCCGGTTAGCCGTAGTGATCCATGGTCAGAAGATTGATAACTTACACGGCCGGATGTAGTGGAGGACTCAGATATTCCACGGCTTAAGTAGTTGTAGAAAGGTGATACGGAATGTGCAGAAGTACTCGAGGTAGAGGTGGGGACGAAGTTGAAGGTGGAGGTGGAGGTGAAGTTGGAGGCGGAGGCGGAGGCGGAAATAGAGAACTTATCCATCATCGTGGTCAAAGTTTTCAGATCATGCTCAGGGTGGGGTGATGGACTGTCGGGTCGTTGTTTTGTTATATCCGAGTCACTAGAACTGCCGGGCGGAGAAGCTCCAGGAAAATCATCCTGCGCATCATCCGGAGGATCGTCGGGCGGTCTATTACAAGAGTCTTGAAGCTCGTGTAAGTGGATGAACAGCAAAGCACCACGAAGTATGCAGCGTTACCTGGGGTGGAAAACCTATGTATGACAAAGTCAAGCACTTCTTCTGCTGAAGGTCGACTCTCGGGTTTGAATAAAAGACATTTTTGTATAAAGTCCCAATCCAAGTCTATGATGGCAGGATGACATTCGAGGCGTTGCGGTCCACGACCATGCGACATCTCAACAATAATGAACGCTTCCTGCCGGGTCTCGGACCAAGGCAGTCGACCCGAGAGAACCTGTTCAGTCAGTCCTCAGATGGATATCTCGTGATCAAATCAACAACTAACTTGAAGCATTATACAACCAAAAGACCAGATATCAGCTTTTTCCAGAGGCACTGGGGGCTCATGGGCATCCTCTGGTAGAACAAGTTCTGGTGCTGCATAGCGGATTGCGCCGGGGCGCCAAGAAGACACAGCCAAGTGCGACTGGCCGAGAAGGGGTTGGATGATGGTGGAAAGACCAAAATCAATCAGCCTTGCATGGCCCCTCTTGTCGATTAGTACATTTGCCTGCAGGTGTGTTAGCTTGCAAGAATATATCGGTAGCTCCGAATTTACTCCTGTTATATCCCCGTGCATAACAGGCACCGAGTGCACTGCACCAAAAGTACTAGGTTACTACTAGAACGTCTTGAAAAGATAGATGGGAACTAACGGTAACGAAGTCCAGCGCTGACATCCTCCAGCTTCCGACTTTGAGCGAGTCTTGAAAAGTGAAAAGATGTGATGAAATTCCTGCTCACCAGACGTGAACGGCCTTGGGCCGTTAGGTCCTTGTGGTTAGATGCTAAGTAGGCATTCAACGTGCCATTTGGAATCCATAAAGTCACCAAGCAGCGCAACTCTGGGATCCGCCCAAATCCTGTCGCTGTTCCCAACAACGGTACTATGTTGTTATGGCGTAGAATCTTCAAAATGCCAATTTCTCGGCTAATTTTCTGGATGATTCAAGTAGCACGGGTGTAATAATACGGTGCTAGTATCTACCACTCACCCTGTTGATTGTCTCCCAACCATCACTCTCTGAAAACCTGAACGCCTTGACCGCAACCTTATCGATGAATGAGCGTCAGCCAGTTACATGACAAACACGAACTAACGAGGGCTGAAATGCCACATACTTCAGTCATAACCCTATGTACAAGTGGTGCCCCGGATGTGCCAAATGGCTGTAGAATGTGTACCAACCAGCACCGGCCTGTACATGCACATTGGTGCCGGCCAAGTGTGTGAGAGTGGTACTGGCCAACCACTCAGGTGAGGCTGTCTATATATGTGGGTACTGGCTGACCACTGCCTATACATGTACATTGGTGCTGGCCAGAGGTGTGAGAGTGGTACTGGCCAACCACTAGGTGAGGCTGTCTATACATGTGGGTACTGGCTGACCACTGCTTGTACATGTACATTGGTGCAGGCCAGAGGTGTGGGGGTGGTACTGGCCGACCTCTGCTTGTACATGCACATTGGTGCTGGCCAGAGCTGTGGGGATGGTACTGGCCGACCTCTGCTTGTCCATGCACATTGGTGCTGGCCAGAGCTGTGGGGATGGTACTGGCCGACCTCTGCTTGTCCATGCACATTGGTGCTGGCCAGAGCTGTGGGGATGGTACTGGCCGACCTCTGCTTGTACATGCACATTGGTGCTGGCCAGAGCTGTGGGGATGGTACTGGCCGACCACCCAAGTGAGGCTCCCTACACACATACATCAGTACCAGCCAACAACTTAGGGCATCAGCAAAAACCTACACATTGTTGAATAACTGTATAATACTTGGCCAAGTCTTTCCATGACTTGCACTTCTAAGATACTCAAGTCCAGCAGGATATTTGACTTATGCAAGTTGATCAGTGTCAGTAGATAATGTAAGTATACAAATATATATAAGTGTTCATGTCTTATGTGATGTTGAGCATCATGGTCAAGAACCCAAGTATCTAAAACAACTCAAGAATGATAAGGAAAGTGTGGGTTTCCTCATGGTATTGATGAGAGAGCCGGCCGGTGCATGTCCAGGCCATGTACAGAAAGGCAGGCCGACACCTCAGGCATTGATAACAGAGCCGGCCGGATCAGGACCATGGTGTGTACAAGAAGGCAGGCCGACACATCAGGCATTGATAACAGAGTCGGCCGGATCAGGACCATGGTGTGTACAAGAAGGCAGGCCGACACATCAGGCATTGATAACAGAGTTGGCCGGATCAGGACCAAGGTGCGTACAGGCAGGCAGGCCGACGCTTCAGACATTGATAACAGAGTCGGCCGGATCAGGATCATGTGGTGTACAAGCAGGCAGGCCGATACTTCAGACATTGATACCAGAGCCAGCCGAGCCATCTCCAGTCTAATACCTTAGACAAAGTATTATCAAGAAAGATGTTGATTTTAGTACTATCACTTGAGAGTTAGTCATTCAAATTGTACTATCTGCAAGTATAAATGGGCCAGCTCTAGAGTATGAGGTATATGCAGTGTTCCTGACCACCATAACTATCATATATTGGCTAGATAAGTCTTTGATATTATAATAGCCAAGACTGTTAAGTGACTACAATCATCTTGTCTTTGAATGAATTTTCAGCATCCAATGCAAATCTTCCCCACAAGAGCACCTGTCGATGTGCATAAGCTTGATGACCAGGCTTTGTAGCTTGTCGGTATCTTTGGTCCCATTCTTCCATCCTGTATTTAAACCAACTCACTGTCCAACCCATTTCGTGTTGGACCAATCTCAACTCCTCCTCCCACCTTTGCCATCTAGCCTTAGCTTTCAACCAATTTACCCTGTAGACTAATACCTGTCACTGCAGAAAATAGGCATATTAGATATGACTTACATTCATCCATCCAAACATCTTCCTGCGAATCATGACCATTATTGACTAGCCAAAACCAAGCCAGTCTGTCTGATCCCTGTCCATATCTGTTCTCTTCCGTCACTTCCTTGTCCACACTGAGCTGGTGTGGCTGAATGTCTTGATAAATCGTCCTCAGAGTATCTTCATCAGCCCCTAGTCTCTGCATTGAACCCCTTGCCCTTTGATACCTTCGGACACACTTCTCTATTTTGATACGGCATCGTAGAGCCTCCTGCTTTGACCTGGTTCCTGTCCATGTGGAATCTGCACTTCGGAAATGTTGACGGTAAATTATCGCTTTATGACCGAGAGCCTGCCGTAACTTTTCCAAGCAATCATTTGCTTGACCCTTTCGTAACTCCAGTTCTTCAGCTTGCAGAGTGTGCAAGCCCAGGGCTAAAGCCTCATTTCGGAGCACTGAAGATGGCATCCAAATGCCCATGGCTTCTGCAGGAACTTCCTCATCAATCTCTTCCAACACATCTTCAATATCTGCAGCCTCGCGTACTTCCTCCACCACATCTGTAGTGCAAAATCTGATGTCATCCATGTGCTCAGTACCCCCATGGACTTCAATGCCCTCTGTCATAGCATCAGCAATTTCATGAAATTTCGAAATACGTGCAGCCAGTTTTTGTCGTTTCACTTGAACTGCAGCCTTTTGAACTGCAGATGCATCTTTGGGAAGCTGCCGAATAGCTACCCTGAGTGCATCCCTAGATAGTAATTAGAAATACATCACCACCATCAATATATATGATGAAACAACATACTGTGAATCCTCTATATTGATGCCGTCAATGAGCCAAGAAATTGATCCCAACCTCCCCTGTATCAGCATATTCTGATTCAGTTAATTTTAGCCGTATTTCTGCCATTGTTGGTGCTTCCAATCACCCAATCAGAATGTACGTCACAGGGAACTGAATAGAAGCTTCGAAGTGCTCACCTTTAGCTATCTTTAGCTGGTAGATGTCGAGATGTTCTCCACGTTCTTCTTTTGCCTTCTCCTCATCTTTTTCCCATGCCCTCACTTTGATGACATCCAAAGATCCTGTAAGCTCTTCAAATGGCACCCTAGTGTCTTCAATGCCCTTGTTGGCCCGTTTGTACTTTCTCAAGAGCGTCTTAACTGCATCAGTGTGAAACTGTGATGTCATTCATTCCAAATATAGGCACTTACCTATTCTGACAAGTTTTTTTCCAATTTGAGTTACGCATATGATCATCAAGAATTTCTTGACGGTGTGCTTGGCCTCATAGAACGTGCTGTGGGAGATATCTTGTTAAAGGGAGCCCAAAGTGTCTCCAGAATTTCCCCGTCAACTTGCCCAGCTCCTTGAATGAAGTTTAAGCTGTATCTAGCAAAACAGGCAAGTTTATGAGCGCTCAAGTGAAATTTCCCCACTGCAGCCACAATCTCAGTGTTGTCTGGGAGCTCCAATCCAGGGCAGTTGTCAACACGTTGAGCGAAGTTAAGGCTCCACTGGCACCCCACATCATAGATGATCAGGGAGTTGTCAATGTTGCCAGCAGCATGCTTAATGGCATTGCAAATGGAATAATCTATATTCATATGGCTTGAAGTGATTTTGTCAGCATGTCAAGCCCAAGGCTCGTCTTAACCTAGATTGAGTAAATGAAAGAAAACTTGCCGTTCACCCTTCTGAAAGTCCACTATGCAGTGGGGAACAAAACATCCATGCCGAGCACAAGCAGTGGCTCCGACCCCTGTAGCTCGGAGGTTGCTTCTGTTTGTGTTTGCTGCATTGACTGCCCGATGGTTGCTACATGAGGATCTCTTTCTACAGGTTCAGCCACCACTAACAATGCAAAGCAACTTGATTCACCTCTTTACTCTCCATAGCTGAAGCCAAGTGAGCTTGGTAATCTCCTGCTGTTACCATATAACCTAAACCATCTGAGAGGAAGACGTCAAGCTGAGGCTGTCGCATGTTCATGTGCTGAGCGGTAAAGTTTCCATCTACCACAAATCTTCTCATAACAAGCCACCTGCAATCAAAAAGTCAGCATCCGCGAGTTATCTGGAACCAACAACTTCTGGCCAATAGAGACAAATGGTCGGCCTTGACTGACCTGAGCTGAGTACAGAAGGTACCGGCCAGGACCCACTGCTGTGCTATGCACTGTGGGTACTGGCCGGAGTCTGGCAGACAAAGCCAGTAGAGAACAAATGGTCGGCCGTGACTGACTCTGGGCTACGTACAAGAGGTACCGGCCAGGACTCAGCTGACACATATTACCGGCCAGGACCACTGCTGTGCTATGCACTGTGGGTACTGGCCGGAGTCTGGCAGACAAGGATTGCTGGAATTGACTTGCCTTTCGTACTTCTGCTCCCAAATAAGAGGCATGTTGATTCCTGGCTGCGGACAAGAAGGGCAAAATAGAGCAAAATCTCCTGCACTAGGGGGTGCTTCCATGTCATGGCCAAATCCAAACCATTTCCGGTTCTTCAAGTCGCGCCAGAGTCGAGACACTCTCATGAGTTCACGATATCGATCCTACAGATGGGATTTTGCATTCAGTATGAGCTAGAATTATGGTATTGTCGGTTCTACTCACCGGGACAGCATCTGGAAAAGCATTATTTGTCAGCCGTCGGATTTTCTCAAGAAGCTCATTGCCGAAGTCTTGCATTCCAAGGCATCAATGAGATAATGATCCAGTACTTCGAAGGTGAACGCAGTCCTAGGGCGCGTGATACTGGCGGGAAATAGTCCTGCTTGGAGCAGCTGCAGGTGATGTTCATGGTGTGATCCTGGACACCGACACCACGACACATTGTGTGTGAACACCCCAGAAGAATGTACAATAATCACAGAAGAATCTTGATCAAGGTGACATTGTCCAACTCCATAGCAAGGGCAAGACTTTCCACCATGGCCCATGTACCATATAAATCCTTGGGCAGAAAGAGTGACGTCTTCAAAGCACTTGCCATTCCAAAATTGGATTTTGTGGAAAGGCAATGACTGATGTTGATTTGAGGAGACAAGGGCGACACCAGCTGTGGTCGCCAGTGCAAGTTGTGCAACGGAAGGAATTATCTTCACATTGGCAAGTCTCGCAGATGCCTGCGGTGGCAAATTTCTCTGAGTCCAAGATGACATCTAGATACACATCTCGGTGAGCGAGATACTCTGATATGAAGTCATTTTGTGTCTATGCCATTGATGAGAAAACAATTACTAGTAAGCCAAGGCCTGTTAGACATACCTTTGTTTTTCTCCTTGCTCAGCAGCCTCTTCGTCAATAACAAAGTCACCAAACATTTCCTGATTTAAATCCTCTTCTTGGATGTCTGGTGATTCTGTGTGTACTTCTTTAACTCGTTTCTTGGGCTGGTAGTAGGCTCTGGCGAAGTTTGATACAGCCGATCAGCACAAGACTCAACCCAAGAGGGATTTCCCCTCTTGTCTCTTGTAGGTTCGTGAGCAACATAATCAACATCCGGATCCTTTTTTGTGATAACTTTCCTCTATGTTGGAAAGAATAAGAAATAGCCCTTGAGACTCTGCCTTTTTTTGAGGACATAGTGCTTAGACCGAGGAAATATTCCAGTGTATGGAGAAGTCAACCGATTTAAAATCACAAGCTTTGTCTAATCGGGATATCTATTTTCGGGAAACTACTCCTCGTCCCCCTGCTCTTAGTTGATCTCCGAATGGCTTTAAAACCCCCCTTCTTACCTGCCCCCACTCTATTCAGAAAATCCCGCTGGTTTGGAAACTTTGGTCTCGGTACACCAAGCCTATCGTGCACTTTATCCTTGACAAAGTGTGCAATCACAATTCTCTCTCCCCATCACCCCCACCGTGGCACCCCGTGCTCCAGCACCTTCCCTAAAATGTAAACCATAGTGGCCAGGCGGATATGCTAGCTCGGCACCCAGATCTGGCAGAGCCTAGTACGGCATGATGACCTTTGCCCAAGGCTCACCAAAAGGTCATAGAATGAAGGCGATGCTCCAGGGTCCTCGGTGATTTGGGGGTCTCTCGGTTGACAATAACTTCCAATCCAGAAAACTCCAAGGGCCAAACAACAGGATCTGAGGTACGAACCGTATCCTTCATATTAGCAACAGATTCCACACCGGCCTGATATTGATCTGGCGCAATAAGACTGGTGATAGCGGACCACAAATGTTCAGTTACGGTTATTTCGGACAACCAATCTCGGACTGCAGGTGAAGAAAGGGAGCTTGATTGGTACAAGTCATCCTGAAGCCGCTAGCCCATTTAAGTTAGTTCTGTATCACGGCAAGTATACGAATACAGAGTTACCTCATGGCGTTGCATGAATCCTCCCGGGCATAAAGTCACCCTTCCTACTCCAAATTCTCCCCCGCTTGAAGGCATGACAAATCCTTGAGAACGCCAAGGCTGCTTTGCCTTCTGAGTGGGCTTGGGCAAAGACTGATCTAAGGCAGGTCTCAGCAATTTGATGGACTGGTTGACACGATCCTAATTATAACTTATTAAAAGGACTTAAACTGTAATCAAATCAAATTCATACCATTCTATCAGGCACCATGATTTCTGGCAAATACCAAGCAAGGATCCTTCCATGCCTGTCAACAAATGTTGCCGGCTGATATTGAACCAAACGAAGGACAGTGGAAATATTTTGCTAGCTTATGTCTTTGGCTGTCAGCATGCGATGGATGGGACGCCTTGGCACTGTCCGCAAACCGATCTGCGTC